TCAAGAATTTGAATGGTAGTGCAACGAGTACGTTGCATCTTTAAAACATTAGGATTTAGAAAAAAAACTCACTCAAAGATGAAACACATAAAATCTGAAGATGAGAGATACCAACATGTATCTACTCTCCCGTATATACCTCTTACTAGTAAGTACAAGGAGATAAAATCTCATCCCCACAATCTAATCCACTTCTTGTGGATGGATGATGTGGCAAATATAACAAGCACACCGGATTGTTGACGTGATGCTCCCAACTAACATAGTAACTAACATACTCAAATCTTGCCTCACAAGCACACAAATCGCTAACATGGTGTTGTCAACTAACACACTGAACCTCTATCAACCAAACACGCACATTGTTGACGTAACATCTATGAATAATGCACGCTAAAATAACTATATAAACATTTTGAGTAACCTCTACTTTGGTTGTCATTAACTGAAGATGGTTACATTCTTAAAATATATAAGGTTTATAACAATTTTTAATTAGTTATATTTAAAATAGAGTTTACTCTATATGAAGTTATAGTTACTTTAATGTGTTTAAATCATAGTTTTCATGTTAGCACATATGATTAATAGTTTAAAGGTTAGTGTCTTAGTTAAGAAAGTCATGTCACATCAACTATCCGTGTGCGTGTTAGTTTTATTCGCCATGCATTCCTCCACTAGATGAAATGGATAGTTGGAATGAGATCTAATCTACTTGTATTTGTTGATAAAATCCATATAAAGGAGAGGAAATGAGAAAAAAACATTGATGTTATTACTCATAATTGTGCTTTTGTATTCATGTGAACTTCAATCTAAACCCTAGTGTTACAAGATAACCTTCTTCATTTTGTTGCATTCATGATAAAGTAATGAAGATTGCTGCGTCATTTTAACAAAATCTTATCAAGACGAGTAAAGATGAACATATGATCATTTTGATAAAGGATTTTCAAATATCCATTTATTTTGCATAAAAAACATGAATACAATGTAATTTATATGTGTAATTTCAATGTAATACACACACGCTCCTCATCTAATTTAGCCACAATATTGCTTACTTTTCATACAACTATTCAATACATGTACAAAAAACATTATGATTTATTTGATTGATTTTGCCAATTTTTAAAAGAACAAAATTCAAGGTTTGCTTAATCTCCATTCGTCATTGAATTTGCCTTAAAGAAAAAATTGAAAAGTTCACTTACACTTGATAATAAATCAATATGTATTCGTGTTCATCCGCACCTTCAAGAAATAATAAATTTTCTGTTGTATATATTTGATACAACTTTTAGATAAAAAAATTATTGCCGAAGGTATTTGATACAAATTCTAAAACAAAGCTAAATCACAAATTTTCACATTAAAGTTTTTACTTTCTATACAAAATAAATTTGTATAGAACATTTTTTATTGTGTACAAACTCATCATCAATTCAATTTTAAAACTTAACAAAGTTTAATACGCTGTCAATGAAACATATAGATTCAGTGTTATTTCTTTCAGTATTTTATATGTTGTGCATTTTTTTTAAACAAATTTTGAGAAAAAATTTATTTAAACATTTCGTTGTCTTCTTAATTGTTTATTCATTATCCATTTTTGAAAAAAAACTTCTTTGAAGCAGATGATTCTTTATTAAATAAAAAATTCAAAGCTAATGAACGCCGCGTCGAGGAGATTGAAGCACCATCATGATGAAGCAACTTCGACAGCTATCACAACAAATTTTTAAGACGCAACCAAACAGAGAAAAATCCCAATTGTAGAGAGAAGTACTTTCTTTATATCAAGCACCGGAGAATTGTAAACAACTTTAGCTTTATTGTCAATACAAAACAATAAATAGGAGATTGAAAACCCATTGTAATGAGGCAACTTCAACAGTCTTCACAACAAACTTTTAGAATTAAATGAAAAAAATAGAATCCTTAACGAAGATAAAAACTTCTTCTTTATCATTCATCAATAAACTATAAAGTACTTCAACTCAATTGTCAAGACAAAAAAATAAAATATGCATCCAATTTGATTTTCAAGAAATTCAGCTTGGTCTTTTGCGGAAGTTTTCAAAGTTGAATGCTAAAATTGACATCCGTCTCAAAACAAGCTACAAAACGTACTCATTTCTTTCGCATTTTCAGAGTTTGTGTCAAAAAAATAATTTTTCTAAATGATTTTCTGAAAATCAATCAAAACTTCTTCACAAGAGTGAAAAAAAACTATCATCTATGAGTATAACAAATGATTTTGCTTTGACGTAGATGACATTTCAAAAAAATTTTGTGATTATGTAAATATAAATATTCAGATATTCAAATTAAATTATAATACTTGAAGTTGTAGTACAAGGTCATGAACCTTGATTTAATTGAAATTGAATTGTTTCAAAAAAACTCCATAATATAATGATAATTTATTGATTCAAATCAAACTTTCCATTTTGGCATATTAAATCAATACACTTACCAATGACATATAAATTGATAACTTATATAATTGGATGCAATATAGTATATAATTTTGTATCGAGCATAACAACTATGATGAAAAATTGTGATGCAGAAAAGACATTTTTCATTGATGTCAATAAATTCAAGAATAACGTCAAATAAGAAGAAAAATTGAATTTTTGTATTCTTAACAACATTGCTCGTGTATACATTTCATATGTGATAGTTTTCACTTAAAATAATGTGTACTAGAGTGGAAAAAATAAAATATATAATTGAAAAGGTATTTTTACATGAAGCAAATGTTCACATTTAAAGTTACATCATATATTCATCAAATTTTCTAGTTAAAATTTTGGAAAACTCAATAGATACCATGATCAGATTTATAAAATTTAGATTGGAAATTTTTGATTATTTAATGTCAATATGTATTGCAATTTCACACATGTTTAGTTTTAACATTTTTTTATTGATTGAGTTTTTGTTATTACAATCTTTACTAAAGACGTTCATGTGATTTAAACAATTATGCATATTGACTTAATGAAACAAAAACGAGTCTTCATCAATCAGTTTGTTTAAACAAACAACATATTATTGATCATTTTTTCTTACATTCTTATTGCAATACATTTAATTTTTTGTCCAATTTTTACAAAGGAATTACTTTTTTTTGTTTGTCACTTTAAATACTTCATGTCATCTTCTTCATAATAAAAATTTTCATGTCAAAAGAAAATTTGTGTTGTTGTTTAGATATGCGAACTAGTCATGTGTAAAAATTGATTTTATCATCGTTTTTTGCAAGAGAATACAACATATGAATTTTCATGAAAATAAAATATATTTATTCAGTTGAATTCCTACATTTACAAATTTGATAACCATACACAAAATTTTATCTTTAAAATAAAAATAAAAATTTAAATAACATGATGATCAATTTTTTTAAATCTCAAGACAAATATTATAAAATTTTCATGAAAATCATCATTGTAATTCACATTAAATTCTATTTTTCATACTACATATTTTTTTTTTGTTCATCTGTTATTATTACAAAGATCTTTGCCAATGATGTTCAAGATATGTTAAAAACACAAGTATATGTCATCAAATAAACTTTTGGTTAATAAAAAATTGATACCTACGTGCATCACATTCAATTTACTATGTTTTTTTTTTGCATGAAAATCATTTCAATCACACATTTGTCATCATTTTTTATTAAGATCTCACCATTCATTAGTGAAGTTGGTTCTTGTTAATACCTTCATTCATTTTTCATGTAACATTTATAATGAATTCTAATGTGTGCATTTTGATTGAGCTAGATATTTTTTTCATTGCGTAAATTTCTATTCTTACAACTTCAAAATTCATTGATTAAAACAATGTTAAGAGAATTTTTTAGAAAAATAAAATGCATCAAGATATTCTAAAATGCCAAAAAATAAACATTATTAAAGCTTTATACTAGATTTGAGAATTGAATATAAAAAGTTAGAATAAAATAGATCAATAAAATTATAACAACAAATCCAAATTTATTTTTTGAAATATATGTGTTGATGCAATAATAACATCAATATTTAAAAATTAAAATTACATTCAATACATCTAAATTTTTTTAATATTTAAATGTGAATTTAAAACTAAATTGTATATATTGTCAAGATTTTAAATTAAAATTAACATTTGTAAGTAAAAAGAGTCCATCATAACTGAAACTGCAAATACAAGAGTGTTGTAGACATTGCATTGAAGAACTTGCTATCAATTCAAAATTTAATAATAAATTAATGTTATTATAATTTGATTAAATTCAAATTATTTGGAAATTTACTAAAAATATTTTTATTGAATTGAATGTATTTTAACATCAATTCATTTTTTCAACTTTATATGATTATTTAAACATTATATTTAATTCCACATTTCTCTTCCCAATTTATTATCGGTAAACAGACCTGCATTCTATCTGAAAAATAGAAAACAAATAATTCCAGAGAGTTGTTCATGATTATCGCAACATGCCTTCGATCTGAGCTTGCCCTACCTATTATTGACTGTGTGTGATTGAAGAGATAGCATTACCCAAAAGGAAAACTCTTTATATCAATATTGAAACAATTTGTAGACTGTGATCCATACTTGCTGTGAACGGCGATTAATCTCAAAACTTACTTCAACACTGAACTTGATAATCACGGCGCACATGAATGAGTATAGGGGAAGAAGTTGAGCATTACAATGCTTTCGAGAAAGAGTAACTCAATCTAAGGAAAAATGGGCAAAAAGTAGCTTTTCTGATGAGGTGATGAGAACATTTCGCAAGAGAAGAGGAGATTGACAACACCTACTCACAAACTAAACTATCCAGAGACTGATCTGGATCAAGCCAAATTAACGACCGATGAGAAGCAACTTTAGACGCAGAAAAGTTAACTTGCCACATAAACTAGCAGAACGTATTGTAATGACGATTGCACTCGAGGCTAATCAAGAGTTCCGCTAATAGAGGCGACCATCCCCCACCCGTCGAAACTACGAACTGTTGTGATGGTAAGCTCTGACGGAGCTCTGTCTCCCGCTGTGCACGTCGTGCTTTCTGAACATCGGAGCTTTTGCTGTACAAATTTTATGCAGTTGACAGTCGGGACACACATTCACTGTGAGGATCCAGTCGGGTCGATTTTTCCACATTGGTTTTCCGCTTTGTACATAAGGGAACTGTACTGCAATATTCGAGTTCGGAAGGATCACAGGATTAGCCAAGAGGCCGGTGGCTTTGGATTCGAAGAATTGCTAATGTCCTCGAAGAACAATTGATAAGAAGCGAGGTCGATAGGCGGGGGATGATTAGTTGATGGGGACGTAGAGACGGTTTTGAGCCATTGCGGTCTCTATTTCATCGAAGATGCATCAACTTACACCGACTGCGGAGAGCCCTCTGCGAGAAGGCAAGTGAAGCTTCTCTCTCTCGCTTGTGCCTTATGCCCTCGCTTTTCTTCTTCATTCTGTTTCCGGCACATCGTCTCAAGGTCGCAGCGTACACTTTGCTTCGTGCGTGTTTAATCTGTTGCATCCAATTGATCTGAAGAATTATTGCCCTGATTAAAAGAAAAGAACACCTGGGACACCACATGAGCTATTCCCGAGGTTCTCACGGGCTCGGAGTCGGATATTGGCATGATTTGCAGTGCATGACACGATTACTGAGATGATGAGACAGTTGGCAAATGAACCGTCAGTGGGTCTGTACTTTGTTCAGCAGCATGTTCACAGGGCCGTCCCTGCCATGGTCCAACTGAAGGTACTCTCTAAACTGCTCTTCTACGTGTGCTAAAGGGTTTCTTTCTATCTGTCTGGTTGTGAGGTGGTTCCTTGAGCAATATCTGGGCAAGTCATAAATCGCCTAGGGATTCTGAATGTAGATTGTGCTACTTGAGAAAAGCATGAAGCCTGCATTTTCGGGAACTCTGATTTGCTCTAGACGGTCAGTACAAAAGGTTCTGTAATTATTGGATTCTGTGAGCTACTGATGCTCTTATTGGTGTGAGGGAAGGCACAGTAAGTGTGTGACCTAGCTAGTGTAATTGATCTGAGGGAGGAGATCTGTACCACTTTGGTAGTCAAGTTTGAATACTTCATATCCGTGTGCAAGATATTGTGGATAGACACTTCTTCCGTTTGTGTCGTTTCTCATCATTTCTTAGCGTCCTCGATAAGCCATGGTCGTTTGAGCTAAAATCTTACTTTGTTCCTGCGTCTTCCGTTAACTTCTTGTATTGTTTGTTCTCCTTTCCACAGCCCAATTCTTATAGTTGGAGAATACGCTTCATATGTCACATCTGAACATAACAGAAATCAGTGTCTAATTTTTTCACCCTTGATTAGGGGCAAAACTGGATGAATCTTGTGTCATCGGTCATGCAGATCTCATTCCTACTTGTCCATTTCGCGTCTTTTGTTTGCTTACTGTTTCGGTCTACTCGTCACTCTCCAAGTGTTTATAGAGGTTGCCGCAACGCACTCAATTTCACGCAGTTGGAAGAGATCCCTGAATTGTTGTGCCTCAACAGGACAGGGATCCCCGCGTGAACTCTTTTACCCTTGATCAAAAGCACAATTGGAGCTATGGCAGCTGTATCTGTTATTAAGATCGAAAGTAGCCTTACCTTTGATAAACCTCTGAACAAAGAGTGTACCCCATATATTTGTTCGTGGCCTCGTGATATTACAGGATTTCACCAGGTACCAAGCAAATACATGTCGTAAGCCGCGATGCCTGATGGATCTGTGCTGCATTTTCCTGTACCTGAAGAATATGATGAAGGCAGACGCTGATTTTCTGGATAATATGCAGGCACAGATTGTGGACACCACTCAAGAGGCCGAATATGTCACTCAGGATGTGAGAGATGCTTTGAACTCTGTAAAAACTATGAAGGAGTGTGGACCTGCAGTTATTGAGCGGATGATGAAAACTCTTGATTCTTCCCTCCCTCGTTTACCATCCTTTCGCCAAACAAGAAGGTAAATACAACCACGACGCTTTACATCCGCACCAGATGGGCCATCTTGTCTTCATTAATATTTGGTAGTTTAAAATTATGTAAGAAGTTGGAGGCTGAGAATGTCAATATTTGGCATCAGGGTCGAGGTAATGTAGCCAGGCCTATAGACTCACTGAATCTAGTTGTGTCTGCTTCCTTAGGATCCTGTAATCTAAAAACTTCTAAATAAAACCAAATACTGGTTGCTGATTGCGGGACTTTATTTTCCCAATGTTCCTGGGGAAGATTGCAAATTTTACATTTTCAGGATGGTTGCAAGCCTGGTACTGAGACCGGGAAGAAGCGACTGAATAATATCTTTCAATGAAGAAACCTTTTGTTGTGAGCTTTTGTACCTTGATCTAACATAATGCTCATCTTGAGAAACTTTATCATCTCTGGAAAGTCCAGACTCACACCATCTGGGTGGGATCTCCTTGGTCATTTTTAATGCAGAGATGAACTGTCACCGGATAGCAAGAGAAGACCCAGCTTGTTCACAGATACAGCAGAGATGCAAAGAAATATGTCGAGAACCCCATCAGGTAGAGAGCCGCCCCTTGCAGATAGTGATTATACGGGCTATGTTCGCAACATATTTGACTCGGCCTATCAAAAGGCAAGCAGTGTTGCCAGTGCCGCCAAGTGGACGGCAACTAGTAGTAATAGAGTTCCGTCATCAATAGAAGGTGATCACCTTTCGCGCGACGGTACTCGTGGAGACGAGGGACAATCTTCGATCTCATCCAAGCCTCCGTTGTGGAACCCGGACTATAAGGGACCTGGTCAGTATGTACGAGGGCTTTTTGCGACCGATAGTCTGCAGCCACCTGAAAGCTGGGGAGGGTGGTTACCCACGCAAGCACTACGCAGTAGTTTCAATAAGATAGCTGGAGGCAAGGTACCAGAGGCAGTGGCGCAGAGTCCACCATCAGAAGAAGAATCTTCAACGAAGCAATCGCTGGAACTCGACGGGGATAGCTACGCCGCATTTGCAGCAGAGCGTGCAGCCGAGCTGGAGCAATGGCTCGATGACACAGAAGACGCCGCAGTCAGAGGACAATAGTGCTGGTCATGTAGAGAAGTTGTCTGCATCTAGAACGAAGAGTCGGTTTACTCCCCATCAGACAGCCTTCTGAGCATATGCTTGCATCCTTCTTGAGCAGCTTATCTTGTCGTGGATCTGATCGCAGGCATCCGCGCAGGACAAGTAGCTTTCACCATGTGATGGCTCTGCACTAATTATCCATCTCCATAGAAAGATGTGCATATAATTTACAGTCATCTTAGTACGCGAGAGAAAAAGCTGATGTACCTGCACCTAACGCATGTCGACCATTTCGACCATGTAATCCACCTTTCATGAGAATAACTGCGGAAGGTAATCATGGCGAGGCTGTATCCTGCCAAACTTCCGTAGTCTGATGGAGGTCGGGGTCTGAACTAGTAGCAGAAAAGAGTAGGGCGTACCGCCAGCAAATACAAGCAGGCGTGCCAAGCCTCACTGCACTGTGGGGATGGGAGTCCCTCGTCGGAACTGAGCTTGTGAAGGTCGCTGCTTCTGTGGGACCCATCAAATATGTCATCACGACCCTACCTAGATACACCTCGTCAGGAGCTAATCGTAGTATTTCTAGGTTTCAACGCTTCGTTCACAAGTACTTTCTACGAGATCGGCATCTTTACAGACATACGAAAAGCAATCTAGAGAGATATGGAGAAGCGATTAAAAGGTAGCTTTACTGAATGTCCAGTCTCCTTGATCGCTTTATCTGTATGAGGTAATCCGGCTCGCGACAGCAATCGCGCTGATCGTAGTCGTCATGGATGATAATCTCTTACAGTTGCACATGACTTGCTGACCCATCACCCCTGAACCTACAGTTTTCTAGCGTGGACTTTTATGCGATGTCTAAAGGGGTTGTTCCAGATTGGAGGTTCCGTATTATTTCATCTCCTTGCCTTGGATTACTGATTACCAACAGATGTGCAGTATGCACGCTTACGTGCATACTGCACATCATACTGCATATAGGACGGGACTAGTTGTACCGGGTCCGTAAATTGTCTCATCTAAAAAATTTCAGGCTGTACCAATTGTACTAGATTCATAGTATTGAATGGAGTCAATGAAAGTTTAGGATACAATATTACTTTTCTGAAATTGCTTTTTGGAAAGAACGATGGTCTTTACACGTAACCAATATAAAGTATGTATGTATGGCGACGGCTGAAGGACTTAGAAGACAAAGAATTGATACCTCGCGGTGCAATCATTGTCGACCCATAGATTTTTGTCAATTTTATTTCATTACAGCAGGGTGCAAGATCACACACATCACCATATCTGTCGCCATCTTTCCTAATGTGTTTTTCTGTGTGGTATATTTTAAGAAAAATGTGTTGACGGTAACATGGTCACCTGTCATGATACGAGACATTGTATACATCTGAGATTTGAATAAATGTTATGTTTGATCTTGAGTAGAGATAGGGATGGATAACCAACAAGATAAAGCCACAGTGGCTGTCACTGGATAATGTCAAATCGCCACAACTACCGTTAGTATGAAAAAGCCCCTTTAAGCAGAATCACTTTATTCGCCCTGGTTAGAACGGACGTGTCATCTTCATGTACTCCTCGACTCTAATTCTAATCGATAAATAACATACAAAGCGTATTCTAGATTCTTTTCTCGAGTCTGTTTCCAATAATTCTGTACTTTTAAATGCCTGCGAGCTTTGAAATAGATAAAACCCATGGAGAACTCAAAATTTTGCGGAATCTGATCTAATCCATATATAATGACTCTTTTTACAGTATTATGATATACAACATGTGATTTTTAATTTCACATGTTTTCGCTACAGAAATTTTTTTCCGTGCATGAATTTCTCTTCGTCTGTTGTGCAATATGTAGATGTTTAGCAAAGTACCCTCTGTAGGTACAATAGTATAACACATAGTGATCGATCGCCATTCCTTTCGATGCACCTCGCAAGACAACCACCAAGTGGTTGCAGAGATGGGGAATCATAAACCACAAACAAGTTCGAGTCGCCGCTCACGAGGCATATTGGCAGACCGTCGACCTTCTTGGTACACGGGGAACAACTGGGCGACGAGTACAAAGGCATACAAATTGGTGGGCGAAGGTTTTTCCAAGGAAATGAGCCTCCCCTCTCGTCGAAATTCCCGCCCGGTTCATCAGAGGACGGCCCTCCCGATCGCGCGAAATAGAGCAGACCTGCTTCAGCGTGAATGTACTGTAATGTACTATGCAATCTTACATCACATACCGTATGCGGTGTAAGATTGCATATGTACAAGAAAAGGATACGGATACATTCAGGTCGGATTACACGATGATGACAATTCGCTAACAAGAGTCGGAAAAGGCGTAGATACCGAAAATGACAGTCAGGCCAAAGTGAGATGTGCATCTGACCTGACCCTCTTAAATCATCATGGCATTTGTGAGATCCAAGCACCAAAACCATCGGTAGAATTAATCGACCAAAATACGCGACGCGTGGGAGACCACTGCCAACGGTCTATGGCCGGACTGTGAAACGTACGGTTAGACGAGCGAATGCACAGCGAATGCCAAGCTCGACGCAGCTCGAACTTTTTCTGTCACAGTAGCATCATCCTCCTCCTCATCGACGACGACGACGACGACGACGACTGCAGTAGGCGGCGGAGTAACGCGTCTGCTGCCGTGAGTGGCACGAGCAAACTGTGGATTCTGGTTGGTTCTGTGGCGCGGACGGGGCGTTCCGGGAGGGACCTGGCGCGCCTGCTGCCTGCCGGTGCTTGCGGCTTTGGAAGCTTTATGAGTGGGAATAAGCTGTCGTCACTGCGCGGGGAGGAGGGGGAGCTTTCTGCGAGCACTGTGTACTTGCGAACGCAGTTCTACTTTCCGCAGCGCTGAGCGATGAAGCTTCGTTGGCTCTGCGATGTACGGGCAGGGGCGAGTGTCGATCTCCATCCGTTCTGGATCTGGGGACGGGCTTTGAATTAGTGACAGGATTTGTAGATGCCAGATTAGCTGCGAGCGAGCGAGCGTGCGTGCGTGCGTGCGGGCAAGAAACGGAAGTTGAAGGGTTGTGGATAGTGGAGAAAATTTTTAGTCGCGGTCGAATGGTGTAGGACTCCAGTGCTCTCTGGTATGAATGTGCAAGTCGGGCCGCGGGCAAGCTACAATCGTAGACGACGTTGGAGTGCTTCTTGCATGCCGATGAGAAGTGCGGGGGGGCCTGGCATGCCCCATCCCTGTGTTCGAGCCCTTGTATCATCACTTTCCACTCGACAGAGCGACTTGCAGATTTTAACTGTTCAGCTTTTCATTGATTCTAATCTTGTACATTCTCTGGCCGAGAGGTAGGTTTGCAGACCCCGTTGTCGTATTCTTAGGTTTCGTGCGTACATCCGTGCCCTTCAGTAGACAATTTGCTATCGTATGGCGAAATTTGTACGTGTCTCTGTTCGAGATTGTCTTCCACTCTTGTCCTATTGCCGATGATATTGTCAGATCATTGACCTTGCTGCTGCCCATTCTCCCGAGTAAATCGTACAGGGAAGAGAATTGGTAGTGAGAGACTTTCTTTGGCATTTTACAGCGCAAGCAGAATCCCTCATGAATTCTAACCAGTATTTAGGCGTCAATTGTACATGAGGGTTTTACTTTGAAATGAGGGCGGACGTATAAGCGTGGGCATCAGGATACGGAATAGCGAAGGGCTTCGCCCAGATAACAATTGAATCGTGCACATGCTGCAGTGATCGGAGTCATGCCGAAGACTATCATGCCTCTTGTTTTACCGGATCAAAATCTCGAAAAGAAGAAGGCAGCATCCCGTAGTTGGCTGCTTCTCGATGCCAATGGGGACTCTATGATGCTGGAAGTCGACAAGTACGCCATAATGCACAGAGTTGGAATTCATGCTCGAGACCTTCGCATCCTTGACCCCTTATTGTCGTACCCTTCCACGATCCTGGGGCGTGAGCGTGCGATTGTTCTTAATCTTGAGGTGATTCTGTCTGTTCTTCATGGCATCGCATCTCTGGATTTCCCGGCCCTCACCTTTCCTTATCACATCCTTGGATCAGTATGTAAGTTTCACTCGTAATTGAGAATCTTTACAGACTGGCGCTGTCTACGATGTTGAGAGGAGGACAAACTTTGGGGAGAGGTTATTATCTCAAGAGTGGGCAGCTTCGTTAGGCTTTAGCGAGAGAATTTTTTGTGCAGTCAAATTTTAATTTTCCACGAGTTTGAACCGGCCGTTCAAATCTACGTATTGCTTTTGCATTGACCATCAATCTCGGTCAGTGCTTAAGCTGATGAGAAGCAATTAGTAATACTCCATCGTACTTAAGCAAAAGGATATCGACTCAGAGTAGATATGAAAGATTCGTTCGCAAAGAAAACAGTATTGAATTTGTGATTGTCTGGATTGTGGCATTTCCTCCTGTTATTTGGACCAATCGACCGCGTGTGAATATCAGCGCATCTTTTGATGGGTATTCAGTTTGCTGACTTGGTTACCCCATATCTGCCACATTTTTTAGCAGTGAGCTGTTGGATGCTTAATCTCTTGGATAATTGCTTCGTTTGCAGCACATCAAGGCCATCATTACTGCGGAAGAGGTAATGCACTCAGCTGGTTCCTTGATTTTGCTCTGTGCATTTTTGGATTGTATTTACCGTTTTCTGTCGTTTTGTTTCTGTGTCAAGTTTGTCATATCATTGAGCCGTCCCCCTGTGATTGACTTATCCATCCGTGCAGGTGTTGTTGCGGAATCCGCACGATGAGTTTGTCATTCCGATTGTGGAAGAGCTTTGTCGCCGTTTGCCGCCTAAAAGTGGAAGAAAGCATATGAATGCTTCTGCACTTGCAGGATATGATGAGACGAGTGAGAGAGAAAATAAAGATGGGTCATCCTGGGACCCCCATAACGAGAATCCAGACTCTGGCGCCGATGGTAAGGATTTCCAGCTTGAAGGAAAATCTCAGCTTTGTTTCGGTAAATTATCTCTTTCTGCAAATACAACTGCCAACCGAATATGTCAGTGCTCAAGTGGCCTGACTATCGCGCACGGGTTCATATTCGTGTCAGTACCCCCATTTGAATTCCGAGCTTTGGAAGTCGCGCTGGAAGCCATATGCAGTTTCCTGGACGCACGAACAACTGAGCTGGAGACAAACGCGTATCCTGCCTTGGATGAGCTAACAAAAAAGGTTGATCAGGGTTTCTCACCTAGTTTTTGTATGCCCACTAAACCTGTTTGTTTGTAGCAAGACCTACTGAATCTTTGAACTAGGGCAGCAATTGCTCGTCCACTTTTTGCAGTTTTCAATCTTTGGCAAGCTTCAATTTTTAAGTCATCAAATCCTCACAGCAGCTCACCCCTGAAAGTTTTTTATGCGAAACTGTTGTGTGTGCACTGTAGATTCCAATATCTTTGCAAAACTGACCTATCCCGTTTGCAGATCAGCAGCCGTAACTTGGACCGCGTGAGGAAGCTAAAGAGTGGCATGACGAGACTTACAGCTCGAATTCAAAAGGTAGAAATATGATGGTTCATCTCCTTTTATAGTTTCTTGAATAGAAGTTCGTGCTTGCTATAACTATTCGCCTCGAGCACTTCATGTACAGCCTACCAATATATTCAAATCATCCACTTGCAGTTTTAGTATGCACTTCTCTCACAAACTCGGCTTGAAGTCGGGGATGTTTTACAAACTCGGCTTGAAGTCGGGGATGTTCTACTGGTCTGGTCTATTTGAGCTACAAAACACAGCATGGGCTGTGTCTGTCTACATGAATAGGAACACCGATTTTATGGCCCGAAAAGATTTTTGGCTTTTTGATGCCCTGTATTTGGGACCAACAAGTGTGTATGATGCCGTATATGTCCCTGGCGATCAAATTCTCTACCGGTTCTCTTGTTGGCTATTTCTTCGTCCTTGCAAATGACTAAGTCGACAGAATAAACTCTGTGGCATAGCTCATCCATTGGTTAGTATACTATTCTTTCAGCAGTAGGGTATAGATCTTTAGTTTGGATCATAACTTCCATTCTCATGTTTTAGTTCACTGGCTCCTTCCGTGTAAAGCTTCATGAAATATCCGGGATTCTGCATTGGTTTTTCTATCATAAGTATGTGGCCATAGCCCCGTGAATCCACAAAATACCCGAGGTTTGTTCACAATCTACAGATGTCCTGACTTTGCATTTTTTGTGAAGTCTAAGGTTTAGGGAAGTTCTATTATATTACCCTGTCTTCCGAGTTAAATCGACATGCGTGGCTAAGTTGTTATTATCAAGTGCTGTTTCTCCTACTCGTTGATTTCATCCTTTATAATCTTGTGTGACAAACTGACAAACACGTTTGCCAAGAGGCTTCTCTGTCTATTTTTTTATAGCCTCCATATGTGGGAGAGTAAGATCTTTCAACTCGCTAGACGTCGTGTTTTCTTCTTTTCTTTCCATTTGTTGCTTAGCACTGTTGTTCTGCTGCTATTTCCTGACCGTAGTGAAGGAGCAGTTCATCTCTCTCAGGTTATGTATTTGATGTCTACCCACAGAAGATGGCTATGAACAACTCCAATTGTTCGTTCTTGGCTGTCAGATTTGTCAATACGTACCCTGCCCATACTGTTCAAACTTCTGTTATAGATTGTTTAAAGTTCTGACAATCCTCCGTTCTTGAAAAGTCCGGTTATTTGGAACGGTTACCAGAGCTGCTTAAATTTAAACCCGGCAAGCTACCGCTGCAACTTTTCAGATACATCTGTAAGCATTACTTTTGCAGTTTTTGCTACGAAGTACCAGGTCGTTTTAAAAGGAGATATTTGGTTTCCGTGTTTGTGCAGGTTAGGGATGAGCTTGAGCAGTTACTCGATGACGACGAAGATATGGCTGATCTTTTCTTAACGAGGAAAATGGTCGGATCTGGTTCTCCCACTGCACCATCTGTGGTACCCAGTTGGGTGCCAGCATCTCCAACAATAGGCTCCCGTATCTCTCGAGCTAGCAGGGCCAGCACTGTGACATCTTACGGACATGGATCTGATGATGTTGAAGAACTTGAGATGCTGCTAGAGGTATTCTTCACTTAAGGGTGCTTCACCAAGAATGTATTGAATAAGTTGTACGTTTTGAGAAATTAATTTTCGGGCTTGGGTTGGTACTTTAGGGAGATGCTCCTCTCTGTATGTGTCTATATCAGTTAAATTTCACCACAAGGGGCGTTCATTGTGGGAACTCAGTGGGCTCTTTGGAAATGTTCAGTTTGATATGAGTTCAATCATGACAATCATCCCCAGAATTTATTGGGCCTCAAGGAACCTCGATGATCAAGGCTAATTTTCAGGACTGAATAAATTTCCTGCAACATTATAGATGCAGAGGTATCATAAATCCAATCTTCAATTATATTATTGCCTCATATTAACAAATGTTCCAAGGAAGGTGCAAAGGCATGTTAGGTATGCAGCCAATCATGATAAGCATTAGATTACTGGAGGAATCAAAAGTTTTGTTGCTGACAACTGTGCCAACTTAAGTCGTATAACAGTTAGGGAAATTTGTTCCGTGATTTGCAGTTTGTTCAGGCATCTTCGTTGATACATTCTTAAAACGGACATCTCTTCTGTTATGTATCCTCAGAGTTCCTTAACTTATTGAATTCCTGAAACGCCGTATAGGCTGAACTTGATATCAATATTTTTCACTTAGCGCAGCATTTGTAAGAAAGAAATCAGTAACTATCAATTTTTCCAAACTCTCAGCATTAGATAGACGGATGAACAAACTTATGCTGTAGAAGATGTAGTAAATATTTTGCTCGCCTTTTTAATTTGAATATTCCTTCAATGAGCTTGGTGAAAGACTCTCTGACTGTACTTCTTCTTGCTTCCGCAGGCATACTTCATGCAGATCGACGGTACCTTGAACAAAGTTACCACAGTTAAGTTTGTTTATCCTATCGAAGTCGACGAAGTCCTTTCGTAATCGCGTCCACACACGCCTAGTTGCTGATCATATTTTGTCTTCTGGATCTGTACAGCTACGGGAGTACATTGATGATACGGAGGATTATATCAACATTCAGGTGTACAAACAATCCTTCTCACTCTTTCATTCTGAGCTTTTGAAAACTTTACTGCAGGCACTAGCGTTACTTTCTAGTAGCTATGAGTACCATAAGAACATATAAATGACAAGACTTAAGTTGTGAGAATATTATTTGAGGTGGTTACAGGGTTCAAGTTATTATATCGATTTGAAGTTTTTTCTATCTTTCTTTTCTTACGGCTGCGCTAAGTTATGCGCCATTTGCACATCATCTATTTTCTAATGTCTCCTTTACGTTTTTTAAGAAGAAATTTATAGAATCTCATTGATCAAACTTTGTTTGATATTCTTTTATTACGTGATTCTGACAATTTTTTTTGGTTGTTTTCTTGGCTACAGCTAGATAATCACCGAAATCGTCTCATCCAGGTCTGACCCTTTTCTCTCTTCGGCATGTTGCAATTGCACAGACGGTTCAAACATGCCTATCCTATGTCGATTGTTTTATGAAGCAGTCTATGTGGTTTTTTCTGTTAACTTCTGCAAAGTTTCTCACACCAGATTCTGATCTGCAGTTGGAACTTATTCTGAGTTCGGCAACAGTCGTCATGGCAATTTATTCATTGGTAGCCGCAATTTTCGGAATGAATCTTCCGTACAAGTGGAATGAAGGCTATGGTTATATTTTCAAATGGGTACGGTACCTTCAGTCAGCTGTTATCATTACTTCTTTTATTTAAGACATTCTTTCAATTTGCTTGTAAACTTACTTATTGCTTCTCCGAGCAGGTAGTTATCCTCGGTGGAGTAGGATGCTTGACGGTCTTTCTGATGGTGTTGGGTTATGCGCGCTACAAACGACTGATTGGGACATGAGCAAGGTTCGCAGAGTAAATTCTAGGGGTTAAGTTCTCAATTATTCAGATTAGGAAACTGAGTGCTCGGTACAACCATTCATTATATACTTTAGTTAGTGATATAATTTGAAGAACCACTAGTGCTTTTATTGTTGGCTCACTAGATGGAACATTCATTCTAGCTGCAAAGATCTGTTCTTAACACTTAATGAAGAGTTTTGATTGATCTTATTCATGTCGAGTGGGTGTTATAAATCTTGAATTTTTGTATCTCAGAGATTCTAATATAGAATATAGATGACGAAAACGCGAATGGAAATTGACGAAATGGGAATATGTTCATAGCTATCTTGGTGTTTAGAATCGAGATTTTCCAAATTAAATTTCGGATGCAAATGTTCGACTTTGTTTTAACATAGGGATGTGAAATGAAATATGGATATTTACATGGTTGGGGTTAATATATCTCCACTTGTATTTACTATTTGTGCATGTTAGTGTTGATTTGTTGCTGTTGTTTGAAGTGGTAATGTTCACGTTGCTATTGTGTTGGAGTATTTAGATTGTGTTGGAGTTGTGGGACTGGACCGAATGGTTTTGCTTAGTGAGACATGATTTGTGGACCGGTAGATTATGTGTATGTGTTGTGATGATTTTTAACTTGATTCGTGTGAACATCTTGTGATGACTTATTTACCTTATGTATGTTGAGATGTCTGGTTTCATGGGGTACATTGTGAGAGATGAGATACACCGTTGTCAGTAACTTCTTTGGAGGTTTTGAAAAACAATTGATAGGGTTAACGAAGGGTGGAATATCATACTACCTTTGGAGTTCAAGCCACTCATGATTATCATTTGTGGATATAGAGATTGAATGGAGATTCTGTCAGACTATATCCACGTGCCACCGATAACACCATATGATATCGGAGCATAGTTTGCACAGAATAGTGAGATGATTTCATACACGAGTCTTGCTCATGCGGAGATTCGCTGTCGTTGCACAATGCGGAATCGTTCAGTATGTGATGAGATGGAATAGACCACTTTAGTCGGTTTGCCAATTAATTTAGAGGGTATGTTTACAGCCAGTGGAGATGAGAAGAGTTTAGAGCATAAAATTAATTCTAAGAGTATTCTATAGAGTTCTTTCCACGTTTGAGTGACAAGCTAAAAGGCATGTAAGATTTCTAGGGTAAGACTATTAGCGTGCACGATAGGTGTATATTTAACCTATCTGATTGACTGATGTTATATATTGGGTGAGAAAGGTTCAAACGGTGTAATATTGATATGAGATATAAGCATAGATATTAGTACTTCATGTCAGGACAAAACGAAATCGATGTCACCATAGTACAATTGTTATCATCATTGTTTTGTATTGTTGAAAATATTGGCCTCAATGTGTAAAGAAAAAGATATTTGGAGGTCTGGTCTAGCAAGTATTCACCAATTTAGGCAACCTAAAGGGAGCCCTTGTTGTCACTCACTTAGGGGCTAATTAGTACTCACTCTAGTCCAAGCTTTTCTCTGATTGGTGGATAAATGGTTATAGGTTCCTCGGACAAGGAGCAATTCTGGTAGGGAGTTGGACCAATAAAAGAACCGCATATAGTAGAGTGAGGGATAACTAGCCCTCCCCCAACCTAAAATACAAATATTAGTAATCAATGCAAGTATGTGAGTTTTTACTACTACAAAGTGGCTAAGATACTAGAGTGAGAAATAACTAGCCCTCCCCCAACCTAAAATACAAATATTAGTAATCAATGCAAGTATGTGAGTTTTTACTACTACAAAGTGGCTAAGATATCGGATCTACACCATTGATATCATGTGTAGGTAAAGAAACATTTCTTTAAAAGGATGTGTTTTGAACATGAGATTATCATATTATGATTGTTTCAAAAATCAAAGACACTATCAAAATGGATCATATGAGCATTGCCGATTATATGGTTCCTGATGTAAGAATTGAGAAAATCTCTTAGCTGGATATGAAAGATGATGGATCGACGATTGATCAACAAAAGCATGAATCTGATTCTAAAATGCAATACCTTCATTACTAAACATCTCAATGGGTGCAGCAAATCTTTTAATCACAAGAATAATCCACGCGTGATATTTCAACCCTTGAATTGTCACATAACACCACCAACTCCATCCATTTATAGAATCGTTCCACCATAATACTACATCCCTGTCTTGTTGTATAATCATCAACATACACTTTGCACAATCTAAGTTCTAATAACTAAATCTCTTAACGGTGCGTTGATGTATTTTTGTTGAATATATGTGGAAAGACGGTTCAACACGATACATTAAAATAGTTATGATCACTTATTTCCTCTTATGATGTTTTGAAGTAACCCATACATAATTATATAAAAGAGTCACGTTGTAGAGTTGCAATTTTTCCATAATCGAGCTCTACCTTCTCAAAGCTTGCACGCCATCGGATCATTACAGAGAAAAACACAGATTTTCTCCATGGCGGTCCATGCAACATATATAGCAAAGTCCTGAAAAGCGTTGTTCGAGAAAAACCACATGAGTTGGACTGCAAAAACATAGTGAGTGAAACACAAATTTTCTCAAGTACTTGTGGCGATTCATGCAACATTTATAGCACAGTCTTGAAAAGCGTGGTTGTTCCATCAAACTACATGAACATGGTGAGTGAAAGCAACATTTGCAACACACCGTCATCCATATTCCAATACAATATCAGGTAACATTCCATTCTAGGTATATAATACTAGTGGGCGGACTATGTATGATGTACAAGTATGATAGAGTCAGAAGCAAATTTTGCGGATAAAGCAACGAGCTGGTAATTTTGTTAGTTGCAACAAGAATCCAACAATTAGAACGAGGATAAAGAGCGTGACCTGAACTTGAGCTCATCAATGTCAAAGTGTGCATGACATTTGTATGCTTTCTTGAATTGCATTTTGTCACAACTAGCAGTTGACTACCTAAATGTGATGGAAAAGACATAGTGTATAACTATTTGTCTGATGCTCTTAATCTCTTGTTGATCGCAATGTTGTTGATATGATGTATTTTTAGCATCTTCATTTACAATCAGACAAACAATTGCACTTCCATACACAAATCATTCCAAATTTATCTTAGCAAAATTCATCTAAACTACAATACAACGATCACTAGAATTTTAGCAATTTCTCAACTATCAATATGTAAAGATTAGAACGCAACCTACTTTTCGTGCTGATTAGGATTGCGTTTTCTCACATCGACAGGAAGAGCTTATGGTTATGAACCACATTTACGTTAATTATATAGAGCATGTTAGAAATGTTGATACCAATGATTATTGAGAGCTTCTAGAATTGAATATGTAAGACATTATTCACATCAGAATGCCAAGCTGATTTGGAATATATGTAGACTTCAATTAAGAAATAACCTCGAACTAAAGTTGTCCAGGCAATGGACTGAACCGAGCATCCCTATGTTTGCAGATATCTTTGAGACAAGGACGTTGCTGTTTGTATGTGCTTGTTGGATATGTGGGAAAAGCATCTAGGAAGTCATCAGTCTTTTGGATTCTGGGAAGCTCTTGAGATCGTATTGACTCCTGGAGACGGTGTAGGTTTCTTTCAAATTGTCGGAAGATAGAAGTGTTGAGAAAGTCACAAAGTTGGTCTATTTTTCGTACAGCTGGAAAGCAGACTATCCTTTCATCTCCAGACCTTCGTCACTGTGATATTACCAGTCTATAAGCCTTCACTACTTCCTGCGCTTTGCTTGCCGATTTCAGCCAGAGACCTGGCTCCCTCAAAAGTGAACAAAAGGATGGGCAGACGGTAAAATGCCGAGGATCATGAACTCTCTGGAACAAGGAGCCAAGGCCAGAGCGATAATACCAAGCTGCTACAAAGAGTGACATGGTCATTTCTGCAGCCCACTCATTGGATAATTCATTCTTACAGTATGTTCAGGGATACGATAGCTCCTTCTTGCGGACTTGGGTGATACACCTGATGGAAGGTCCTATCCTGTGGAAGGGCCAAGTCTGCTCGTCTCTACACGTGTCAATAAAATGTCTGCTCACCATGAACGTGTCAGGTGTTGCTAGAAACTCATGCTGGATATCAGCCTGGACGACGATCTAGTAATCGAAATAGTGCTCACCATCGCACAAACAATCTACACTTGGGCAAAGATTGGACGTTTTGAATGACTGCAGACACCGTGGTTGATGTGACGTGAGATAGAACCTCTTCATCACCATTCAGCATGTGATTTAGGATCCTGGGAAAGTCAACGAGAACTGCAGTAAAGTATGCTGAAGGTTCAAATTTCAAAGGACCATTTTCCTACTCAGGTTCGAGTCTTTCTTGTTGAACTCGCTCTGGGCAAGACGTGACTATCACAAGACTGGCCGCTTGACTTTCACGTATTGTGAGGCTCGGCTGGAAGAATAAAGCTTTGGGAGCAGTTTGTGGTGGAGAGCAAAATTTCCTTGTTTTGGCAGTCGATATTTTATTATATTCTTACGTGGGGCAGGTGTCATACAAGGTGCAGCTCAGAAAGGCCCCGGTGTCATAGTCAAACTCCAGATTGCGAGGGCGAAAAGCGTATTGCGCATGCACTGACTGATGACGGAGATACGCATCGGCCATACGGGTGTCAGCTAGATACGGCTCTTTCGAGTGCTGGTGCTACAAGTCAGGGCTCTCTTTGGCCCAAAGCTGGGCTTTCCAGATACTTTCACTGTGTAACATCGATTGCACATTTCCCAATTTCTGCGTCAACCGTGCTTGCCTGCTTGCATCCTTACCGATGAGAAGTGCAGATGATTCAGGCTGAATGAACCTCCTGCGACACAGTGAAACATTATTTGCACATGTCACAGTTTCGCCGTCGCCTTTTCCCAAAGATCTGGACCCGTTGGCTCGAAGCCTGGATTGCAGGAATCAGGAAACAGGAACAATGGGACAGATAAGGAGCCAGGTAAATAATATATAAGACCACTGTGAGGCATTACACTCGATGATAAGAAACGAGTCTAGGCCCCAATAACGTTATGTCATAGTGCAAATCATATACACTAGAAGTGATCCTAGGAAACGTGAACTGACGTGATTGATATCTTCAGGATTGTTCCATTTAGTGCTTTGTATGAAGCATGATCAGGCATCGTTAATTTAGGCGACCTTACACCTAAGTGTCTAAATTAACCGGAGCATCTAGACTGTGATAGGGTTAGGATTGAAGCGTGGGAGATCTCAACAATGAAGTGATATGATTGTTAACCATGTCGGTGTCATTACTCATTGAGTTCATAATCTGGAGTTTGAAAATTGATTTTTATCTTGCACACGAGACTCAAAACCCCATTGGAACCCACTGGTGATGGTGGCTATTTCTCTCTAGACCCTTCATTCGCGCTCAAATTAATTTATCTTGCACACTAGACTCAAAACCCCACTAGAACCCACTTGTGATGGTGGCTATTTCTCTCTCAACCCTTCATTCGCTTTCAAGTTCACTCAAGGCGGGTTTTAACACAAGAGCGCCTAAATTACCTAAACTACCTAAATAAAACGTATTTAGGTGATTTAGGCGACCGACTAATATAACCTAGGCATGTACAATAATCTAAAGCCCCTACCGGTGCAGCTTATTCTTTGCTTTGATCAAAATAGATATCGAGGTCATGATGGACTTCTGTGAGAGTCTTTTCTCGTATTTTTCTACCTCCCAGAAGTGATGTATAGCTCTTATTACGGTGAACCAGCAGCTTCCTTTTCTTTAAAAAAGTGTTAATTCATGGCGTGGAGTCCGCTAGAACAATTTTCAATTATTCAATTGATTCCTATTCGTATAGGAAATTTGTATTTATCATTTACCAACTCCTCTTTGTTTATGCTACTAACTATCAATTTAGTATTGCTTTTAGTTCATTTTGTCACCCTGAATGGAGTACATTTAGTACCAAATGCTTGGCAATCCTGTGTGGAAATGATTTATGATTTTGTGCTAAACTTGGTGAAGGAACAAATAAATGGTGCGTGATAGATTCTCACTTAACTTAATGTGGTATTGTAGGCTATTGTGGATTCTGTCACAAGCATGTTTAAGTTCAATAAACCTCAAAGAGTTGATTCCTCCACATGACTATGTGTGGATACCTTTGGTGATATTGCTCTGCTTGCTAATCCAAGAGTGTGTGTAATCACCGCAAACAAAATCCAATCATTTCAGTATATGTCAACACAAGGTTTGCAATCCGAACATGATTATCTCTAGCATAAAGGTATAGATCTACCCTAACATGAGTACAATAGAGGACATAGTAACTCTCTTTCCATGTGATTTATCCACTTTTTAGTGCAATAACAAACACCACATTTCTACCCAAATAAACGGTGGCTAAACTCAACACTCTAAATTAAAATAAATCACATGGATCCTTGACGAATCAAATTCTAACCCATTTCATATACTGAACAATGGAAAATGTAAATGTGTGAACCAAGTTTCAAAACTTCACAAATAAAAATATAACTAGTGTTTTTGAAGAAAACTCGCTGCATGATTAAGACCAGATTCAGAACCCTCCACCTTTGGCAAAACAAGACATATGATGTAGTAAGAGAGTGACCAAGTGACAGAAACTCCAGAAATGGGTAGCATAAATAAATAAATAAATAAAGAAATAAAGAACGTACTCGTGGTACAATAAAGGCTTACCCTCAATTAGGGAAATCATGCAGGCTACAGCACATTCCTAAAATCTAGGTGATCTAGGTTGGGGTACTATTTTGCTCTGTGATTCTATTTTTTAAACCGTGTTTGTTGATTTACTTCAACAAAGATCAGATTAATGTTCGATCAGTCGTGTATGGAAAGACGTAATAGCAAGTAAATTCAATTGTTCATACACTTGCTATGTATCGTAGTCATACAAGCACACATATGACCAATCAACGTAAAATTCAGGACCCCAAGACCCATCAATCCATGAAACCATGTCGGCAAAATGGGGCTAACTACCCATATCATCACAATTAGAAACATTAACATTAATGCATCGAGGGTTGTATTGACCAACAGGTAAACCGATAACCATTCGATGTCTGACAGGTGGTGTTTCTCAGAGTCAAGCCAAGTCAAAAGTTACCGACCACATTGACAAAATGAACGGAAACCTGCAGATTCGTGTGATTCTGAAGGCCGATCTGCTTCTGCTGTACAAATGCTATATGTTATATGTTCATAGTGGGAGGAGGTAGGTAATCTAGTTACTTTGAATGTATTGGATCCTCAGGGTCAAATTCTGGTCGTTTCAGTTGAATGTTGTGAAGGGAGTTACTTGGAGACTGCAAACCTGTCAAAGGAGGGGCGTCCAAAGTCTCGGCCACTGACCGGAGCTACCACATGTTATGCGCTCCAACGGTCTCTGGTCCTCTGCTGGAGCCAGATTATCTCCATCTCAGAAACTCTGATTCGCGGACGCGAGCCCAAGGCCCCCCGTCTCGAAGCTTGACGTGAGTTCAGAAAACGTGTTGTCAGCAAAAGATCTCTCCGTCCTACCACGTGTAGGGCCTACGCTATGACAATGTGGGGCTACATGAACACACCAACCTCCAGAAAATGCCACCAATTTTGTTCGACTCTTTTCTTTCGTGTACCCAGGAATTCGGTGAGTAACAACAACTGGGGGTGCAAACTGTCGATTTTCAAAGGCGCTGGAATCCACTGCTGAAGTTGCCGTGTTTTGTAGTTATGTTTTGTAGTTATTTATGTACAAGGTACGTCCTTGTCCGGCAAAATAACACTGTCAGTAAGGCCGCTAGCCTGGAACGTCAGATATAGACGATCTTGTATCTTTACGAGAGTCTGCACAAGTTCTTGATGCACAAAGAGTCAAGTATTTGTCTCAACCAAAGCCTAAAATGAAATATTAGCTTGCATCTTGGAATGGGAAATTCTTTTTAGCTTACCGAATGGCTGTAATTTGATGAGAAGTGATTCGAAACATGACATACTTTTCGACACAGTTTCTTCTTTATGATTCAGATGCTTAAAATCACTTAGGCTCACCCGGGAGATCTGATCTAGTTGTCGAATATAACAGTGTGTAGCATGAGTTTGAAGGCCATGTCTTCAGTGTATAGTAGTCTCACATGCAACTCGTGTGCAGACTTTTGTAACAAGTTTTCATTTTTGTCCATTTTAGATGGTAGATACATTGAATAATATACTCGATACCCTACGCTGGTAATGAAGATACATGAGGCACGAATCTTTACCGCATGTTTCATAGACTGTAAGATGTTAATGTGACTCACTATACAGTATCATGAACATTTCGCTGACAATAAATTAAAGCCATTTAGATAGAAATAGTTTCATCTCGTGTTTTTGTTAAGCACGATGCTGTTATAAATAAATATCTTCCGTAGTACATCAGAGAACATTCTGATCCAGAAATCTATGGGTGGGACCGTGTGTTTCATTGAATGAAAACTTTCTTATTTCAATCACAAGGATTTCGATTGCATATTCGTCTGAAGGGTATACTTTTTTGAATGTATTTAGAGATCTTTTTGGTAGTTGAGCTACGAACTTGTACGCCATCCAAACATGCTAACATACGAGTGAGTAACATACATAATTCTGAGTCTTCTATGCATGTTCAAATGAACTGTTATGGATATAGCACTTCCCTGTTTTTGTACGATGCGTATTATCAAGTTTATCTATCCATTTTTCTTTTGAACATCGGGGCGAAAATCATCGCACATAAGTTGATAAATGAGACGAATTTGGAACGAGGGATAACGTTTTCCGAGGTTAAGAAGCTGCAGTGCTGGACTTTTCACCTAAATTTCACGAATCTCTTACTGATAGGAGTAAATTAGTAACAAAAATGCAGATTAAGGTCGATAATTGGTTGATAGTGTCACGGGCATGTTGATTTCAAAGATACTTTGATGGAAATGAGTCTCAGTGAAATTGGAATCAAACGTGAAGGCGAAGTGGATTACCAGAACCAGATTCATTTGGCTGTGGCCGCGCAGAGTGCTAACTTACATACACCTACGGCGCATGTCAGATTGGGTCCATGAGAAAATGTAATCCTGCCCTCTCGAGTCTGAAATATACAATGAAATGGAGAATTTTACCTCCAGCTTCAGGCAACAATGCATGTGAATGCATCTGGAAGTTGTTCAGAGAGTGAATGTGCAAATGCTGATACTGAGGAACTCCGCACAACACGTGCAAGAAAAAGTAAATGCTTGAGACCGATGACGCGCGTCGGTCGTCAACGCTGCTCTGCAGCTCGACGTCGTCTACAGCCGACGATCCTTAAAAGTTCCGTATCGGATCGCGGGGGACACATGTCCTCCAGACAAGGCGAAAGCCGCCCGCTAATGGCGGCTGCAGAAATTAGTCGTCGGTCGTCGGTCGCTCTGTCCTTCATCCGCAGGGAAAGCAAAGACGGGAGGAGCAAGGGATCAGACAGGATTCGCGGTTTCTTGAGGAGAGGTGGATGCATACACTTGCCGATCGGTCCACCCCAAGTCCTTCGCTGTTGACTGTGTCACCTCGTCCATCTAGATCCAGAATCCAGAATCCAGAATCCAGATGTTGCCGACCGTCGTCGTTCTGGCACGTCCGACGACGAGAACCCATCGCCACTATAAATGCGGGAACCTGTCGGACGCAGAAGGAGGAGGAGCATGATTATGAGGAGCGAACGAAAATAAGTTGCTCACGACAGGCAGGGCTCAGACGGAGTCGACATCGTTCCATTGCCAGCTCTGATGAGCCTTTTCTTCTGAGACCTCCCGCGCCGTAAGAGCATGTCGATTGAATGACCAATCTCTGATTTCTCTAGTTAGAATTGAGGCCGTTTGTGTACAGAGGCGGACAAAGAGCCACAAGAGCGCGACCCGATGGCGGGCGGTATGATGGTCAGTGGGGGCGGACCCCCCCGCAAGTACGAGGGTCGAACTACGGGCTACGTGATTCTGACATGTATTCTGGCCGCCAGCGGAGGGCTCATGTTCGGTTACGATGTCGGAGTTTCTGGTACGTCCTGGCCCAAATCTCTCTGTAATCGCAATCTGCGCAGTCCATGCCTCTGCTGTTGCGTTGAAGTGAATTATCGTCCTCGTCTTGTGCACTTATGTAAGAGATGTTTGAGAGGTAGAATTGATCACAGAGAGAGAGAGAGAGAGAGAGAGATCCATTGAAGTAGGAGGAAAGAGAGTATGGGCGAGCTGAAAATGCAGGATATGAGAATGAAGGATATGGTGGTGTGGGATGTGTGGGCATCTGGCAGGAGGAGTGACGAGTATGGATGGATTCTTGAAGAAGTTTTTCCGGGAAGTGTACGACAGGAAGCATTCAGCGAATCTCAACGAGGGAAACTACTGCAAATATGACAATCAGAAGCTGCAAGCATTCACCTCGAGCTTGTACATCGCCGGCCTGGTGGCGACGTTCTTTGCGTCCTACACGTCGCGCAGATTCGGACGGCGGCCCACCATGCAGATCGCGTCCGCATGTTTCGTGATCGGCACCGTACTGTGCGCCGCAGCTCAGAACATGGCCATGCTCATCTTCGGCCGCGTGCTGCTCGGCTGCGGCGTGGGCTTCGCCAATCAAGCCGTGCCGCTCTACTTGTCGGAGATGGCGCCCACGCACCTCCGCGGAGGCCTCAACATTCTGTTCCAGCTCGCGGTGACGGTCGGCATTTTCTTCGCCAATCTCGTCAACTATGGCACGGAGAAAATCGACCCCTGGGGCTGGCGCCTGGCGCTCGGGCTGGCCGGCATCCCGGCCGCGCTGCTAGCCATCGGCGGCGTGCTGCTGCTCGAAACGCCCAACAGCCTCATCGAGCGCGGCCAGATGGAGAAAGGCAAGCGCGTGCTGCAGAAGGTGCGCGGCACGCCCAATGTGCAAGCCGAGTACGAGGACATGGTGGCCGCCAGCGAAGTGGCCAAATCCGTCAAGCATCCGTTCCGCAACATCGTCAAGCGCCGCAATCGGCCGCAGCTCGTCATCGCCATGCTGCTGCAGCTGTTCCAGCAGATGACGGGCATCAACGCCATCATGTTCTACGCGCCCGTGCTCTTCCAGACCCTGGGCTTCAAGTCCAGCGCCTCTCTCTACTCCGCCGTCATGATCGGCTGCGTCAATGTGCTCTCCACCATCGTGGCCGTGGCCATCGTCGACAAAGTGGGCCGCCGTAAGCTGCTCTTGCAGGCCGGCGTTCAAATGTTCATCGCTATGGTCCGAACTCTGCCATCGATTTCTCGTACCTTGCGAATTGATCACAATGAATCGAATTAGAAATGATAAATGCCCTTGCTTCCCACCTTCCGATTGTGCCCATCTCTGCTGCTGCTGCTGCTGCTGCATCGATTCATTGCTCGTTGTGAATCGATAAGAAGCTTCTTTTGTCTTCCGTGCAAGCTGATACTGATTGTGCTGGTCTCTGGTGATGGATGTTGCTGCAGCTGGCGATCGGGATTATATTGGGAGTGCAGCTGAAGGACACGGGCGGGTTGCCCAACGGAAGTGCCATAGTGGTGGTGGTGCTGATCTGTGTGTTCGTGTCGGGGTTCGCGTGGTCGTGGGGGCCTTTGGGATGGCTGATTCCCAGTGAAACGTTTCCGCTCGAGACTCGATCGGCGGGGCAAAGTATCACCGTGTCCACAAATCTCTTGTTCACGTTCATAATTGCGCAGGCGTTTTTGTCCATGCTGTGTCACATGAAGTATGCTATCTTCCTGTTTTTCACGGCCTGGATTGTGATCATGACGCTGTTTGTCATCTTTTTCTTGCCCGAGACCAAAGGCATTCCTATCGAGGAAATGCAAGGTGTTTGGGGTGGCCATTGGTTCTGGAAGCGGTACGTCCCGTATGACCCCGCCCTCGAGCAGGAGATGCAAGCCAAAAATGCTGCCGATGTCAACCCGCAGCAGGAAAAGATCGCGCAAGCCATTTAGACGACAACCAAGGATTACATTCCATTCTTCTGCAGCTCCAGCGATGAAAGTGATTCGCGAGTCGCTTCAAATTCCTGTCAAATGGACTTTTACATCAATCTGGAGCAGGTGTTCCGCCTCCATGTACAACAATTGACGATAGAGCCGAATTTCAATCCGATCAGAAGCTCCCGTTACAGCACCCTTCTAGAAATTTCATTTATCATTTGTTATTAAAGCGCACAACTACTTGTCTGCAGCGCTCAGCTGGTTGAAAAGTTTGATTTTTGAGCAGGCACGAAGAGAAAGTTTCAGGAAGATGGTAAGTAGCATTGCAACGCTGGACGGGAGTTTCGCAGACAACTTTGCGTTTATTACTTCGAATTTTTACTCTGCATCTAGTGGCCTCCACACCTAGGCAATTCTGTTCGAAGACCAATACTTTGTGTAGTATTCATGTGTATAATATTTTTACAGAGGCAAAAGCTTTAATAAAATCATGAAGCCTACGAGCAGATCTGTTCATAGGTCTGCGAAGTGAAACATTGTCGTCAGATATATTCGATGCAAAAGCAAAACTCTGACAGCCACCTGTTTAAACTCGATGAAGAATCTGAATCCATTCTTGTATGGTTAAAGACAGTCTGCTCACGTGTGATGTAGTATATGGTATTTTCACGTTCACTGACGGCCGAGAAGCTGGTAGAGCATATAGAATTACGAAGCAAAAGCTTTGGTAAGAAGTAACTAAATCTGAAAAAGTACACCGAAAAACCGAAAATGTATGCGAAAATAGAAAATCTTCTAGCCTACCGTTCAAATCACAAAAGTTGCACATTGTGCTCAACCATTGGTTCGCTCTTTCAAACATTTGCTGTGCATCTCACTGTATTCTACAGTACTGCTCAATGCATAAAGTAACTTGAAATCATATTTTCCTCGGCTGTTGACATTTGCTTATAGCTCTCAGCTCCTTCGTCCATTCGCAGCTTTATTCTGCTCGTCCATGTTCATCATAGTTTCATGATAAGCCTTTCTTCTTCACGTTAATTGTAAGCGGACGTTTAATTTAACTTGCACACATCTTCAACTAAGTTTCAAGAGAAAATTTTACTTCGCCCATACGTAAGTTTTGTGAAATATCACTCAAATCAGAATCTCAAAATCAGCAATATCACTAATAAATCTCTAAATAATTGCCCATGTTGGTAATAATCATCGGATCTTAAATGGGAAAAGATCATAGTGTCGATGAATCAACTGCTGCAAAGATAAAACATCACAATGGATGACACACTACCTACTTACTCCTAGCCTACTATGCCCAATAGTTTATAGGTGCCAATGGATGAAACAGATCAGGAAGAATGGGGCAAGCCCCAATAGCATCTCTGGCAAAGTCTGCTTGTTTCTACCGACTAAAGTTAGGCCAGAGCTGGTCACTTCAACGGCAGAAACCACATGGTGTGACCAGAAGCACGATAGAGAGACTAGTGTATCATATGGGTTCAGACTAAAATAAGGTTTCATCTTTCGTTATGTTCTCTCTTAATTTCGTCCAGTCTGCCTAAGAAACTCTGATTTACGGTTTTATAAGTTAGTGTTGTGTAAAAGTTTCTTATAAACAGAGAAAACGGAATCAGTTACGAATGAGCTCACACCTACCCACACATTTTCGCATGTAAAGTACCGTTTATAATGATAGATAAAAATTTATTTTTTTATATTTTGAAAATATAATGAAAATATACATGACTATAAATATTTTTCATTGAGTGCACAAAAAATTAAATTTTTATCTATCATTATAAAAACCATGTCTTTAAAATTTAATTGTTCGCTTTGTCATTCAAAATTTTACTATATTTAAAAATTCAAAAAATTGTTATTTGATAGCTTTGTTCTTCACTATAATGTCCTAAATCAAATATAATTTAAGCAATAAATAACTATTTGAAATTGTATGCATATTATTGAAAAGCACACATTTGGGCAGAATGTGTACTGAAGGTGATCATCATTGTGTTAAATTATTGCAGTTGTAACACAATTGTTTTGAAAATATCATCAAATGAATTTTTATCATGTGTTATTGAATGAAAATTTTCAAAACTATGCATATTTTGTAATTTTCAAATGCCATGAGTGTGGAAATTTAATTCCTGTACATATTGATACCATATATCAATTAAAAAAATTCTTCATGGTGTGAAGCAAAGAACATCAACAATAAGGTATTAATGATTTTGATAATGCTCTGTTGATAAATCTACATCAAAGTATCTACCTTAACATGATATTAAAGGTTTTTGCAAGATCATCATTGTTGTGTGTATATACACACAACAGTGTACACTATACAAACCACTCTTTCATTTAGATCGACACCTTATTATGCCCCAGATAACGATGATTATTGTCACATGGCAACAAGGATTGTTTGATTAGAAAAATGACAGTTCATACTTATCTGAAGGAGATCACGCGTGAAATATTCCGTCTCTCTTGAGAACAAGAGAGTCGATCTCTTGTTCTCATTAATCGAAAATCAGAGCATCTGTTGGTTTCAACTTTCAACTTTCTTATGTGTCCACAAACGGATGCTCTGTGTGCTGATAGTCTTTGGTGAGGAGAGTTGGTCAGAGGAGGATTTTGTTAGTTAGCTCTAAGATGAGGTAGTGAGTGTGTGACAATAAGCAAGCTCTATCCGAATCTGAGGAGGGAAAAGAGGGTTGTCTTTTCAGACACAAATCTCGATACTCAGGTACTATCATGACGGGAGAGACTTACAGGTCTTTTTCCTCCATTGAGGTGCTTACCCATCAAAGGAGTACAAGTTGAGAGGTGTTGAAAACTACGGCATTGAACATAGAAAGCGTAGTGTGTGCTTGAAAACCAGGATAATTAGGAAGGAGTGGAATCGTGTGACTGTGATTCAGATGTGAGGACTACGATGTATTAATTAATTACGGAATTAAGAGATCATGTGGTGTGGCAGATGTGTGCTTCGGATGATTTCATTCCTCATATGAAAAAGACTTCCATGCTTCTAGTTGCTGCAGGAAACTTCAAAGTATGTTCGAAGTGAACCCAATAGCTTCACGTTTTGCATCAAGGCAACGCTTTTGCAACTTCAGAAGGACAAAGCTGCAACAGTTTCTGACTTCATGAAGAAGCGACAAAATTATGTGAGTCTTGAATCGATATTGTCGAAGAAATGCCTACTAAGGATTTTATACTTATCAAGTCATGCACGCTATCCCTCATAGCTTTTATAGAAACATTCATACAAGTATCTGGGCGGGAGAAAGAATTTCCATCGTTTTCTACTATAACTAGACAATTGCAGCTCAAGGAAGCAAGACGTAAGGGTCGACGTGAATGGGAGGAATGTTTAGACGCAACATACTCGGGTGCAACGCATTGTGAAGGATAGAAGCTCTATGCAGTTGTGGCTGATGATCACAATTTCTCTGGTCATTTACTTGGTAACGAGCTTACTGATAAAAAGTAATAACATGGGTTTGCAGTTTGAATACTGACTGTGGAGTTGAAACTTACATAGTCATACTTCCTGAGGCTTAAGAGTCCGTTACTGCCAAGCCCAAGTATCTTGAGCACTTAGTCAAGATTGGTGATCTTACCACTGTTCGTTCAACTGCAGGAGCTCCTCCTCCCGTAAGAGAGCAATATGTTTAAGTCTTTCAAATAAAGAATGGTGAAATAATGCAAACATATTCTTAATCATTTTGGGTTTACTGTACTGAAAGCCTTATCTCCATTGATTGGATCACGGATACGGCATCACCAGCCATTTTCTAGTCAGAAAATGTGACTTGTGTTGAATATAGAGAAAATTCGTCGTTAACTGCACGAGGCTAAAGGGATATCAAATCAGAAGTATACAAGATCGCCGTGGAATACTTTTCTCTCCATAAAAGGTCCAGTTACTGTTCTGATTTCACAGCGAATGTAGTGGAAGAATTTAATCCTCTAGGTAGTTCGAGTCTCGACCTTGGGTATCATCTATGGCATCTAAAGAATGACAAGAACCTTCTTCTCATCAATGGAGAAAAAGCTCAAGGATGCTTGCTCTTGGTGTTGCTTCGAAACTCTGGAGTATTTGTCAGGTGGGCAAGCAACCACGATATAGCACCTCAACCTCTTGGGCTCATTCATTCTGATCTTTGAAGTCTTTGATTCTAGCCATGTCCAGGGGAGAAGGTAAAGATATGTTCTAATGATTCACTGATTACTTTTTAAAAAACTCATGGGTTTATGTACTAGAAACTGAGTTAATAGAGTTTTGTTGTTTTGGACGATTTAAAGCTCAAGTCGACACCTCTCTGAACAAAACGTCATGTCCACAGTATTTATCGTAGTGTTGGTTACACTTCTCTCGAATTCGTTTCAATTTTTCAGGAGCAAGGATCCACCGACAATCGACTGCAGTACACACCACATCAAAACTGAAGTTCCCACAGGAGATTCGCACAGTCCTAAAAAGGAGGGACAGTATATGCTTTTGAGCAGTAACTTACCTTCATCAATTTGGCGGTGAAGCACGGTTGACACCAAGAGTCAATTCTGGCACTACTCCTGTAGAAAAGTTTTCTGGTACAACCCCATATTTAGCGATCTCAAAAATTTCGATGTTAATGTTATGTCATTTCAGTTAAAAGCAAGAATAGCATTAATATATAATTGTTGCCACCTGGTTTAAGACATGATCAATGTGTTTTGTGTGGACGAAAGGGATTGGAACATATTGGTCTACATCCACACCACCACACTGCTAATTCCTGTAGACCAACACACTTCTGACCATCTAATTTGAAGTGGTGATATGAATTTTGAGCTTAAAAAACTGTCACTGAACAGCCATACACTTCGCGATTTTATCTCGAGGAGATGTCTCGCGAGGCTAGACAGTGTCTCCCTATATATGTTGGATCTCCTGTTCTCATCAACCAAGCACCATGCTTTTCAACTTCATGAGGATGAGAGCTCATGGCTTAGACGACGAGCCCTCAAGAGGGAGGATTGTAACGATTAATTGGTACAATGTCATCGTTCAGCTTTCAAGGGCTTGACCTTCCCAGTCTCGGATAATACTTGATGCTGATTGCAAGAAATCATGCACTGAGTCTGAGCTTTCTTCACCGTCCTCAGATATGTCTAATAACTGCACATGTGCATCATCACGGATGTAGAAAGCCGCTCTAAACTTACTCTGCCTTGCTCGGGATCAGCTATGAAGTACGTGCCCGAAGTGCAAGCTTTGTAGGCTTTATCAGACGAACCTCAAAGTAGAAAGGATGCATGACAGAGAATATACATGAGGATACAACAGGTGAGTATAAGCTCGATATATATATAAGATGTACAAGTACTACAACACCACAGGCTGATTATAAGTCTTCCTGTCAGTTGGCGATTGTTGTCTTCCTGTCAGACATAACACTAGCCTTGTGACCATGGATGAATTTCGGGCTCGCAATATAGAAAGAAATATGATTAGCATCTCCAAGCGTATGAAATGTACAAGGTTCACAAGTTTATCGTCTGTAAGAAGGAATATATGAATGTCTTTGCATTCGCGATTCGTAAGAGCTGGTACTTCCTTCACTTTCTTTTGACTGTAATATTAAGACAACCTCTATAGTGACGCTGAAGGATGCGAACACAGGTAATTGAAACGCCTACTCTATCCAACAAACAAGTCCTACTCTATCCTATCGGCACCACAAGTTACTTGCACCTCTGTCAATCCGGATGGGAAGAGGAGTAACGTTTGCCGATGGGTTCCATTCCAATAGGAATGGAACCCACATATACCGGTAGCACAACACCAAACATGACTCCCTTTCCCTTCCAGACTGACAGTACACATTAACTTTGATCGAACTCCAGTACGTAATCTACGGTATAAAGCGTTACCTGATTTGTGCAAATTTTCTGCCAACAAGAGCAGCAAATTTCCTGCCAATAATCAGGATGCGTTTGAAGTATGTGTGCACTCCATCGATGTCCGAAAACTAACCTGGTCTTCGTAAATCATCGTCGGAACTGAGTAGAATTGATGACACCCCAAAGACAGGGAGGAGGGAGGAACTACAGCGGGTTCTAATTGTTCTGTAAAGGTCGTTGTAGTTGCAGGATTTGGGTATGAAGTCCACTGACCGACTGAAAACACTGCGTGACGTGATGCTTCAGTTGCAATAGAAGGGAAGAGAAATGGGCTTCCTCACTTTTCACAGCTTCCACCAGAGCTTGGATGCATCCAACTTCGAGTAGCTCGTCTTTGATTTCTCCTTTTTGCCCCTTGGCCTTGTTCTTCAGCACTCGGATGAGCAGATCAAGCATAGGGGTTGGGAACGAGAATTCTAGCGACAATGCTCTGTCAAGACACAGAACCTCATCCAAGGACTTCTCCTCATCGGTCATGGGCTGCACTGCCTGCAATTGGTAACAAACCTGTGTACAAGATATATTTCGCAAGAACTTCAGCATGAGTGAGCCTCTGAATCCTTCCTTCAACTTATGCTCGTCCAGCCTCCTTTCTTCATGAGATATCTTATCCAGCAGCAGGCTATACCCGGTCCAAGCTGTGTCAAATGCCCATGAAAAGTCCTCCTTGCACGTCTTTGTATCGGCCTTGTGCTTCCTTATTACTCGCATCAAATGCCTGACCTCGTGGGAAGACGGGGGCTCCGGTGCAGATAGCAGCTGCATGACCATGCTCATGATCCGATCATTGCCTATCTCCACTCTTTTGATACTGCTACTCAGCCACTTATAGAACTTGAGTGTGTTCAAGCTGTAGAAAAGCTGCGCACTCATGTACCCAGTGAGAGCCTTCTGTGACAGCCATCCCGAATTCTTCTTATGAATCCTGAGCAGAAGACTAAGAACCTGCTTGTCCTTCTCCTGCAGAAGTATCGTCACTGACATCCACTGCGCAAAATTTTTGGAGGCAGAATGTATGGACCTTGTCAACCGATTGAGCAGAAGTTCATTGCTCACGTAAGTGGAAGAGCTGGCGCTGACGAACTCCTCATCCACCGTCCTCAAGCCGAAGTCAATGTCATACTGTCCTTGCTGCTGATGCTGCGATCCCCCCGCATACTTGGTCGGCATTTTGCTTGCTACACGAGCCGAAGAGTGTGGATTCGACTTCTGCCACATCTAGCGACACTCACTGTCATCAGTTTCCTTAGACCTCAAAGTCCCACTCGTTTTCTTCGCTGGGTGTCTCTCAGCTTCTTGCTGCTAGGACTGCTGGTAACATCATGCACAACTCTCGCGTGGAAGCGAGGTGCCGTTCACCGATCATGACTCTGTTTCATGCTCTTAGCAGCGCGTCCTCCGTCCCATGATACCGTCCCTTCCTTGGCCGAGCTCGCCCCCATCAGACGGGCCGCCTGTCAGCTCACGCAAAAGAGAGGTGGCTACCGCAATCTAATGAAGGCTCTGAAACCAGATCTTCGTATGCAGAATGTGATCCGGGTCCAGTGGGATATATCAGAGTTGCCGCGAGAAGCAAAAGTGTAATCCATCATTGGCCTTGACCTCAATGCTCATTCCAAGCAGAAAGGCAAGGCAAGAAAAAGTCCTAAAGTCATCAAACCTCGGTAGCCAACCCTCGACTCTTTCTTATAAGTGGGTGGACCCAAAGGAAGAATATCTCAATAACGCCCATCCACCCTTCTCAATTATGCCAGCAGTTTGTGCCATACGTAACATACATGCGCGAAAAAAGAAGAATGGGAGACCCGATGTCTGGGCGTGCGAAGCTTGAAAGGTTCGCACGCCTCGGAGGTACAAGTTTCAGGTGAAACCACGGTCTCTACTCCAGCATACTCCACGGTACTCGAAAACACCGCCTCTCATTGCCACTACCACTGGAATGTCGACGGCTTTAGAATGTGAACCATGCAATCTTGGCGTTTGCACTTACTGTATGATAGAGCAATTCCAACTTATCCATTCCAAACTGGCTTGCATCCTTTTTGGGCTGTTCAACCTTCTACAAGGCTTTAAGCTCACCGCGCTCTATCGCGTAAATAATGGCCTACAGGCAATTTTAGCTTTAGGACTGATGTAATGACGTGAGAATATGGCTCTTGGATTCTCTCATCGGTCATATCTAAAATTTGTTACTTTGGAGAACATGTCTTTAGTTTTCTTACCTCTAATCACCACAGTAGGCAAATGTAGAGGAACTTGCATCTGAGACTCATCATTTGGAATCGTGACACTCTGGACCTTAAATTGATGAATGGGAGACGAGATGACGACGTTATTTCTTTTAATCATTTCCCAGTCCAATACGGAGGCATGGGTATCTGGAAATCGTCAGACTTCTTCTCCCAATTGATCTAATCCTTGGCTTACACTTCCCTCATTACCACTGTCACTGCTCTTGCATATCCTGCTCGCCAGCCTGGAACACTCTCTATATCTTTTATGTAGGAGCTCATCTGTCAATAAAATGCCGCTACATAGCGATGGGTACCAAGTGCAAGAAGCGATGAATAGCTAGTGATCCTCACAAACGACCGTTCTCTCCTTGGCAGTCAGAATTCTTTCAACAAGTCTGTCCACGTTGGCTCATCATCATCTTTTCATTAGAAAAGTCGCAACGAAAGCACCAGTCAGCTGATTGCTTATCCTCCGGAGCATAGTACTGTAACGAATAGTCGCACTGGCCGGAGGTGAAATCATGTATCATCAGTTGCTATCAGCTGTTACTGTGTCACTGACGGGAACGACTGATGAATGACATCTCTAGAGGCACAAGTAATAAAGATCTGGCTTGTTGTACAAGACAAGAGCTGCACATCGTAGGCTACAGATTTCTCTTCGCTACCATCTCTGTGATAGCTCTCAATAGATAGTACACTGGCTAAACCGTAGGAATTCCATGCTCTTACCACTAACGCGAGTCACAGTGCACAGACAAATCATGAGTCACTTATGTAAAAAGACGGATGACACAGAGTATATGAATATATCATGAATGAGCTTTGTCGACAGCATCAAAGGTGTACGGGTACGTAAACTCCAATTAACATGTGTCCCTTGTGCCTTGGTCCTCCTATTCTGTGTACTGGATGTTCAGCAGCAATGAAATCATTTTTATTATCAGTTTCTTCATCATGCCGTGCACAGGTCCCAACCAGCCACTCGTAGGTTGTCAACTTTTGTTGCCTTCACGATCTTGAAGATTATCTGACACTCACTCCTTCGCCGACTCCCGCTCTCATCAGTCAGCTTTCTGCACCTTTCCCACCCGAGCATTAATGGATGACTGGCTCAGATTCAGCGGCTTGAGTTTGACTCAAGCTCGACGTTACTTTTGCGAGGATTGTCGGGAGTCTCCACGGTGCAAGGGGAAAGCGACATCTCAAATTCCTACGGGATTACGACGGGATAGAATTGCCATAACTTATAGCCCAACCTTCCCCACAAAAGCATACACAAAAGTAAAGCATGACACCGGATTCCACTCCCTCTTATCTCTCGACTCCCCCCACCCCCCCTACAATCATCGCCCAGGTCTTCGAGCTGCCGATGTCCTCAAAATATGGAATACATGCCCCAAGTCTCAGCTCAGCTGTTGTTCCCAGGTGTTTTTGCATTGCGTTTCGATCTGTAGCTCGGTGAACAACAGCAGCAACATGGTCAGATACTACTGCTGCTGCACTGCAGTAGCAGCGCATGCATGAGCAAGCGAGTCAGAAAATGGCATCCTCATCAAGCCAGAAGTCAGTCAACAATGCCCCAAGTCCACGTTGCATGCAAACTTCATCCGTCAGCGTGTTCCCGAGACAGAGAGCAGTGGTCCTAGTGTACGTGAAACCCGATACATGATGTTATTTACGTCCTTGAACCTCGTAACCGTCACCTGTAAGAATTAATTTACTTTAGTTTCAAACAACAAATGTATATGTAGAAAAAATTATGGGCAGACGCATGAAGCTTTTTATGGATGAAATCATGCGCTAAGTATCCATAAGATCGTCCTCCATCTAAAATAATTTAACTGGATCGATCAAATCATGTGCAGACGGTAGTAACATCTTCACAAAATTTGTCTTCTTGACTACTTTAGTACGTATTGTACCTTTGGTTATATCTATAGAACTATGAATACATTAATTCTCTGAAATATTCTAGAGAATAAGTTAACCATAGTGATACTCCATGTACCATAAATAACGTTCATGCTTGTGAATGATGTAATTGTTAGTGTATTTCATGTAAATATAGAGAAGTAATATAAGATGTGACTTTCTTGCATATCTATACACATCAATATAACTTCTAACCTGCAGTATCATAGGCCATCCATGTGTCACGATGAATAATCATCTTTCCAAACCTACTCCAAGATTATATTATAAATGATGTAATCACAGTATGTGAACATGATACTATTGAGCCAAGCATAAAATTGGTTTCTTTACATATACATTGCAAGGATTATAAACTCCTCAACATGTAATCGACTCTAACATAATATTAAACCTATTAGAGATGATATGATATGTTAGAGCATATTAACATAATTCTCTACTGATATAATTGGTACTTATTTCAAAAAAATTAATGTACAACTAGTAATGTGATTCGCTAATTTATTTTATGTTATGAACACATTATCCACTATTGTATCCACATTTGAGTGATGAGGATTTAAGTAGTATAAATCTATTTGATCTTTGAAAATTAATATGTGTGAGTAAAACATTGATCCATCAAACAAAAAAGATTTCACACACCTTCCAGCAAATGTAATATCAGCAAACAAATGATTGAAGAATGACAATATTCATTTAAAACTTATGTACTTTGCTCAAATGAGCTATATTTAGACTTTCTAACTAAAGACAAATCAAACCAAAATGAAATTTGTTTGTTTTTAAGATTTGAGAGTTTTGAACGAAAGTCTTAGTAACCAATAAATAATTTCCAGAATGAAGTTCAAAGAATTTATTCTAAATGAACTAGTTGAAAAATGATAAAATTTACTTTTAAATATGTTAGTGCAAAACACAAATATGACAATGACAGTAAACAGTGGACATCAAGACAACCCATCCACACAAGAGACACTAGCGAATAACTCAAGTACTGCGTCCACGGTAGAAGAGCATTGTGACATTGTACTGCAAGTTCTGTCTAGTAATACACAGATCCAAGATATATATACCCAACATCGAACACCAACCTAGCTATAAATAGCTAGAATATGAGATTATTACTTAATCAAAAGTAACCTCAACAATCTACTCCTTAACTCGCGTTAAGGAAACAATAACCTCTACACCTATAATATTTCTCCGCGGGAAGTTTTAAACGGAATCCTAACACAAGGTATATCTTTACACGAGAGTTAACTAGAGTTAAATCGTAGCCCTCACATGATACAGTAATTATATCAAGATTTAACTAAAGATTATATGGTAGCAAACTCTACCTGTGCTTCCCATGCAAAACTTGCATAGTAACATAGTGTCACTTGAAACTCTCCAAAGTATTAAGTTTGATCAACACATTAGTTATATTGAGTTTACCGTAAATCTTGACTAGCTCAATCGAATAGAGTTTATTGTCAATTTTGACTAGCTCATTCATTTGAGTTTACCATCAATCTTAACTAGTTAAATCGTGAGTTCATAAACTATACTAGTACCGATGTTCTTTTTTTATCATTAATCACATAATGATCAAATCTTCTCACAATTTTATACCGTTGTTTATCTTGATCATCAATCACATAATAATCAAACTGCCACTCAAACATATCCGTGAGCATGGAGTCCTCATGCTCTCTTCACATGACAAAGCAGAGAGCATGAGAACTCTCACTCTTTCAATGATCTCGACCTCATTGAAAGAAAAATCCTAATAACAAATATCTTACACACTACCAAATATCATAGTTTAAAATCTTTCACTCCACTAGCATGTCCAAGAAAATGACATTTTGGATGTTGGATCTAACTCAATCCTGTGCTCTTTAGGTATAAAAGGATAACCAGTACCACCAAAAATTCTTAAGCGACTATAATCCGTCATTCGTGTATGAATAAGTTCAAACGGTGCTGAAAAATTGATTGCAGATGTAGGAAAAAAGTTTACCAAATAAACTGCGGTGTTGACAGCTTTGGTCCATAATTCTTCCGGTAAATCTGATTTCCTCATCATACTCCGCGCCTTCTCCAACCTATGCAATTGAAACTTTCAAACACATCATTTTGTTGTGGGGTATAAACCGTCGTGAAATTACAAGTAATTCACTCCCCTATATAGTATTTCTGAAATTACTCAAAAGTATATTCGACACCATTATTTGATCAAAGATATTTCACCTTATGTGAAGTTTGAGTCTCAACTTGTATGCGCTAACTTTTGAAAGTTGAAAGCACCTCACACTTGTGGATAAGAAAATATATCCACACATACCTGAATTAATCATCTATAAAAGAAACATAGTACAACTTTTCAGAGAGTGAAGCAGCATGTGAGTATTCCCATGCGTAACTAGGCACATACTCCAATATCTCTGTGAAACTATGAAATCCAACATCAAAAGCTCGTCTATGATGTTTTCTTACGATGCACTATTCAGAAAATGCCAAGACAAGAGTACCCAAACCTGGTAATAGTTTTTCTCATTAAGAAGATGCATGTACCAATCATTCATATGGCTTAGTCTGGAATGTTATACATGAGACATCTTGTTTCCATAAATAGTGATGATATCTAATAATCATCTTTGAACAATTGATGAATATAGCTCAAAGTTTTTAATATGTATATAAAATTACTTTGATTTCCTTATATTTTTTATTAATGAAAATTTTAATCTTGATGCAATTTTTCATTGAATTAGCATAGTTATTTTCTTTAATATATGAATGATATATTTAATCATTTAAAAATAATTGATATGATATTTGGATCATATTTTTATGTATAATATATAATCTTATAATCGTGTCAATTTTCTAGAAATAATTCATAAAATGATAAGAAATATTTAAAATTTTGAAATAAAAAATTGAAAATTTTTAAATAATCTTTTTTTAAGATAACTATCATTAAAAAGTTGACAGAAAGTCTAACAAATTTTCTATTTTCTATTTCAATAAATTTCATTATTTACTAGTTAAAACTTGCAATTAATACCACATTAACAACAATATGGGCCAAATTTCAAATAATTAGAGGTTGCAATCAACACGAAGTTAGTCATTTCATATATTGTAAGATGAATCCTTTTCAACTGACATCAACCTATATTATCAACCTATATTGTCAATTTTACGATTGATGCATTACTTTTTCTCATTGATTCAACGTATCTTCTAAAATAAAAGATGATATTTAAACAACATGGTCACGACTAAATTAGAAGAACATATTTAAGTTTGATTATAAAATGGTGAAATTACTATCGAAAATACAATATTTAGGTGTAACAAAAGATCATAGTCTGTTCATTTACTTGACAATTTAGAATAATACATTTGATTCTAATTTGAAATTTATAATTGCTGGATCAAGTTCAAGATTCATGTCGCAACTTACACAATATACATCTTTTTCGTGTCGACATTACACAGAAGATCTGAAACTTTTGTTTCATCTCAACGATGAATATCTTAATTAAATAAATTATTCAAATGATACATAAAAGGAAGAGAAAAGCAAACTTATGACAACAATTCAACCAAACTCTAAGAAACTTCAAATTCTTTTGTATCAAAGTCATTGTTTAAGGATTTAACGGTGTTCAAATTCATGTACATAAGAGCTGTAAAGTTTCATAGACCAGTCATGTGAGGTTTTAGTGAATCTAAATTCCCACACGTATTGTTCTGTGAAGTTCATAGGACAGTTTGACGTGAATCAACAAATCTTTTCAGACACATGACAAGTATAGAAGTACGCTAAGGCTGCAGAGAAACAGGTTGAATTGTCATGAAGAGTTCTCATTGTTCAATAGTATTATATCTTTCTGTCAAGACCTAATTTTAATTTGTCAAGAGTTTTTTCTCAAAACGACTTTACAGAAACAATACCTTAATCTGCTAAATTTCATCTAGAATCTCGCATTGATATAAAATTTATTCTTAAAAAGTTGAATGAAAGAAAACAATATTTCATATCTTAGATTCATAAGCATAGTTCATAGATTAATCTATCGTGCTATAAGTTATATGAACTTTTCACTCTTAGTGATGATCTTGTTGAAATATAGCAAAGACAGTAGAAACATTGTAGGATTAAATGGACGGTACTAATAGGGCTAGATGAGTATAAGCAAACTTATTGAAATAGATTGAAGATCAGCGCACTTTCATACGCATCCCTAGACATAAGCATAGACATTTGAAAAGGCAACTAACTACCTTGTGTAATATATGCCTATCTTCGACTTCGATTATTTCTCGTGCATACGCTAGACTAGTGTCTGCACTGCTCCGTACCGTAAATCTCTCGTAGATCTACCTACCTGGACAAGCAGGACTGAAAAATTTCCTGGCAAAGCCCATCCATCCATCATGATTCACACAATGAAGCCAGATGAAACTGAACAATCGGGTCGAACGAGATCGCCTCTTGCAAGTCAGCTAAATTGAAACTTGGCTGCCGACTGAAAGTACAGAGACAGTATTCTTCGACACTTCAACCCGAAACACTTTGAATGTGAGTCATTAAATTTATTTTTTCAAATCTACTTCTGATATCAAACCCGTCCATTCATTGCCATTCTTCAAACGACGTTGCAATGAAGACTCAAGCTTTGTTAAACTATGCTTTCAGTGTCTAATCATAGATAATCATCTATGTATAGAAACTCTATGCACTTCTTGCGAGATTTTCGAGGTTTTTATCTGGTGGTCACGTCTTATTTTGAGCTTGATTTACAGCAAATGGTTACTGAGCTGAGCTCCTTGACAGCTTTATGACATTGCTAACTATCAGATGTAAATTACATCAAGGAGTATTCTGTCCGTACAATGCTATACAACTGTGAGAATATTTCTGCACTTGAACATGTGCTCTCGGCTGTTCTGTTAAATGATTTTAACAAATCCGTGTGCATGCACGATCGTGACAACCCGCCTATTCATCACTAATAATAAGGCTAGAATACTTTCCTATGAAAGCTACCGAATCGCAACTGATACGCCACACAACATACTCTGCACTAGTGGAAAAATATACGAGCGCCGCTGAAAGTGAAAAATATAAGCTCCAGCTCCATCAAGTGACTGCTAATTCGTTTTACAACCTGCGCTCAACGTGGCGAAGTCAGTCATCGGCATCTGATCCGGTTGTCATGTGATATAACATCTCTCCGATCAAAATTCCTTCAAGAGTCCATAATTATCAAACTTTTACATGCGATGACAAACTACCCGTCCAGTTTTAAAACGATGTGGGACAAAGCAAGTCGTCTTGAATTCCATTAATACATTTCTCAAGTATTCAGGTGCTTTACCAGCTGCATGTTGTGAGCTTCTTCTTCAGATATAGATGCAAGTTTTTGGCTCCAAATTTGTAACCCATTCATACCACTGCCAATACCATCCATGTCGAGACCGTCTTCAATTCGTGCTTTCTCAGCTAAATAGTGATGTCTTGCAGAGTCAAACCAATGCAAGGAGTCGAAGTCCTTGTTCTGCCCTAAGACCTGCAAACAGATCAGCAAGGCTTCAAATCATCATGAACATACATACAACGGTGTTGGAGACCAGGTCATGAAACGAATTAGCAGACCATAATGTCAAGAAGTAAAGATCACCTTCAGAACATATGCAAGTCCAAGGGCGAAACCATCATCTGTGAACATGCCGTTGGAAGCATCCCGGCCTCTCTTGGACATTCTTTCTTTGGCCTGAAGCATAGCTTCTACAGCATTGATTGTGAGCGTTGGGACTATCAAGAAAAAGTTCTTCAGATGTGAGTTGTCATTACTCCGCAGCTCCTATACAGCACATGGCAAATTCTCGTTAATATTTCCGGAGAAGGACTAAGAGCAAGTACTGATTTGCAAGAATACAACGACAGTTGATGTCGAAAGACCAGCTACGTCAAGCACGAAGAACTTCAACAGCTCTTGTTGGCTTTTATAAAAAAACAAAGGAAGATGAGCCTTTGCAAGTGTGATCAGCCCTGTGTTAGCGGAGGGTTCCTGTCTCATCGAGTACTATTATGTTATAAGATACTAGCAGTAGACGTCCTAAGGGTTGTGTAGTAACCTAGGGAGATAAAACGTCATAGGTATACAGAAGACGGTGTCTTCAAGACGACTATCTCGAAAGCAGAATTTTGAACAGCAATAGTGATGTCCTTCTAATCATCACGAATGAATTGTACTTCGTAAAAACATGGATATAGGGGACCAAGAAGAACTTGAGGATGAGGTAGAACTATGCAGATGTATCCTCACGAATCGATAAGCTACTAAATGCGTTGGTTCATTCCATACCTGGCTAAAGACAGTGGTGAGTATATTCAAATAATCCATTCCCTCTAGAGATATCTTCTGGCTATCCAGAGCTTGATCCAAGATCTTCCCAGCATATACTCCTCCTGCAGTAATGCCTGCGTCTCTCGAAGCCTCTTGGAAACTCATTTCTTTGTCTAGATCATGAAGAAACCTACACAGCAGGAGGAGATATCTGAACCTTGATAAGTCCTCCACACTCCAAAGATACATGCATTTACAGATCTACTACATCTACCTTTGAAAGGAGATGTCTACATTGTGCAAAGCGAGAGAAGATGCGGAATTGATGGGGACAAGAAGAATTAAACGAAACCGCATTCGGCAGGAGTAGTAGAAGGATTCACTAGACAGAGTAAATGCTTTGCAGACGCATTTCAGATATGTGGACCTATACTTTACAGGAATCCCTTGTTTAGAGGCTGTAAAACCACTGGACTTGACTACAAAGTTTTTCATACCCTGAAGCGGAGCTGCAATAGTGAAGGCCCCCGAGCCGAACCATCCGCACAAAACCAAGAGCATTTCCCATCTCAGCGATAAGCCGGCGGAATTGATCAAGAAAACTCAATCCGTCGTCTGTAAGCCCAAGCTTCCGGATATCCTTATTCAACTTCTCTGCTCTATCAACAGGATAGTCTTTCCCTCCTTTTTCTCTAATTTCCTGCAGATTATCATCATAATGTTATGGAGCATTTCCCAAATTTGTCTCAATTGTATGTCTGCACCCAACTGAAAGATATCTGCCCACCTATGAAGTAAAGTAACGTCAATGCCATTCGAAGTTTTGAACTGGCAACAATTAGCGGATCTTACCTTGTAGAATCTCTGCTCCTTAATCAGCAATGATTTTATGTGGTCGTCAAAGAGGAATTGAGAAAAGACGATAAACTTTTGAGCAAGAAACTGATAGGCAAAATTGACTGTAGTGCTCATTATTCCTGTACCGTGAGTACGTATGGAATTGGCCACATGCCTCACATTCACTGTATTCAGATACTTGCGGTTGCGAGCATTTGACACCCGCTCAATAAACACCTGATAGAGTTGACTAATGAATCAGATATGCATTTGAAAATCTAACGGGCCTTTCGGACTAAATATTCTCCTGAAATTTAAATACCGGAAAGTAAAGGTGCACTTTCAGCTCAGTTACCATTACATCTAGAATATTTCTTCAAATTAAAAAATGTCTCGTTATAATGTAACAAGGCGAGTGCTCTTATAATTCGACCAAGCTCGAACCACTTTCTGAATCTAATCATACATTCAGCAGCTAGCCTTGCATACCTGAGTATTGAGATTATAAGTATAGCATGCCACAAATAGGTGAATATTCCGCATAATTTCGAGAACGTCCACCCCTTGCTCCAATGTTTGACCAGGTAAGTGAATATCATCAAGTTCCAATCCATACTTCAGCTCTGCCAGATGTCTCATCTCTCCATATGTCTGAAATCGAGACATGTACAGTTCTTTGTAACAAACACATAACTCAAGTGTCTTCGAATGCTCTCAGATCTTAATATCAGAGATAGAATGTCGCTGGAGGTAATTTCAGAATTTATTAAAACTGCAGTAATCTGAGCTTTCACCAGTTACTTCAGGTTGTAAATCATATCTCGAGGTCAATCTCATGCTTCTATCATACCTTAGGAGTGACAAAAGACTGGGAAGATATTGCCTAACCTTCCAATTATGAAGAGCAACAGCTGCGTGGTTATAAAACGCTGCAATTAAATAAGTTTCCACTCTGCTTCTGATATGAATCCGTTTCGAGCTTAACCTTAATGGTTTAAGATGCAGGAACCACGATAAGTCTCGTACACCTGTCTGCGTATGAAAAATCATAAAAACTCAGTTGATCACTTTACACAGAGTTTATACTGGAGTCTTGCTAGGTAACAACGCACATCTATTGTAATAAACTTGGACAGTATATTAGAAACTCATGTAATAACTGATGCTACGCATGTAAATAAATCCTCATTGTAACCCTAGTTCAAAAAATTGAAGACTTAATGGCATATGCTTATTGCATACGATCTCACAGAAATAGGTGTATGCATTTCACCTTCGTAGGGTTGATGTTCACCGCTCCCTTCAAATGGGCAGAGTGAACATGCAGACGTAGATCTGTCTCAATATCTCGACACAAAGGTGCTACCAGCTCCTGAAATACAACAGTTTTCATATGTAAACGATGCCTATAATCTTAGTCTGACTCTTAGAGCTTCAAATGTATTTGATCCGAATTTAGAAGGGTCAAAATGGAGTGTATTGACCATTAGTCATATTGATAAGCACGTGACAACTTCAGCGCAAGGTCGTTGTCCAATGAATGGTGAAACCGAAAGACTTAAGACTGCTATTGGACCATGACAGCACGTAATTTCGCTCCATAAACATTGTCCAATTTCTGATAACATCCTTCGAAACTGATTATCAGCGAGGTAGATGATCTACCTCGCTGAAGCTGTTGAAGGTTGAGGCCATCTACCGTAGATGGCCTCAACCTTCAACACTGTAAAGAAGTAAATTCAATTGATATGATACCACACCTGAACAGAGATGGAGGTTACTTACATTAGAGATCGCTTCTTCCATCTCTTTTTCGTAAGACTCGATAACTGATAGATCAGCATTGCCAGTTATCATTAAGTTCACAGGATCTCTGAAAGCACTAACCACCAACCTATGAACAAGCAACGAAACCGTGTTTTATACTTGTAATCTGAAGCTTTGGGAGATGGTAGAAGCTTTGAAGTACTTCGGACACAGATTCAACGAAATCAAACTCCTAAACCGACAAAACATGCTATGGAATGTAGCTACAGCGCTTGCACAAGTCACGAGCTAGATTCACAAAGTTCTACCAATTTTTATCAGGCCAGCCCAGGTATCCCGAAAATGATTACAACGTCGAAAGATACGTACTGAAGGTGGCGAGCTTCTCCGGTCTTTCTATACAGCATTTTAAAACACGCTGGCATTATATCTCTGCTCCAGTACAGAAAACTGCAATCGGTGACCAGCTTCACAACATTGTGAACGTCTGCAACTAGCTCAATGACCGAACACAGGTCCATCATCTCAGAAGCTACATCATCCGGTACCTTGCTGTTCTGAGGAAGTACATGCAATCGCAAAGTCAGATGCGTGATTTGCAGGTTAAAAAGACAGAATACCAAAGATACCACAACAGTAAACTAGAAGTAAAAGCCAAAGGTACAAAAAGTTTAGAACTTACAGGGCTACAAATAACATCTAAAGCGAGGCGAAGGATGACGTTGCTCTGCATACTGGAACAACCCTCCGCCATCTTGATTGCCACGTTCACCTGTCACAGAAACAATTGTATGCTTATGGAAAAAAGAGCAGGAATTGTCGCAATACTTGATGTGGACAGTCAACGGGAACTAAACTGTTCTCGTCCTGGACTACCGTAATTTCTTCGAGTTCAATCTTAACTTAACTAGGACATATTCAATTCAACTGAATGTAAAGTAGAATAAATGACTTACAGCAGCTAGTGCATCCGTAATCTTTGTGTCCATGTCTTTGCCACCTGCGCAACAAATCGCCGTAGTGAAGTTGAGAATCCCACAACGATGAAGAAACAACCTGTTTAAACTAACTTCAAATAAAGATCGAATGCAATGAACTAGATGATGGTATATATGCCTGTGGTCGTCTTCTCAACAGCGACAACAGACAGCTATAACTCTCCCTGGTAAGACTGTATTAGTAGGCAAGCTACAATTCTACAAACTAATATCCTATGAATTAGAGAAGAAAATGTTAAATCCGACAATATAGGGTGACAAGTAAAGTAAATCCAGAATGAAATCAATTACACCGAAGACATATGGATGCTTTCCGAGGATGGATAAGATGCAATCGATGCCTTCACAAGCCGTGGTTCTTTACGTGCAGTGCTGAGTACCTAGTTCAGAAGACAATCTTATCGAAGTACCTATCTTGTTGTGAATTACATAGAGAATCTAGTATAAATTTGTAAACAAGGGACGTGTGAAGAACGAGAGAGAAGCACTGAAACAAGAATTGAGGTCAAATCAGAGCCAGAGATATATTCCGAAGGATGTTAGAAAAATAGCAAAAATGTCTTACTCCGAGTCAAAGAACGGGCTAGCATAAAAACACCCGTGCTTCTTGACATTGCTAAAAGATCTGCCTCCAGCTGTGCCTTCACAAAGAAATACAACAACGCTACGTAACAAGCCGACTATTTAAAAGAAACCTCAGCTTTTGAAATGAGTATCTTAACCTTAGTCATCAAACGAGCATGTATGAAAGACATACATGTAGCCTTGACAAAAGACCAGTATAAAACCAAAACAGAAACAGAGTTGAGCTTCAATATGCTTACTTTGAGAGGACTAAGCCGCCTTAAAATCTGCGATTGAGCCAACTGAAGCATATGGCCCAACCCCAAGGCAGTCTCGCTACTTCTTCTATGGAACATTGCCTCCACTGCCTGGAACCACAGGCCGGACAAAGTTGATGCGTTAGTATCGTACAACATACATTTAATATTACGTGTATAGTTCAATGTATATTTGTAGGTTTCCTGCAGATGACCAGTTAAACATACTGTGGTACCATCGATAGGTTACCTTCAGTATTTCGGCAACATGACGTAATTTTTTCAACTGCTCCTTGTTTATCGGTACCTGAAAGCACATAGGACTTGAATTAAGTAAACATAAGCCTACTAGTCTCCCTCATTGGAGTCTACTACTTCTACTTTCTCTACGAAAGCGGAACAGAAAAAACATCAACTGAAATCAGATAAACAACAAGACAAACTTGGACGAGAATCCGAGTTTACACGAACATCTCGGAGCACATACATGTATAAATGAACTTGATGGAAACTTTGAAGTACTGGAGAAAATTCACGGACCTCTAAATAGGCATGAATATCTATGGTCGCTCGAAGGATGTGACGTAGTCTATTTGCCAGACATACACCCTGCAGAAAAGGACAACAGCCACAATAAGAGTCCTGCTTTGACAGCGAACAGCACCTATTCTTTCTGACCCTGCACCTCGTAGATTCTAATAACTACTCCCTAAAACCTGAGTTTATAATAGGGAAATAGAGAGGCTGAGATGCTATTTTTTCTTTGCGATTTTGTCCATATTTTGCAATATTTAAGAAAAAGTTGCAGAAAATGAATAGTCTCGCAAAGGTAGGCAGCAGATAGATGCGTTATTAGTTTCTAGGAACAAGATACAGTAAGCTAAACAACGAACAGTATACAACTAACATTTCCCTAAATATATTAAAATTTGTGTGTAGCAAAAAAACCAAGTAAATCACGTAGCCCGGCTTTTGATATCAATGATCGAGTTCAATAAAGAATTATACATGTCATGAACGTTTCCATACCTGAGTCAGCTGCTTGAATCGCGTTCCAAGCATTGCATGGATAGCAAGTTGCTGAACCTGCCATTAACCAGATATATGAGAACTTCGAAACTTCATGACAAAAATGTGCACTCACAAATATCCAATGACATGCATTCTTCGTCATAAAAGTAACAGCAAAGAACGCGATAAGTGTGAAAGATAACGAGATACAGTGTTTTTTCATCTTCAACTGAGAGTAGAAACTAGAGTTACACTATTGAGGATAAAATGACAACAGAATCTGAAGGATTCAGTAGATAAACATTCCTCAAATATCCAGAACAGAAGCCTGCAAGTGCATTCCGGAAAAAAGGGAAGCAGGCAGACATCATCCTTGTGATACAATGCAAGTGATGAAACAGAAATCAAACATGGATAATATAACACGAGCGTACATGATACGACAGAACGAAGAGCGATATGGTTCCTCGAAACCGATGCTAGATAATCAGGACACCACTCCATGTGACGATGGAGTGACGTATGGATGCTACAACAGTGCTTTCGGGGTGAATAGGGATTACGCGATGAAATTACAAGAATGTCAAACACAAGTATGAGTGAGGGAGGCCCTTACAACTGGAGATACAGTTGAGTCGAAAGACACTAGCCAGTTCACCAGTACAGACCGTAATGTCTGCGAGTGGCTGTAGTATTTACAAAATCCAAGAGAACAAGTTACTTAGGTGTATCTTGCTGACAGTCACTGGGTACCTACTCATTATCATGAGTCTTTATTTCCTGTGTACCCTCAAGAAAACACATTCTCATTGTTCATTTCCCGAGCGATGGTAACCAGCACCATAACTTCTTTCATTCTAGAATTATTGCAGAAAGACAAAATCCATTGCAAAAGTGCTACCTACTAGTTGCTTGGATCCCTGATGCTTCTAAAAGAAAGGATGAGGATAGATACCTACTCAGAACGTCATCCAATGCTGCTAAATAACTGGTGTTTACAACTCCAGCGTCTCTTCGAGCTTCTTTTATTATTGGAGAAGAAAGAGCCCAAGAAGGCAGGTGGCCGATCAAAAATTGTAACGGAACCAGACGTACATTGCAAAATAAATGCAGAACGGGTGCACGCCTCTGGAGCTCCATGACAAGTTTTGTCAGTTTCTTTTCTGGAGCATCCCCTGCATAATGTGCAGTCGAACATACTTATATGAAGCGTATAGCAGAAAATATCGTTCTTTTCCAAGAGAAGAAGGTACAATTCAGTCAGAAAATTTCTTTCATCTCTCTCCTTGTAAAATTTGATATGTCTTTTTAATATAGAGCCCTCATGCCAAAACATCCACATTCACATCACCTAACATGCTACGATCTATCACCCAATGACGCAAAATATTAAAATTTGGAAACGGAGCCAAAAGTCTCACATACCAATCATCCATGAGTGCCAAACCCACACTGCGATTAATCCAAATAGTTTTTCCCGATCATATGGATACTCTCTCAAGGAATCTACACACAATCCACAATCATCAACTGTGAGCTTAAAATGGATGAGGAATTTTATTTTTTAAGGTGTAGATCTGCACTTGCAAAAATCTGGAATAATCTGTGCGGCAATGATAGCGAAAAGGATAAAACAACGGGTACCCTTTCCCTAATTTCAATAACTGAATTTCATGCCTGACCTAAACGAGCAAGACTTTGTAGAAGGCCCTCGCGTACACAAAACAATATTTCGTCTAGACACTGTCGATTGGTTTTCAGCTTCTGGATCTCCAGATTTCCGTAAAAGTCTTCTTGCAAGCATCTCTGCATACAGATGGAGATAATCAGACTGATCTGCTAATGACTCCACCTCTGCCACAAATACTTACAAGTCCTCCATGCCAAGAAGTTGTTACAAAGTATAGGTAAACGAATGGAATATGGGCACAACAAAACTTCGGAACTTCTCTCAATACACAAAGATCAGCAGTGTCCTGGTTGAGCTGATCAGTACCTGAAAGAGACCACCCATGAGCACATTGTCGACTTTGGAAACCTCAGAATCTAAAGACTCCACCTGATCCGGCTCCATTGCAAAAGCAGAGGGCTCACTTCTTACTGAGTGTAGCATCCTATGAAAAAGAAACCCCTTTATTGACAACAAGTCATCCGAAATCACGTATCTCTTTACTACAAATGAGTCTAGAAGTTTCTCTCAAATTGATCATTATATTATTATATGTAGTAACAACTTCAACCAAAGTGAAGTCAAAAGGAGAAACCAAAATTCTCCTTTCCAGATTTGAAAAACTGTGAAATGTATATTTCCGACAGATCACTTTCACTCTCAGATGACACAATTTTCGAAACCATTTCATCTCGTACGCAGATAATTGTAAGGGCTGAAGAAGTCATGAGTAAAGTTTCTAGTGTTTAGAGAACCTAAGCACGGCCACTGACCTTTTGAACAATGATATAGAGTGCCCAATCGACGTATTTTGAGCCACAATTTCATCAATGGTAATAAGTGTAGTGAAACCCTCGGCGAGACAGTGTACGGCCGTTCGTAGATGAACATTCCAAAATGCTGCGTAAGGCCTCCTACTACTTTTTGTTGTGTCCCCTGAATAGATTGCTTCCAGCTGCTGAACGAGATTTGACAGCACTGCTCTCAATTTTGAGACAAACTCCAAGAGGTCTTGGAAGAACTTGAATGACCTTGCAAAAGTCTTCTGCAACTCACCCTCAAGAGCTGTTTCTTCCGAAGCTGAACGAAGGCCAAAGACAACCAGTCGAGGGTAGACTTTACTTAAAGCCTGCGGTGACAGGGCAACTCAGTACTGGTAAGACATGTGAGGCTTCCTTGCGCCAGACACTAGAATGATGACTTCTTACCCAGCTTAAAGTCAAATTCAGAGATTCTCCACAAATTTGTAGCAGACGCTTCCTTGTCGCCAGCACCTTGTAGACACGAAATTAAAATTTTAAAAAGAAGATTCACAAACCTGCTTGCGCAGCTGCAGTATCTCGTGACAATCATGTGCCAGAACTATCAAGAGCTTGTTGAATGGGAAGTTATCAGTTGCAATGAGGTCCAAAACTGTGAATCCCTCCAGTGGCTTGGTTACAATTTGCACGGGATCTTCGTTGATGTCCCCCACATCTCTAGCAGCAGCTTGAGACGAAGTGCTATCAAACTGTTCAAGCTTTTCCCAAATGTGACTCCTCCACTCATCCACAAATCTACGGAGCTTCTCTTGCTCCTCCTCAGCAGTACGCATTGTTCTTGAGCCCATCAGCGCATTCTAATGAGGGTTACAACTGCTTAAAGGGAACAAAAGAATTCCCTTTCAGTCTGCATTTGCAAAAGGAAGAAATCAGCTTAACGAAGGCGTGTAACCTGGTAAGCTCATGATCATCTGGACTGGAATCCACGATCGAGTTAGATCTTATGCATCGGTGTCACTGGCGACTTGACATCTCAGGCACACCAACTGATATCGAAACAGTATCTGGAAATCATTCTTCTCGAACGAACAAACTGAAAATCAGCAGATGAAAAAATCACAGAAATTAGAAAACGTACAAGCTCCGGTCGTTGATATTGACTCGTTGGCCGTGGTGAGAGCAAGTTTGGTAAGATGTGTTACAAAATGTCACCGGCTGAGCGGATTGAGCGTTTTTGAAAATAACGACAGCAAGAATAATTTCAGCATGTGTGCCACCCCATCGGTCATTATTCGCTGCGTTCCACTGAAAAATCATCAATAGCAAGCTGATCAGGTCTTCCTGCCTCGGATCTGAGAGAGAATCGCCAATTTTTCCGAGTCCAAAAAAGTAGACACCATAATTTTAGTCCCATCCCATCCAGGCTTACTCTGAATTTCCTCCGAGAAATCTGCCGTGACGATCAGTTTATGAAGAAGCGTCAGGACGGCCTTCGCTCCGAAAAGTCAGGAAACTCTGGCCGAATTTTTCGCTCTGTCTTCTCCTCTTCCGCTGGTGCTGCTGACGACGAATGCATCTGTGAGTGCTGCGTCGCGACGTCTCTGACGAAGCGCGACCACGTGACCACATCTTGCGGAGGGCGGCGCGTATTGGCTCCTGCACACTGTCGGCGCTGAATCGCACTGTGGTCGCGCGCCAGCTCGACGGTGGAGACCAGACTTGTTCTCAACTGTAGAAAGGAAGCGCGTGACGTGTCCTTCTTAGGTGTATTTTACTTCACCTGATGACCAGTGTTCACAGCAACAAGCATTGGAGTACCCCAGAGTATTACAAAGGTATCACGCCAATAATTTTACAAAAAACATAAGAACAAACATGAGATGAATGAATTTATGTATAAATTAAAGATTACATATTTACTTATATCATCCTAACTCATTGAAAATAATCATGGAGACACATTGATTCAGAGAATTTATACGATGATAAGCATTATCGATGACATATTCTCATGAACATATCGAAAAAAATCTTTGTATTATCAAATAATTTCAAACTAGATTAACACATTGTTGAAATACATTGACATGAAATATTTAGAGAATTTTTTTATTTCAGTTGTATTTTTTTTCTACATTCAAATGTGAGATGGGCATAACATCTCAATTCAATCAAATCTGTTTAAAATATTTTATTTTTTTACATATTTGATAAAAAAATTATTTAAAAAAGGATATATCATCTCAATTTCTTATAGTTTTAAAAACATTTTATAGTCCTTGCCATTATCTTTTCAAACTTATCCTCGAAAAAATCAGGATAAGATTCATGCCTCCTAACCATGTATAACCTGAAGGTCACTTCACCTCAAACAGATAAGAAAAATATTTAATTATCTAAAGGGGTAAGTAAGCTTTGGGATTTTTTCATCTTTATTTTATAAAGTTTGTAATCATTGTCATCTTTTAATAGCATTACATTGATCTAATTGTTAATGCTTATTATGCTACTGAAGTCAAATCGAAGGTTTGAACATGAGCACTTTAATAATTTCTTAGCACAATAATTCGTGCTAATATGAATGCATGAACGTTGAATATAATGTTTCAAATTAATATTATCATATTAGCTCATAAACATATACACATTTATTCAGACAAAATCTAAACTCCATCGGTTGATATGGATGGATACTATAAGCAATAAAGTATATATTGACCATTTGTTATGCTTTCGGACCGGCTACTATCAATATTTCTTTATGCAGTAACAAAACCGTGGGTCCCGCACATCTAATATGCGATAAGACAAGTTTAAATCTGTGTTTTTTTAATCAGAGATTAGGACCCTCCCGTAGCCTGGATGGGGGAATTCACGTGAATTGCTCGAAATCAAGTGCTGAGCTGGATTTGGAGAGAGCACGGGGCCTCGAGAACAACGGTGACAACACTTTAGGTTGTGATGGAATCAAGAAGGTAGATTAGTCTAATTTCTGAGGGAGGAGGGCCGAAACTGGCTGGAGCACTCCAAATTGCAAGAACCAGGACAGGGATCGTCTTGTGAAGGTGGCCTATCCGGTGAAGTGAGCAGAGCAGAGCGGACAGGAGCTGGGCGCGCGTTTCTTTTTTTGATTCCAATATGGCTGACGAGGAAGATTACAACGATGATGGAGCGTGAGTGTCTTCGATTATTGTTTGTGTATTTCAGAGAACGTTTCTGGCTCGTATCTGAGTCCTTATTGTGGCGATTACTGGCTTTAGTGCGTTGTTTCAGAAGCCAAATGTGAAGAGCCAACGATGTGACGATAGTGTTGATCATAAAGAGATCGAATTTTTATGTGAATTTCATTTTTCGCAGATATGAGGAAGAGCCTATGGAGCCTGAAGTTGAGGTGAGCATAGCAGATTTCCATTTGTTTTCCTGCCTATATGTTGGGTTACTCATTCTTGATTTTCCACGTTCGCATTTACCACTGCAATTTATTCAACGATGTGATTCCTGCTTCTTTTAGGGCGAGGAGTTAGAGGAAGAAGGAGAGGATGGTGAGAAAGATGGGTTGGACCCGTTTGCTGCACCTGATGTAGACATTCTCGACGCAGAACCGGAGACGACAAATGATAAACCGCGGAAAACAACTAAGTATATGACTAAATACGAGAGGGCCCGAGTGCTTGGCACCCGGGCCCTTCAAATCAGGTGAGAAAATTCTGGATTGATGCCTGTACTCTTTGTTATCAAATTATATTGGGTGACAACCTTTAGTCTAACATGCTGGAATTACTCGTTGTTTACGTACACTCATATGCATATTCTCCTTAGGTTGGATCCTACAGTTCAAAACTAGAACTATACTTGGGGTTTAGCTCTTTCAGGTTTGCAAATAGAGTCCTGTACATTCCTGTGCTGTATCGGTCCAAAGCATTTTCCAGGGTCACTCACAGCTGACGTCGACAATGGTTGTTCTAAGTACATCACACCATTTCTTGAAGCTGACTCGATGTTTTTCTGCGTTTTAGACTTGTTGGAACCTGGATGTTCCAAACGAGTACCATACACGGGGAAGAATGTTCTCTGACAGTTTCTCTTTTCTCCCAAATAACCCTCCTTGTTCATCCCACTTTCTCAGTGTTCTCAGTCTATTGTACCAGCATAGCAGCAGCCAGGGCGCAGGGTGTGGGGTCTTCAGCCTGTGACATACAAATACTAATGGGTACAGCTTACAATCTTTTTTCTTACTGTTTACAGTATGAATGCACCAGTTATGGTCGAGTTGGAAGGGGAGACCGATCCTCTGGAGGTATCCTTCTTCCCCACATTGGGACTCCAGCCTGATCTAGCAACTATTTCTTTCTTTTCTTTCATTTCTTCCTGACTTCAACTCGGAGTCTGGTCCAATCAGATTGCCATGAAAGAACTTCGAGTACGAAAGATACCGTTTACCATTCGTCGTTACTTGCCTGATGGAAGGTGAGTGGAATTTTCCCTTTCTCTTATTCAGTTTTCAAATGGCTTTGCTTCTACATCTCCTGCAAGGACGGATCCGGTACTCCTTTTAGAGCTGGGGATGTTATGACACGGCATCATACAAATGTCAGATCCTAATTCCGTATTTAGAGTTCTTTCTCTTACTTGTTTGAACTCTGCTCACCTCCGAAGGTAACCGACCTTGAGGGTTGTCTTGTGTCAGATGAATCCTTCAAAGGGCTGGCTAGACTTTTTCATAAAGGTCTTGACTCGTATACATGTCGACTTTTCTAGAACATGTGACAAATGATTAAGAGCTCGGCGAATCTTTTATGACAGATTATTTGGTGTTCTTCATCGATTTTGCAGTTATGAAGATTGGGGTGTCGACGAACTTATTGTTGAAGATTCTTGGAGGCGTCAAGTCGACTAGGTGAGCGCCTGGTTTGCCTTAGAGAGATCGAGTTTGTCAAGTAAGATCTCCAAATACAAAGTTCTCTGTTGTCTTATCCAACGGTCTCTTGATTGAGGCATTTTGTTGTTTCGTACAGACCCCTTGTCGAAGTGCTGTATGAAGTCGACAAATGGACAGATCTTCGGGAAGTATGAAAACTATAGATCTGGACTTTTGTGGCGTGAGATACTCAGGCTGAACGGATTCATTTTGTGGGTTCATTTACACAAGCGATTTTTGGGCGATTTTAGTTTGTATTTTAGTGATGTATAGAAGGGAGTGCATTGTGATAGAGAGAAATTATTTGATCCAGCGTCTGAACTCCTTGCGGATTAGTTTAGTTTTCGGACCCGAAGGGCTTTGTATATGAGACATGAGACAGCAGTCTGGGCTGAGTATTCGAACTAAATTTTGACACCGTTTACTACGTAACTAGTGTTGTTAGCTGGGTTACCGAAGTTCTCACGCCGTTCGCATCAAATCACTATATTCTTCTCTTGCATTTGTGTTTCCTTCAACGATTATGCCATGGTGACTTTGCTGCTATGCATTGGATATCTTCTTGCGAGGACTAAAGAGAGACTAAAGATAAACCTTCAAACGTATATCATTGCATCTAGCTGGATTAGCTGCAAGCCTGAGAGACCAGTTTATAATTAAGAGTGTAATCCTTGTCTCATCATGTCAACGAGCTACTTAAAATGCTGCGTATGAAGTATATTTTGATGTTGTGCGTCTTTGCATAGAGAGCACAAGTCCGGTGCCGTTTGCTAGGCTAATGCACCTGCCCATTTTGATCTTGATCATCAAATGTATCAAGTTTTGATACATTTGATCATAAAGCGGTCATCATCATGTCGAGATACAGTAACAATCTTGATAATCAATCGAACTATCCAAAACCCACAAATCTTCTATTTTATGTGAAGTAATGTAGAACCCACCCAAACTGACATCAATCATCGACTCCAAATTACGAAATTTGTCGAAAGGAACAGAGGCTCACTAACAACCGAGTGAGGCAAACTACGCCTGGCGATCAAGTTTCTTCCACATAAGACAGTCATGTCTACCTACTAGAGAACGCAAATCCTGTCATTCTGGTAATACTCATGAAGCCAGTGAAGATGTTGAAGAGAACGTTGATTTATTAGCCATGAGAGATCGCTTGCAACCATGGTTGTAGGTTCACGTTTATCAAGAATCAAGGGAAAAAGGCAGAATTGGTTCACACGTGAATGAATCATTCTTTGTATGGACATGCGAGTGAATGAAAGTCTGACCATGACTCACCGTACAACCTCGAAGGTGGAAAATACCTTCAAAGGGCCTGAACCATACATCAAGAAAGATAAATAAATAGTTATAAGTCTCCTTGAGATCTCAGTTGCAAGTTTTTGTAATCTTACTATGATTTACTTCGTTTGCCACGTTTAGTTCGCTTTGCATGGACGTTCAAGCTTGACCAAATGAAAAATATAATTGAATAAAAAATTTAAACGCATGTTCTTTGCATTGAATATTATGCTACATCATAACAGTGTGAAAGTGAGAGCGAGAGAATCAAGGATGACGGTCAACTTCTGGTTAGTTAGTTAGTGGAAGTAACAATTTTCATAGACACATAGAATAACTATCTCAATGAAAATTCATGGACAATGAAAGTGCTAACCTGGACCAAAAACTAAAGGAGAAGAGCAACAGCTGATCTTTTACTGGAGTATACAAGATGTGTTCTGTTGCATGTCAAACTCCTTTCAAGACAATCAAACGTGTGAAATTGAACAGAAGACCTGATCTAGCATCATAAAAGTCCAAAGCACATCCCTACGATAAGATCCGAAATGCTGAAAGTGCATTATAGGTAAATACAAAATCCAGCAGACGATTCGGGAATATATTGTTGACTGTTAGACAACCAGCCATACCCAGTCTCTCTTGCCGAATAAGAGCACATGCGTAGGTTATCAACTATGGGGATGATATCATAGTGTAAAATGGATGTGAAAGACTTCTCACAATGCCAGATTGTGAGTGACTTGTATAACCTTGCCGGTCTGTATCGGTCAAGCTCCGAAAACCCACGTGTGTATTTTTTAGGCTAAAAATGTACAAGAATGAAGATTAACTGGAAGAATGATGTGGATTAGAATGATCTCAACTCATCCAAAAAACTCACATGGTAAAACTTGTTGTCAATGATAAAATCTGAAGCAAAGGGAGTCATATTAGGTCAACGACAAAATATGCTGACTAGGCTCAATCAAAGATGAGATGTTAGATTGAATAGCTTGCAAAAATATATAGGGTGTTGAGACAACCTTGTATCACTGCCATGACAGCGTCTCCACCTATGATACAACATAAACATGTAAGATCCATTCATTAAAATCGAATCGGAGGTGAAAACAATGTGATAAAGACTGTGTCAGATCTGATGATCAATGTGGCTTGCACGCGGATATGATGCCCATCGGCAAGAAGCCAAATGCGAGAGGTTGTCTGCATCAAATAGGGCATGTGGTAACTGTTTTTGAATAATGGGATGAACGTGAACACTCAAGCACTTTGACACCTTGATCAGATGCCCTGCTCAACCTGCCTGAGACGCAAGTCATAAAATCGATCTATATGTAACATAGGACTAATACGGTGCGTCATCTACAAGTGACAAGTATACACAACTAGACACTCGTGTCACATCATGACGAGGGACGGAAATTCACACAATTAGGCATTTTGGTGATACAGAGAGCACGATGGTGTGTCGTAGCAAACGATAAATTTTAATTAGTGAATGCTGGTTCCATGAAGTAATAAAATTTATATTACACAGGTTGGTGTATGGAGCCTACTTGGATAAGGGTCCTCTGAATCATGTATCTCTTTTTCAGTAAGTGTACGGGGAACACTAGTGAAGAGTTACTTCACAATTAAAGAATGTATGCCTTACGCTCACTCGCAAGCAAGATGTCAGAGAAATCTAATGGTAAGACTCGTAGCCTCCAGGCGTTTCACCTCCAAACAGATGAGGACACAAATACTCATGAAAAGGGATTAAAGGCTGAAGTATCCATAAGGCCCGAATAGTCCTCACCCATGGCAATAGGTGGAAGTAGCCTTGTATCCCTGGTCCTAGCCAACATCCCTATAACATTATTACAAGTGCCAATTCGAGAAATGCATCTTCTGCCTTACAAAAGAGTATTTGAAAAATTTGCATATTTTTGCTGAGTCGTCTGCCGTGAAAGTCCTTTAACGAACTCCACGTGTAAAGGGTAATGCTCTCTCCAGATTGATTGCGCCTTGGTCGAAGGTCAGAATGCAATATATTTAGCTATACCACTGAAATTAAAATTCACAACCTGTAAATTTTATACATACAATTTATATTTTCGGTTACATATTCTGGAATCTGCCTTCGGATTATAGATTGAGGTTAAGCAATCAACCAAGAATCGCGATGAAGCTTTTTCGAGCAAGCTCAGATGAGCCCAACATTGGGTGCCCATGCCCATAGGTTTTGGGTGACATTATATTTCTATGGGTGGGCATGAGTAATGCTAAGGCAGTGTTTGTCAAGATCCTACCAAGAATTGGCGTAATTTGACTAGCATGGGTGGGTAGAGGTTAGGTCACTGCTTATGGTTATGATATGGTGTGGATGCAGATTTGAAGTAAAATGGTGGCCTCTGAACCTCGATCATGAACGAAGGATTCTGAATGGCAGGTAGACACTTACAGATGGTAAATAACGAAGAAGTCATATAAGAAGAGAGATATGTAACTGAGGTTCCACCAAAATAACAGCAGAGCTTTTGTCTCGGTTCTATAGCATAACAAGTACAAATACAAGGAAGTATAGCACGTACGAGACTTAATTTCAGTCATAGTTATAGGCGACACGAAATTACCTGACCTCTATTGATTTGGGTGTGATTTGGCGTCTACATGTTGTAACCAATGGGTAGTGTACACCCGCACAAAATTGATGTTAATTTTTAAAATTAATGGAATTTTTAAATTAAAATTTGTATTTTTTTGAACAGACTAAATTAATTTAAAATTAAAATTTTAGAGATTAAAAAAACTTAAATGTTCAGGAGAACAAATTAAACTAAATTTTTTAGTAAACGAAATTAACATGTTAAGAGTCTAGATTAAATTTAGGCGAGTAACTATTATGTTGGATGAAACGAACCATGAATCGAAGCGGAAGCAATGAGCGAAGAAGTGAACATGGTCGGAACAAGCGGAGCAGGAGGTGTTTATGAACCCGCCTCGATCCTATGGAACACTATTTGGTAGACAGGAACACATTGGGACCACAGACCGGTGGGGCCCACTGATGAGGAGGAGGGTGGCCAACAGGACAGTGTTCGTGGATGAGTTCGGACATTGTGCCCCTTATGGACTCGAGACCATCAAGCGCCCGTACCGTACTTTCCATTCCCTTCGAAGCCAGACGAAGCTCTGGAGCTCCCCTCGCCATCGTCTCACAGTGGGCCCAGGACCAAGTGTCGACGACCTCTTGGTGGTGCGAGACAGGAATCAGATGTTTTGTTTCAGTGGCTTTCGGTTCTTTTTCTCTTTCTTCCGGGTCGAGATTCTCTTCCTATCCATTTTATGCACCCATTGCTCTTCTGTTCAGCTCATGATGCCGTGCCGGTGGGAGATGGCGAGAAATTGATGTAAGAAGAAATATCGATAGTTCACATAATAACCTAAAAAGTGTCTTCTTCGGAAGCAAGGGAAGAGGGCACGACCCTTGAAATTGGTACCTCGGGGCTCGACCCAAGAAGAAATCATGGCCATGGAAGAAGAAGGCTCCAAGAGACTTGGGACGCTATTCTCCTTCGGCAGCGGAGCTTGAATCCGCTTGGCTCTCAACATCATAAGATCCGAATTTGAACTTGGAAGTTACTGCGGGTCGGGCGTGAGTATGACAGTGCACGCGGTGATTTCCTCGAAAGCTTATGACTATGAGCGAATTGGTAGCTGGAATGCATCGGACGGGATGCCCGATCCCTCGATCCGGGCTCGATTGCTTGCTGCGAGCGGGCGCTGGAGTTGTTGTAGAAGGGTGGACCATGTGTGTGTGCAGCTAACCTAAAACTCGACACATTGGCTCGAGGGTTCGGCAAGGTCATGAGAATGGTCATAAGTTTCAAATGCAAAGGGTTGCGAGGATGGCTCCCAAAGCACTGGTTGCAGTTTCCGAGCCCTTTCTATGCACCAAAACGACATAGGAGTTTGCTAGCCAATACTTCGTCCGGTCGTCCAGGAACTTTTCCATCCGCAGGCCCAACGCCGGCCATCCAGCTGTTTCTCGCCACGCACGCTGCAAATAAGTCGAATTTGTGAATCCCAAGTCGAGATAGGATCTTTTGAATATACACATGGCCTCAGACTGAATGGGGATCTCGGAGATATGGACGACGATAAGAATGACAGGTTCAGCGCCTGAAATCCTGTTGCCGAAGATGCTGCCAGAGACGAGCTGGTGGTGGAAAGCGGACAGATGATGAACGAGAGTTTGAAAAAGATGACCTCGACCGAACATCACAGTAGTGTGTAGGAGGAGCATCGACAAATCCATTCCGCCAGGCGAGGGTGGTCTCGTCCGCATCGCCACCAACCACCGTCGCAGAGGCTCAGGGCTCAGGGCTAGGGGCTCTCCCTACCATGGCCTGAGGAGGGGAACACAATGAATGTGCATGATGCACATGATGAGCCGTGGCGTCATAATGCGCGCTCGCCCTCGTACAGTGAACATGCGAGGCGATCAATGTGAGGCATTGCATCAGCACGATCGTGGAATCTTCCGAGATTCTCTGGCCTGTACCGCACGGCGCCCATCGATCGATCGCGTACAGCGTCACGAGGCCTGGGGCCCTGACGTCAAACGATCCGCGCGGATCCATGGGGCCCGCGTCCGCGTCCACGTCCGCCTCTCTCGGACTCCGGTCCTCGAGCCTGGGGCGTCCTGGAATCTGTCACTGAGCAGGAACCGGAAAAAGGAGGGGCCGTCGGAAGAATCGATGAGCGAATTCTGCCATGCCCTGGAGCGAGGGCAAGCCACAAGACGAGTTGCTTCTTCAGGCCGATCGTCCTTTTTCGAGCGTTTAAGGGGCCTGTCAGATGCATCCCCGTACAGCACCGTAATGAGCCCGAGTGCAAGCGGTGTTGCACGCTGAGCTTGCGACCTGAAGGCTGGATGGATGATGCTGCGTGCTGATGACTGTCTAGGCCCTCGCTCCGGACAGACGCTTTGGGCTGCGGTCGGTGGGCAATCTAGGGGCTTCTTTCTAGCAGCAGGAGCCGTGGTGGGGGCCTGCGGTGGAAGGTCCTGCACACATTATGGATATGGGGTCTTCGGCCGGTGCTCGCTGGCCCGTGGCGTGGGGAGCTGCTTATGATCGACGACTCGGTGTTCGTTGCCTGCTTCTCGAGGTGCTTTCCACTCGCCGCGCGTTCATGTCCAATCTGTTTGCCTGTGCCAGGTTCTTTCTGGGTTGTCATGGACGGGTGGATGCCTGACTCGATTGGCTCCACCGTTTCCGTCGAATGGAAATCAGGGCAACGCTGAAATCCGAAGAATGCCGGATGCTGCTCAAGTCCATCTTCTTCCTCGGTGAATGTTATACTCGTGATGAACTTAGAAGAGGCTAATTGGACAAGGAGATCTACAACGAACTTACCATACATGGTTGGGTACGGATCTCCACAACCCGCAGTTTGGCTCTCACAGACTGGCGTTCTCTCCTTCCTCCCTGTTAGAATTTTACTCTCCATCCCCCTATTTTGGAACAGTGAAGTTTTGGGCCGTGGTGATAATGAACGCCGATGCCAAAGTCTTGCTGTCTAGCTCTCACCGACTCTGCAGTGTGGCATGCGATGTCTTCCTTGTTTCTCATGATTCATTGATTCGTATTACTCCTCTTCTCGTTTATAAGTTGCCTGCGGACAGGCGTGCAGGTATCAAGCGGTTGGGGCTGTCACTGGAGATACCAATTATTTCGGTCGAAGGAAATCAGGCGATGTCGGAGAACCTTTAACTCCGACTCTCTTTCTTGGTGGAGCATCCTCTTCACGGTGCAGCACTACACCTGCTCAGCTCTATAAAAACCTCCTCATGCATCGCATTTCGTCGTTCGATTATCTTGGGTTCGAAGTTTCTGGAACTGATCTGAAAGTTCTCTATCACGATATCCACGAAGTCGTCGAGTGGAGCACTTGCGCAGCCCTTATCGTGTCGCCCACCCTATATGTAGAGGGTTCGTGTGGGCCATGCGTGTGCGAGAGAGTGCTTGTGATACCTGTGCCCCCAACTCCTTCACCTTTTAATAATAGTACAGGTCACGGGCATGAGACGACCGAGAGCACATATCAGATTTATTCATGATGAAAGATCCCCTTGGTCCAGAGTGTCTGGTTGACTCCATCAATCGCGGGAGTCATCCGGGAAACGATCGTATCTGAAACCTGAGAGGCCAATTATGCTGTTGTTTAATTTTCTCACATTGACCGTCCATACATTCGCCGAAGTTGTTGGATAGTGTATCGGACTTGCGTGCAGTAAAAAGAAAGCAATATATGTTCTCATTTCACCATTGGGTAGTGTGTGAGAAGATCGACTTCTTCCATATTCCATACGCTGGATGAGCTCCGAAGTGATGATTTTCAACACACGGACTGATCAACCGCGATTGTAATCCTGTACTTTTCAGTTGTCACGAGGGAGCTGGAGTCAAAACAACGACAATTTTATCTACAGTAATATGTTGACGATGCTTCATCTCTGTAGCAGGTAATGTACATAGTAATTATCCTTCCAATCGGTTCTCATGAGTACATAAGTTACATGAGTATATAACTGAAGAGGTCATTTAGTTACTAGGGAGATGTCGAAACGTGCTTTCTGTCAGATTCTTTGTAAGGGTAGTCTGCAGAAGGAGCATACCAAGGCATACAGCCTATGCAGCATACCTCGAACATAGGAAATGTACGAAATCTTGTGTGAATTTTCGCAGATTTAGATTATTATTGATTTATGTTTCTTCACTTTGTCCTACTGCCTCCCGATCTCACGATTTGACCTAACGGAGCATCCATATGTATCGTTGTACGTATGTAAATATTTAATTTCTGCTATTTCTAATCAACAATTCATTATATCAATTTGTGGGTAACTGATTGGCAGTTATGGTGGTAATGGTGCAGATGGTGATGAGGTGGAGAAACTGACCTTCACTAGCTTACGATAGAGTCAATTTTGACGTTTGATGAAGGAAATATCAGGTCATCAACAATCTGCTTGGATGGATATGCCCGTGGTTATAACACCTTTGAGCTCCGCCAGAGCAGTTCATACAAACTGTGTAGAAATTGTCAGGTCACTGGTGGGTGATAAGATGATGTCAAGCGGTTGACATGTTTTATTAGAGGGCTATCAGAGCGGGAGTCAGACCCACCTGTGTGATATCTTCTCTCCATTTCTTCTGGTGCAATGACTTCTCCTCGAAATTTTTGCAGTCCAAAATGAAAGCTTGTACCGATGGCTGTGCCGAAAGTGAAAGAAGCCATTGTCAGCAGTTCTACAAGAGGGAACAGGTTGATATTTCCTCCTGGATCTGTGAGATCTGTTGTCAAGGTTTTGCTTGTCTTATGTCTTGTTCTCCTCGCGGCTTTCGTGGTGGTGACGTATCCGATTTGGGGAGCAGGACAGATCCCAAACTTGCTGTTGGGAGTGTCGTTTGGAAGTTGGCGGGAAGACGTCGCCCGACAACAGAATTCCAAGGAGATACAGGTTGAGGAGGTCGGAAATAGTGGGCCAAAGAGGTCTTTGTTCAATGAGAGTTTTCTTGCTTTTGCTGCCATCGATCCTGCTGAAGAAAACGAGAAACGGAAAATCAGGATGATTTTAGATGGGAAGGTGGAGGACATGCAGAATGCACATAACAAGTGGAATTACCAGAGGAGAATGGATCACTATGTGGATCTAGATCAAAATCGAAGGAGAGTAAGGCCACGGTATGAGAGCTGGTTGCTTCAGCTGCAAAATCCCAAATTTGCTGGAAGTTGGTTCAAATTCCGACAGTTGTTGCAAAGCTGGAGCCGGTACAAACATTACGATCCTCTTGTGATGCACGAACTCATGCAGTTGGTGAAGAAGCCTATCGACCAGTTTTACTCAGACAGAAATGGTGGGCCTGTGGAGGAAGGTAAACGATATAAGACTTGTGCAGTTGTCGGTAACAGTGGGATTCTGCTTAACAGGACATTTGGTGACTTCATTGACAGTCATGCTATGGTGATGCGCCTCAACAACGCCAAGTTGCTTGGCTTCGAGAAACACGTAGGCACCAAGACTACTTTGTCCTTCGTCAACAGCAATATCTATCATGCCTGCTCCAGGAGACTGAAGTGTTTCTGTCATCCATACGGTGAGGTACCATTGCTGATGTACCTTTGTCAAGTACAACATATGATGGATGTAGCCTATTGTGCTTCCAGTCACAAGACACCGGTGCTGGTTACTGATCCCAGGCTAGACAATCTCTGCTCCAGGCTAGTCAAGTGGTACTCTGTCAAACGTTACGTCGAAGCCACAGGCCATTCAGTGAAGTCGTGGAGTAAACACCATAACCTCGGAGATTTTCACTACTCGTCAGGCTTTCAAGCCATCGTTCTCGCTTTGGGGATATGCGATAAAATCAATATTTTAGGCTTCGGCAAATCGCCAGATGCAAAACATCACTACCATACCAATCAAAAGGGAGAGCTTGACTTGCATGATTATGCGGCAGAGTATGTTTTCTACGACGATCTGGTGCACAACAGAACTTCTACAATTCCATTTTTCAGCGAGGTCCCAGATTTTAAGTTCCCGTCGGTTGATGTTTTCTTGTGATTCATAAGCTGATCAAAATTTGGCTACATTAAACACTTTGGCTTGCACAGTGGTATTGTTGTAATGGTACGAGTATCTTGATTGCAGTATCAGCTGTGGAGAATGACCGCATGGAGCGGCAATCCAGGTTGATACTATGGTCATACTTTTTTATGGAAGTGTTGGAGCATTTCCTCGTTTCACTCATACTACCAAGATGTCAAGGGTTCAGAAACCCAAGTGTACATATTTGAAAGCGAAGAGTTACAGTCGCGGCCAATAGCGGTTCTATCATTACTTCATTGCTCTGTACTATGCTGAAAAATCGTAATTTCACTTTCATTTATATCATCATGATTTTGATGGTAATCTACTCAATCCTCTCATGAGCTTCTTTCCATGTGTCAAATAAATGACTTTTTCGTCTAGCACAGGATAGATTGTTCTAATTATATTTTCCGGCTGTCGTTTGCAATTTTTGAATTTTTGAATTTGTAAAATGATTCTTCGTCCGCGTTCGCAAGCTCGTTTTGTCTCCTTTCGAAGTTTTACGTCCTGAGAAATATTGGTTTGGTCAGCTTCACTTCCCTTCATAACGTACGCACATTTGTTCCTACGTATGACCATTTTCGTGTCCAGTTAAGGGTGAAAGATATTAGAACCTTATTTAATTTGTCTCAAAAGACTGTAGAAAAATAGCAAGAGGTTATCATGTCCTTCCGCAAAGAGTTGCTTCAAAGTAGGCACGAACTTGGTACCAACACTGACGAAATTCTATCGGGGTGACAGGTGAAGAGCTTTTAAGACAGCCACTTAGTACATGCTATAACGCACGCGACCCCGAATCGACACAACATTCATTCCCAATCTCCTCATCAACAACAAATGTAACAGACACAAAGAAGATCACAAAACTTTATGTGCACAGCAATACGAAAGGACATACGGTCTAGTTCAAGCACCAGACATTCGGGCAATCACTTCACTGGACCTTCGGCCTCTGTTATTCACCATCGCATGATAAGTAGGCTGGTTCTCATGTCTTTTCTTCAGGTTAGGGCAATCGGAACAAGGTAGGAAGGGATGAGCCGTAAGTTGATGCGAGTGTATACCAGCACAATAAAGCCCATTCACATCACAAGCTTCAGAATAGTTGCGTATTGGTGGAAGGCGTGTCACAATGAAGAAATAGGCACCATTTTAAGCACAGAGCTGTTACAGCTACAGTTTGCTCACATTCTGTCCGCTGTTTCTACGACACAGGATGATATTGGTTGACTCCAAACCTACTTAGTGACGCTGATGGACTCTTTCTCCACAAACCATTTCAGCATTCTTCGAAGACTTGTAACAGGCTGCAACCACAGACTGCTCCCTGTACCAAAGTTCGAGCGTTAGAGAAATTTGACAAACATATAGATTTTCATTCCAAATGAGCCTGTTCAGCAATTCCGCTCCTCGAAACAATCCCTTGTAGCTGCAAAGACGGAAATAATGCAAGGCGGAGACTAAGAATCTGAAGCTCAAACCTTACCAGATGCAATATTCGCCTTGCGCAACAGTTTTCTCAGACAACTAAACGACATGCCCCAAAACTGGGACTCCCTTACATAGTTCTGGTCAAGACGGCATTCAGTTTGCATATCAAGATGAGGAAACTGAAGGCGGACTGAATTACGAAGTCTCTTGAGAAGTCTCCACAGAATCCAAAACATCTGCCATAGACACTGCGTACTTGCAAAGGTTCTGACACAGATCACAGGCATTCGAAAGAAACAGGAGGTGTAGAAGACACTGAAACAGCATTCTTGACGTGAACAATTTTAAAACTTTCAGACCCTCTCTTTCTGCAAGAGGTCGCGCAGTCTGAAAAGCTGCGACGACGGACATGGCCGCATAATTTTGGATGGAATTTCCCTTGCGTGGAGAAAACATCCGACTGAGGCAACTGCTGCCTGAGTGAATTCGTCAAGATGCTCAGGCCATCTCACGTCTGACAAAATTGGTCGCACATCCAGCCACCAGATGTACAGATCTCCCTATGAACACAAACAAGGATAGAGATACCTGTACTGCGGACTCTCAAAAGAAACAAGACCACGTTATACCAGGCTGCAGAAAAGTACTAGGATTCAGATAATCCGAACTGAAGCACAGAAACATCTCTCCCTGTGCTTCTTGTGACTTCATGGCACTGCTTTGAGGTTGCCAACAGGTATTAATCGCCAGAGAAATGTGCAAGCCCTCTTTCAGTCGGTATCTAAAATCTTGTGTCTCTTGGAGCAAGAGGCGCCGCAACAGCAGAAACTTCTGGGTTTCAGCGTCTGAGTGGGCGACTATATCCTCGACGTGTCTCACCAGACTGCACATAAACCTCAAAGCGCGGAAAATTTTCCTCTTTGATATCTAACTATGTTCCCTGACTGAAGATTCCTTTGTTCTTCATTCGATTCTAACTCTGTATTGTGACTGCAGAGTGCTTTGTAACAATCATGAGCTCCTGGTCCTGCCTAAAAACTGTGGAGGGTAAACTTTATCCTTTGAGGTGAGGAGCTATAAGCTTTGTAAGGGCAAAACCCACAAATGTATCACATCCAAAAAGGTCCTGAAGCTTCTCATCACAAATAATGGTTCTTTTGTCTGCAGCGTCCTGCATTCACATGATAAGAACAATAACATGTAGTGTCATAAAAGTGTCGAATAGCACAGCACTTCGGTTTGGCTGACATGTCTGGAAAATGTCCGCGTTTGCTAGCTTCTTACAGAATCTTCCGCGACCTGTATCGTAAACTTACAGTAATAAGCAGTGCATAATACTGCTATGTAGGTAAGACCTAAACAACCTCTACACTTGCAAATGAGGCAACCAACCAAATGAATAAAAAACAAAGAATCAGATATAACAACGCTTCTCTCGAAACACACGCTGTTAACAGAAAACCATCGTGATTAACATAGTGGCAGTGGTAGGAGTGAATTACCTGTAAGTGATGATCCCCAATATAATCCCAGATGTGTTTCACCACATCGGTCTGGGCCATTTCTGTTTCGTCCGTCCCTAGAAACTCAATAAGTTTTTCTGATAAGGGAGAAAGTCCATTCCCGCGTCCCCTTCCGCTGTCCTTTTTCTCGATTTTCGGTTTTACATCCTCCTTCTTCTCCGTCTTTGGCCTTTCAGCGGGAGGTTTCTCCGTCTTCTGCTTTTTTACCTTCCGATCTTCTTCACCTGCTCAAAATAGGACGTGGGATTATGATCAGATCGAGAAAAAACCTCAGCTTCACAACATTATTACTTACAGGTCAATATAATCGTCCACACCAACATTAGAAGGACATTGAAGATGACGAGAATATGTAACCAGTATACCAGTAAAATATGGAAAAAGGTACGCAAACAAATCGCAGTATTCAGAGGTTAGAGTCCAGTCGATGAAAGAGCACTCATTACTGATAGTTGATTTCGTGAGAAGAACCACCCAGTTCTTCAAGGTGAGGGTTAGAAATCAGACTCAAGTGTGAATGAAGGCTTGTATCTGGCCCCCACTGCATCTACATGCATGATGGAATCAGTGGAACCAGACGGGAATATGCAGTGTAAATATCAAGTCAGCTTAGGCTTACAACTTAACAGAAGAGGAATTGTTGCACTGGGACTGGAAAAAGTGGACAAGAAAAAGTCGACGAAAAATAGAGAACACGCACTGCAAGCTTTGCAAAACTTGCAGGAGCGCGGAAGCAAATTGCTTAATATCTAAAAGTACGACAGAATTGACCCAAAGTGCTATCGACCCAGTTTAAAAGCCCTTTCGACCAGAAAACTATAACACAGCATCATTGTTGGGAATGTTAATTGGTTAGTTGGGCTTACGTAAGTATCCAGGAGATTAAGAGTTAACACAATTTTGAAATGCAGCTGGAAAACGGCGATAGATATGAAAAAGATAATTGTGACCACCCATTAAAATGAAGAGCAGTAGAAGACATCAAAGGGCGGTGGATGAACTGTGAGCTTGAATCGTGTGATCAACCCAAAGTTTATGTGTTCTGAATGTGGTACTATGAGTTGATTACATGAGGAAAGTAACCCTACGAGAATAAGTGAATTGCCTCAAAGGTGGATGTAAGCTTCAAAATCCATATTACACAAATCCATGCAGTGTCCCCAATCCGATGTCCACTGCTCCTATCTGATGTAATTGAAATTCCTCTTCTCTATGAACCTCAACTCCTTCCTACCCTCCTGCACTGCCAAATCAGAACGTAAAAAAAAGCCATTCCTTCTTATAGATAGCTGTGCCCACTTAAGCCGTAATGATTACATAAAGTTCATCCCGAAACTACTTATAAGTTATGTTCCAGTTCGAACCCCATGTATCAAACAGACATTTTTCAAAGAACACAAAGTTCGCACAAACAATCTGTGAACGGTTTAAATTGTGATTAAACGAGCAGACTCCAAACACCCGATTGTTATATACAAATAGATGTTAACGGGTACGATTTAGACACATCTATCAAAAATATTAGCAGAAGATCCACAAAACGATACGAAGAAAAGTGATTTTGAAGTAAAACGGATAATTGTTGGTAAGGAAAGGAACATTCCAGAGAGAGCGCATCCTACTTTTGGAATTACGACCTACTCCTTGGAAATCGTCTGACAAAGAACATCAAAGGCGTACAAGAATGTAAAGCTATCAAGGCTTCAGAGTTTCCAAATATGTTCTTGTTCTTGTTTTGAAAGAGGTACTGTCTATGACTGGTATCTTGTGATATCATAACGATGTACATTCGTGTATACCGCAATTCAGTTGAGAACATATATATTACCAAAAACATCATCCTCGTCCGAAATCAAAAAAAGATAACATCGGGAATCAAATACTCATCTTTCTATATAAACTGAGTATACGTAAAACACATATACAAGACAAAAGTACAATAACACGAAGAAAGAATTAAAACATATGGCAACTTATACACGAGGTTGAGCAAACAGTCAATGTAATCAGTGCACAAGACCACTTACCACGTACTCTACAAGATATCAAGAGAGAATTTTGTGCCAGACCGTCGCAACTCTAGCACTTGAAGAAGAATGTATGTGACAAGATATGTACATTGTAAGAATAAGAGCAATATTCCGCCAGCAGAAGTATGACATGAGTTAAAGCAACGTTTAATCACCTGAGGCTGCTTTATCTAGAGGCCAGATGTGTCTAGACAAGAGCTTGTTCATTTTGAAGATGTCTGTGGAGTCCACACCGAACAACCCTCGTAGCTCATCGTTACAAAGAATCTTCCTCTTGTTGTCGGGGTCTTGTAGTTCCTTTTCCCGAATATATACCCAAAGCTGCTTCACCACCTGGAATGAGCCATGAACATCAATTAAAAAAATTTGAACAAGTACCATTACCTCAGACGAAAACAGCTGTCAAGCTTTGAGTAGTTCGGTACCTGAGTTCTGGGCAATTCTGCCTCCCCAATTATTGCTTGTAGCTCAGGTGAGAGCCCACAAACTTTATTCAGACCCCCGCCACCGCCGGCTCGTTTTTTCTTCTCTTTAGGTAGACTGAGACAAGAAAAACATCCCATGAAAAGACATAAGAGAAATGAGAAAAATAAGAGATCCTCCGAACATGACAAGACAGGCACCATATTCATTATACCACATTCTAAATTTCCAAGTCAAACATCAGGTGTATGCAATTTAGTGCAAGTGGTACATCAAACAAAAAAGCAAAACCATTCAACAGTAAGAAAGAGATCAGGACAGAAAAAGGAATGAACAGTGTACGAATATTGACGTTGAACTTACTTAACGTGAAGTAACTAATGGCGAGCATCGACCAGCAAGTACATTTCCACAATCAACATTTACCAAGTCTAGGTTGATCAATCAATCTCAAGACATTCTTCGACTTCATGTCAGCCGGCAGATTTCATCATGATATGCCTCATATCCAGACCTCTGAAAGACCTTACTACGCTATCTGTTATACTTTAGTGGCATGTACGAAAGCCCTTTCTTCAAGTTCTGTGTATGTAACTTACATTTATTCCTCTGTTTACAATGTAGGACTAGAGTCTACCAATGTAAGTTACACAAAGTAAACGCTGAGGTAATGACCAGAATTGGACAAGCATAATACAGAAGTTTGGAATACTTTGGAATATGCAGCAAACGTGTCCCACATCCATGTCCCTAGCTGTTTTCATGAAATTGAACCAGTAAAGGTCGCTTGAACTACTGACTAGCTCTTGGAAGAACGAAGGTATAGATTAAGAGGTTAAATTCATGAGACAGCTGACAACAAATAAAACTCAGTCTTACATATGAACTGAAGAGTAACAAAATCCTTGCGGTCAGCTATATCATCTAATTTTCATTAAAACTCCAAATAACTTCAAATTATAATAGAAAGTTACTGGCAGATTACATGAAATCTCAAATCACATCCACTTAATTCAGAGTCCCTAGGTGCTATAGATTATTTCGTTCCTTCCACCTCGTTCGTACTATGGTACTCAATGTGTCAAATTTCTAACAAAGGTAAATTTAAATTGAAAGATAAGCGTTGTCAACATTCCAAACACAGGTTGGTTACCTTGATGATCAGAAGGGATTCAAGTGCCCGCAAAGATATTTGGTCAAATGGCTATGTCAGGGCGTCCAAAACTACATGCGGGGGAGTAACCTTCCAAGAAATAGATTCTGTCCAATTCCCAAATGACGACAGAAAATACTGGACATGATCATGCAAATATCGGTCCAGTATAATAAAAAATAACCCACGCATGAAAGTGTCCACAATGATACTGGAATGCGTTCCTTCAAAGAAGAGGAAAAATAGGGGAAAAACCCTAGAGCTTAACGATTCAACGGTCAGTCTCTGTTAGTAGCCAAATGAAGCTGACCTTCTTTAATCAATCCTCGCTTGTGCTGTCCAGCTCAGAGAAGACATGTTTCATTGCCAGCATGCCTGTGTCATGCACAAGGAAGAATTCAGCTGCTCAAAAGTGACGAGGAAAGTGACGTGTATTCACCTAGCTTTAATGGCTCGGTCGATCTTAGCTTTGAATCTTTTGGAATCTGGTTCAGCGTGGGACTGTCTGGTCCTTCTCGTTGGCTTCTCCTCTTCCTGCTCTTCTTCTTCCTCTTCTTCTTCTTCTTCCTCCTCCTGCTCTTCTCCGTCTTGGGCAACGTCTTCACTTGTCACTCTGGACTCCTTCTGCTCTTGTGCTTCTTCTTCGTCTGCTTCTTCTTGCCGCTGTTTTTCCAGAAATAAATCAACTTGTTCCCGAATAAATGACTTCCTGTCAGTGAGATCTACACCCAATTCCTTCTCAAGATGCTTGCGGACAACGCCAGTTGTCGTCGTGGAAAGATCGGCTTTTCGAAGAAAGCTGGCGAGACGCCTCACAATGTCAGCATCCGAAACCATCTTCCTCCCCTGAAATGGCTGCCTTCAGCCTAAAGGACTGCCGGAACTATACCGCCTTCAGACCCTCCCTCTCGAATCCTCCATCATAGAGCCAAAATTGACCAACTCAACACTCACGCTGGAGATGTTTGGTCACCTTTCTCACTTCTCTCGCCCTCACTTGCTACGCTCTCACTCATTCAGTTCCTACTGTCTGGTCCGAGGACTCCAACGTCCTCCCCTCTTGCTCACGTACACCTGGGACCCTGCATCATCTTGCACCAGACTCGCATTACCTTCCATGTCCCAGAACCAAGAAGAAGTAATTCTGCTGGCGTATTCTGGTTCTGGTTCCGGGTCGCTCTACCAATTCCCCTTCTTCTTCCCTCGCCACATTCTTCCTCCTCCAAACTAAAACCCCCGCCGCCATCGGCTTGGCCAAGCGCCCTCGGCACCCCTTCCCTTATTAAGCACCGGACCCTGAAGGAAGGTGGGGGGAGCCTCAATCCTCAGCTCCCACTCCTTTCACTGGATTGCCCACAAAGATGGTGGCAATGCGCGCGCACACGCGCACTCCCGTCCGTCCTTGAACTCCCCTCATAGGCGCAGACTCCTCTCCACCCCTCGCTGTCTCTGCTTCTGCTCTTGAGTCCTCAGGCTCAGGCTCCTCACAGCGCTCCTCGCCTCCGCTCTGACTTCGTCCTTCCAGTCCTCTCGGGCGCTGCAGACTGGACCAGGACTGCGTTCCTCCTGGGACTCGGAAAATCCTTCGTCGCCTGCGCTAACCTTTTCCTTCCATCCCTGCTTCCCTCGGGGATGGTATGATAGAGCGTAGACATGCTGTACCGTATGCCATCATTCCTTCCGTCCTTCTGAGTCCGGCCCTGCTCCTCCCCATGGTCGTCATGGCTTATATTTCTTCTCTCTTCTGTCGTCTCTTTAGGGTTTACTATATGTTGCCATGGACATACGTTCGAAAGCCAGTCAGAATGAGCCACACTAGGATCACCGATCGGACGGATTAAACGGGTCTCGGTGCCACATATACTGTCTACTGCACACTCACATCATGACACGCGTCCAGACCTCCAGCCCTGTTGACTGGGTCGACCTCTGGGTGAGTTCGGCCTGCCCGCTGCTGGAGCACAAGTAAATTCTATCAGTTGCCAAAGAAAGAAAGGAATGTCATAGCATCTTCCCATGCATGCTGAAAGATGGATGGCATTCATACTGAAAGTAAGAGCAAGGCATCTATGTCATGACAGTCTCCTCCTGCCTGTATAAAAATTTCTACGACGGACTCCATACGTTCGGCTACGATCGGCTACCGATCCTAGCCGCAGGTATGGAGTTCTTGTTCACATGAATGATGCGTCCAAGGATTTTCATGCAAGATCAATGAAAGTTACGAATCGCAACGGCAGTAGGCTGCCAATACCAGGATGCAAAAATCAACCTTCGATCTCTCTTGGACACGTGAAGCATTGACCTGACCCTCGCTTTAACCAGACCTACACGTTGTTCGGAATATCGTGCCCGCCGGCTAAATGCCGGTGACCAAAAAACAATTGGTTCCTTGCTTGATGAGGTCGACCAAAGTCCGGAAAAATTCCCGGATGTTGACATGCCCAGTCGAGCAACGAACAGCAACAGAAGTATGGCCCCATCTTCATATCTCCGTTGGAAGCAGTCAGAAATTGTTGTCTTTTAATCTCTCGACCAATGACCGATCTGAACTTGAGGAGGGGAGCCAAGCAATTTAGAAAGAAAGAAACGGGAATACCCCAAGCCGTACATGGATGACACCAAAAGTTTAGGACGCAGGACCAAGCACAAATCATGAGGGTACATTTAACGTGCGCACAGATTTTGACCGGTGCTACTAGCATCCAACGCTTAGTCCATAAAGAGGTCTAGGGTGCCTTGTGCGGGCACCTGACCTTCATAAGGCTTTGCCTTAACAACCACGGAGATAACCACTGTGTCAGATGTAGGATCTCGTGAAAACTTGAAATAGGCAATGCAGTTCTTTAAACCTCGCATTTAGCAGATGACCTGATAATCGGTGGAGTGCAGAGTGATGAACAAGAGTGGAGTATCCGGTAAGTGCAAAGATTTCTCAAGCGCACACCTGCGGGCCAGTCGACAGCTATGTGGGCACCTTTTCAAGAGATTTCCCCAAGTGCTCGCGCTTCATGTCTGGGGCTCTGCCTTCTCCCCTACTCTTCCATCGGTTGATAGTTGCCCTCCACAACTTGCAATCCCCTGAATACCTAAATAGAAAAAGTGGGAAAAAACTTGACCGTGAGACACAAAGGCAAAACAATAGAATTCTCAAACGGAACCAACACAACAAACGAGAGCATCGAAACTCCTCCAATGAAATCAGAATAATAAATAAATCTAATTATATAATGACAAGATATTTCGAAAATTCGATTCCAGCATCAGGTAATTCCAAATATTACAACTGTGCAAATAGGTGTCAAGCAGAGAGGACGCTGGCATGGGACTAAACTCTATTGCGAAGCAGAATACAGAAGTCACTAGAAAGCCTCATTGCCCATCAACTGTTTATCAGAGCTCAAACTGCTCTTGAAAGAGAGGGATAGTTACATTCGTTGTCTTTGTTTGGTGAGGATCTTTCGCTTGTATCTTTGTGACATAACAGTGCAAATAATGTAATCATCATAGTCTATGACAGACTACACTCTGCTCTAGAAGGATAACTTGATTCTTAGGAGCTAAAGCAGCAACAAGAAGAGATATCTTCTTGCCATTCTAGCAAACAACTTCATAGCACGCCATCAATCGAAGGAAACTTCACGATTACCGTATTAAGGGGAGGAAAGAGAATGCGATGCAGTAAGTCGAACACGTCGAGTCAGATTCATTGCAAGTTTGCAATGTTTCTGGTTAGTAGATGGTGTCGAGAAAAGCATCCTGTGACGATCGAACCAAGTTTTCTCAGAAAAATGCCTAAACATTCTCGGCGACAACAACTGTACAACGAGACTCGATGCTGTAGAATACATTGAGAGAGAATTGTGCTCCGTACCGTTTCTACTCTACATAAACACCTCAACCATTGCACTCGGCGTCACTTCTTCACTCCCAAGCTTGAACAAAATAAACTCCAACGACCAAGATGATCTTTGAAGGATCACGTGGATGTGATTAATTCTGTCGATCTTTGATTCGGTATATTCCATGCATATTGTGTGCAAGACGCAAAGTGCTATTGTGACATTCAATCGTCCGTCCGTTGCAATCTAGTTATGTGTCCCGTAGATAAGAAAAACCTAAAGTTCCAGTCCGTCCATTGTCTTTCATCATTCCGTTACAGCTTATCTGGGTGACAGGCTACTGGCTAAACCCTAAGATGACTTCTATGGGTAGCTTCGATATGATATCAAGAATTAGAAAATTGCCCTGGTATACAACATATTTGCGCATCATATTTTCCAAAGTGAGTACTTGGGAGATAAATTGAAAGAAAAAAAATTTTATCGGATTCTGTGAATGCATATCTATAATTTCCCTTTTTGTTTATATGACATTCATGTAATGTGTTGTCCCATCACATGTTTAAGTTTCCAAATGGCATGGGGATTATGTATCTACAGTAATTGGACCCTTAAAATTTCAAGCTACTGTTTTTTCTATTGTATTTGATCTACATCACCATTGGTAATAAGATTTTAGTGCAGCGACTTTCTCTTGTAAAGTCAAACAATTTCAGTTGCCTGCAATATATTGCATTGATGCAACTGAACACCTCTTATAGGCAATGTATTACATTACCTTTTAAAGTGTACACTTTTTTATCATCTTGTTTTGGATATCATCGATAGATTTATGAAATAAGATAGGATAATGGAACTTCATACAATCAACTTCACAATTTATAGATTTTGCATACTCTTGTGATTAAGCTATGAAACAATGCAAAGTACGGAATTGATAGTTAGAACATCCTTTTTGTAACTCAAGATTTTGCAAAATCAATTTGTTTTATTAGCTTTGAGGATATATGGAGTTACAGTTGTAGACTTCAACAACCTATAAAAACATATGCAAAAATATATCATACAAGTTTACATGAAGTGTTACTCTTTTCTTTCATGTAGTATAATATATATTAGAAAGTATATATTTATTGTTCTAAGAAATTGTTACTCCGCATGATACATAAGATAATAATCAGATAAGACGATGATTTCTTAAAACATAGAACATTTATATACAGCAAAATTGTTATTATCATTGAATTGCCTATATTTTTTTAATATGTAAATATTATTAAGCTAGATATACATAAAGATACTATGTGCATGAATCCATCTTTATCATTTTAATTATCATGTAAAATTTATTAAAATTCTGACTGAATCTGTTCATTTTATGATTTGGTACTGCTAAATTTAGATCTATATTTTGATATAAGTCAAAGAATAAAAAACAAAGAAATTAATTTTCAGCATATTCATATAGTTGAAAAATTGTCACCTTTTGGTTCCACTTTTCGCTCATCCTGCAATAAGTAATGGTTGTCTAAGAAATATGTCCTGTTTAGAATTGATATCCATCAATTTTAAAAAAATCATTCGATAATCTCAAAGAAAACATATGTTTATCCTAGTCGTATTTAGTAACAAGGATAGGTGAGCTGTTTCCATGGAAGAAATTCTCACGTGTCATAAAATAGATTTTAATGAACAAAGTGAACAATCATCAATTGCATTGAAAATAGTCAACCAATTTTATAAATAAATCTCAAAACTGAAATGCTATACACATTAGCCAACCCAAGTCATACTCCTCCCTGTATAAAAGATTTATTAGTGTGAGTCAAAAAGATTCAATGTAAGTAAAGCTTGTATGAAGGGATGAGAGCTTTTGCTGTATAGGAAGCTTACGTGAGACATAATAATATAAGAATTGGCAGAATTTTTTTAAATGAATACAAATCAAATAGAAAGTCGTTCATCCTTCCAGATTCACAATAAATTTTATGATTTAATTAATACATCTCGTATGTATTGCATAAAATAGTTTATTGATTAAATTTCCGTCGCAAAGGAGAAATAGAAATTACAGTATAAACTCAAGGGTACAAAAGTTACACATTTGAGACGTGTTTGGAATCTGCGAACAATGATTAGTCGTCTTTCTTGATGGAGGGTGAGTGCTGCTACAACGAACAAAGTCTCTAAGTATAATCGTATACAATCTTCTTTTTTATTTAGTGTAGGAGTTACATGAATTTAGGACTTTGAATATTGACTTGTTCTTTTATGAATATGTCAACCTTCCATACTGAAACAAAACATTTATTGATAGTTCTAGCATATTTATATTAAGTATTAAATACGACTGAGATGGTTCTAAAGAAACAATGACCTTAGTGATGCTGGGTCAAATACATTCGATGAAGATGATTCATACATAGTAGTAATTACAAAATATGTAATGCATGTTACATGTTTCTGCATGATGTTAAATTGATGTCATAAAGCATGTGAGATGAATGATGGGCATGAAATCGATGGAATACCAAGGAGCTTCAAGTGCAACGTACATCGGCCAACGTACGTCAACCCAAAGGCGTCAGAAGGATACTATTTGCCCATCCCCGATCCTATATCTGCTTCGGCGTCATGTCTGGACGTACGTCCAGTCCAGTATTTCCTTCACTGGAGAATCCGTCGACAGAATAAATCCTTGGCTTCCACCGCTGGATTCCGGTACGTACGCCGTTCAGCCTCAAGCAATTCGTTAGGGACCGACCGTACACAACGATGCGTATCCGAAAAAGAGTCGCGAGCCGTACGAGGGGGAGGGCCGGAGATTCTCCACGCAAGTCGCCGACACGAGCCCCGCTGCAGGACCTCAGCTCGGCGGGACGGATATCGAGGCAGGCTGCGGGGCATTGATACCTTGCGACTCTCGCCGTGCGTCACGAGCCGAGGAGGGAATGAACGGATATGGCAAGTCGCTACGGGGCATTGACGCTTCCTGTGATTCTCATTAGCGCAGAAGTTGAGTCCACCTGTCCAGGTCTCCATCTGCATCAGTGCGGCGAATCTAGGATGTCCACGAGCCTTTGCGCTCCTGGATCGCTCGAGGGCCCAAATCCGGCGACTCGCGCAGCAACTCTTTTGTGGTTACGAATCAAAGTTCAGGTTTCGAGTGACAGTGCCCCCGGCAGTCGCAAAAACCTGCTGACGCATGCGTTTCTGTTTTCTTTTCCTGCCCCCTGCGTCTCTGAGTTTATCTTTTATTTTTCTCCAGGCCAACGGGACGAGTGTCGGAGCCCTAAGTTTCTCCCCATCTCTTGTGGCCACAATGCTCTGCGCCTTGCTTCATATCTTGTCAAAGAAAGAGACTCGACACATGTTTCTCATACATTTTACGCACCGCCTCCTTTCAACAATAATCGGGACTGAAAAGGAAAAAGAGAGTTTCCTCTGCATTTCTGCGCTCTTCAACATACACACCGCCTTCATATATCAGCGGACCTGTAACAGGAAAGAAAGTCCGAGATATCTCTTTCTGATTCAAAGGGCCGAAAATGCAATCCACCTTCAAGTATCGGACCTGTATCTGATTACAGCAGTGTCGAGATTTAGAACAAACTGGTATCTGAATACAGAGGGACAAAAATTTTATCCGCACAAAATAGCAAAAAGGATGGGCAGGACCCATCAAGCCATGGTGTGAAACAAGGGGTAGGATGGTGAACCAAATTTAGGCGATCGACTACTATACAATCGGATCTGCATCCGGTACATATTTTGTATTTTATAAATCAACTGAAATGTATGTATGCATTACATATATGGCAGCTACTGCATCTACGCTTTGCTAAGTGGAACATCCCTTTACTTGTCTGGAAAGAAACTCACCGCAAGCTACTGAGGATGTATAAAAATAGCTCCGGTGAGTAAGGAGACTCCTGGCTGTCTCGTACAAACTTAAAGAAAAGGATGGGCATGTTTTTCCTTGAAATCCTTGCCACGATAGGTGCACATCCGATGGATCCAGAAGGCAAACAAATCTAACTTTACCTTAAGAAGCCTGATGTTCACTTACGTCTAGCGAACAGAGTGGTACAGTAAGAGTTCATAGGGGCAAGCGGCACGAAATTCCCTGGATCTTTCTCCAACTAGTAAAACCTTATATGCCGCTTTCCCCCTTGCCATCTTGGTCTCATGCAATCATTTTGACAAAGTCTGATCTCCTGATATCAGATGATATGTCTGATGTGCGATGATGATTATCTCGTGGTCCTCTTCCACTTATCTTTACTCGGCATCCCCTTTCCTCTTCTTATTCTGCCATCCAGTATTATGGATACGGCGGGGATGTAGAGTAGACGGCCCGGGAAGGGATTATGGTGACTTTATTGCGAAGATTGCCAAATATTCTCAGTGGACGAATTTATTCTCTAGAATGTGGACGTCGCAAAACTTGAGGGCTGATGTGGCAAATCTAGCGGCGCCTCTGCCACCTCTTTCGACCCCAGTCTACATCAATTTTACTTCTTTTGATATTCCCTTATGATCATCAAGAAAATAACCTGGACCATTTCATAAAATTGTTAAAAATTCATGTCACAAGGAGAAAATCTATCTTTTCCTTGACACCGGAAATTATGGAATTGAGCTTGTTCAGTTCAAATTTCTTTTGCATGCATATATCTTATTATATTCTTAAATTATTTTATTCATTACAAATTTCCCGAAATTACATCTAAAATATGTTTATTCCTTACAGTAAAGTCTTAAAATTATTTCATTACAAAGTTATTTTCTCAATTCTATTCTAAGTTTTTCTAATTTTTTTTTAATCATATCTTATATGTGATAATATCAATCTAACACATATGATACATAGATGTAAAATTTGATGATTATTTAATTTATAATAAAAATGTAATAAATTTTAATAAAATAAACTTGTCGTAAATGAAGATACATGACGATAATTTCCTAAAATAAATATACTATATGATTTAGTATCTATGTTCAAACCTGAAAATTTTAACACATTTCTATCACGAATAATATTATGTATCCAAAGGCTTTTATTTTGCTTACAAAATTTATACTTTTGAATTTTTACTCATTTTTATTCAAATCAGTCATACGCGACTATGCTTGATTTGAAATCCTATTCTCTCCAAATGAGAAAGTACAGATATCATACATCAGTTCCAAAACTAATGTTCAAAAAAGACATATTTCATCACTTAAAAAAAACTTCTTAGCTCTGTTTTCAAATGAGCACTTCCAAATTGATAAGCTATGTTTTACCTATATTTTTATGCCACTGCATACATTATAATAGAAAATGAGTTCAATACTCGTTATGTCCTCATAGTTTCAAATGCCATGTATGCCATATATACTTTTATTTGAAATAAATCTATAACTAATGATTATCTCTCATCATCATCTAAATGTGATTTTTGACCAACTCTGTATCTTCTGTGCTCCCTTGATATGTATCTTACACTATAATCTTTAAAGTCTATGATTACTCTTCCAACTGCCCACAAGAATGATCTATTTTCATATACCTTTAGATTGTAACATGTAGAAACCAAAAATGTATTTCAATATGAATAAATTCTTCAACCGAAATACATATGTCCGCACTCTCTCTTCAATGTACTTCATATACACAATGTACGTATTAAAAAAAAAAAAAAAATCTCGTGTGAAGTTTATTTCAGGTACATATCCATCTCGTTACCTACACCACTTGCGCATCACTTACACAAGCAATCTTGGCAGACTCCAGATTGTGAGCAAGGATAGAGAGAACTGATTTGAACTTTTTAAAGGTCCGGAATGATATTCCTGATTCACGGAGCAAAGTCATGCTTGACAGCTGATAATAGTCTCCACCAAATCACATGTTAACTTGACTTAATAATGACAATTGAAGAGACATTGTCAAAGTTTCATCGTTCCAGTGGTCAATTTTGGTAGGTAACGAGCGAGTCAAAGTAGAAAGTCTTCTCCTTCAAGTGATGGAAACTGAAGCAAAAAGTACCTCTCCTAACTACTAACCTAATTCTACAGACCTTGAATTGTGCGCACTTCTTAATATGTGTCATTTTTTCATGATATTTTGAGTGGGATAAACTAGGTGACAACAGGAGACGATGTTCAGGAGTCATCATGAGCACATAAGTCCAGAAGTTCAACAAAGCTTACTGGTAACACCGGTAGGGAACATACTCATGCACACTCCTTGCACAAATCTGAAGCATTCCCGTTGAAGGGTAAATTGAACACTTGAATATATAGTACACAACAATGCCAACCATAATACAACCCACAATACTCCTCTTGGGGCATCTCGGTAGGAAACAAGTCTGCGGGAATATATAAACTCCGTACCTGTATTACTACTCCTAAGGAACATACTAGTCTGCCTCTGCCACTTTTTAAATTGGGCAGTACTTAAAAACTGAAGTTCAAAATCCTTCTCCTTTTATAATTGATGAATTTAAGTGTAACATAATGTACAGGGCTCCCTACCGGACCACTAAAAAACTTCATGTTTTTTAATGGCGCGTTCGAATACTGCCGCCTAATCAAATTTCGCATCACATACATACAAAGCGCACTTCATCACTCCAACGATCAATCATTAACATTCTTCGCCCTCAACATCCGGTCTGAATAGCCATCGTGCAAAGCTGCTGGTAAACTCCACAGATGGTTTTCCGCCAGGCAGGATGCTCGCCACATCAACGCCAAGGTCTTGATACTCTTTGAGAGCCTCCTCCATGGCAGCTTCTACATCGTCTCCTTTGACCTTTAACTCCCCATCATCCTCATTTATATAATTCACAAAAAGAAAATCTGAAGAATCCTCGGACGAGGTGTCCACATCGACTTCTTCTTTGAAATCCTGAGAAGTCAAACACAAGGAAAATATGAGTATATTGTTCACGGTTTGTTCCCTGAGATACATATTTTAATGAAAAGCTTTCCGTAAGGATAATAGACTGGAAGATCAAATTAAAGAAGGTTAACATAACTATGGTGATCGACTTCCTCTTATATTTTAGAATCGTCATATATTACACGAGAACGATTCAAAATAACAACTTTCAAAATAACGAACAACAAATGTTCCAAGTAAAACAAAATCACAAACCTCATGACTTTCCATAATCCAGCATCTTAACTTCCGTGTACTGTGCTATCAAGGTTTAGGGTTTAGGGTCTTATATTTATGAAAGTGCAGATCTTGTCTTACAACGGATGACCCAGTGTTGATTAGCTTTACGGTCACTTACAGAGTCAGTGAGTAGACTTGTTCCATCCCAGCCCTCTTCAACTTCTTCAGACATCAAGTATTGAGGGTGTTGACTACAAAACCAATGGTTATCCAACTTATCAGTAATGAACAAGATAATACTCTTCTCACACCTTAAGAAGTAAGACAGTGCAAGACAACTGTGACTGCAAGCATAGCAGAAGATTAAGAGTTTCTGTGCTAGATTTCCCACGTGTAAGGAAATGAGAGAAGGTTGACACGAGCTAATCTCACCTGTCACAAATGCTCTTCTCTCGCAGCCCACATGAAGATAGCCAGTCGAATTCCGAAAAATCACGTGTAGCCTGGTTGTCGGGACCAGTTTTGCTGGCAGAGGATTCTGATGTTTCTGCTTTGGTTGGATTGGGATCCTCAATTTTGGGCTGACCATATAACCAGTTTGGACTCCTTAGTTGCACTTCTCTGCATCAGAGTACGGAGGTTTCAGTCTTCAGTTCAGAACAAACAGAATTTGAAGTAAAAAAAACCGAAAGTGCAGCCAGTTAAATTTCAACGAGTGTACATTGATGTTGATAACGACCAGGACTAACTTTCAACCGCGAAACGACACAGTATTCTTTCAAAACACTCCTATAGATGTTGCGCAATGTAAATGTAAGGAAGGGGTTTTATCCGGGTTTAGAAGGAAGGCTCCCTGTACATGTAAACGAGCCTGCCTAGGTGAACAAAATACACATAAAGTAATGATACAAAGGTGCCTGTTACAATCTGAACACCACAAACCATAGGTGAACAAAATACACATAAAGTAATGATACAGAGGTGCCTGTTACAATCTGAACACCACAAACCATGTGCTCGGGCTGAGCGGTGATACTAACCAGAGAATAAGTAAATCGAAATCGGGATACAAGGATCACAAACGAGAGAGGACTACTTGACGGGAAAGAGGATCTTCACTTGAATAAAGCCCTCTTTGCTCTCAAAGAGGGTCTTATTCAAGGACCACCTAAAATTTGGAGTTTCCAGTTACCAGCAAATAAACACATAAGTAACTCATCCACCAGACAATTGTATAAGATACACAAAATGTGATTAAAACAGTGGCTGGTTTGGGTCTTCAATCACGACTACTGATTAAGTAAACAGATTGGACTTCACCAGCAGAGCAAGGTTACTGAACAATCTAGCTGTCATTATGAAGAGAGTTGCATTTCATCAACTAACAAAGAGAGTTTTGCCTGCTTTGCCACATTAGCTGCGGAAAATTCTGACAGCTTACAATTCTAGTTTTAGTTTTTCATATTTGAGCAAGTGAAATCTGAAGGTCAAAACTTACGCTGCATCAGGCGCAGGCGCAGGCGCTGTGGCTGATTGGGCTCCCACTTTGAGTTCCGATTCCATATACATGCGGACGTTCTTCAATGGACCACATGTCATATTCAACAGCTTGTCGAAGGATGTGAGTTTCTTGTGATGGTAGTCTGCCCGATAAGAAGGTAATGCTGCCAAAGCACTACTTAAATTTTGCCTAAGCATTGGATCAACAATGTTCTGTTCAACCCTGGCAAAATACCACACAGGCAGTACTCCAAATCAGAAGGTGATAAGATACTTAAGCTTTGTGAGTAAATGACTTTCTCATGAAGGTGGTCAGTCTAAGCTTTAAGAGCTTGGACTGACCACGTTGATGAGCATCTGAGAGAGGAAAGGGAACCACGAAATTGCACGAAGTTTGTATATCTAGACAAATTCAAAAAAATACAAAGCTTTCTGGCTATATCCTTTTTTTCTCATCTACTGCAGGGTAGGCTACACCCACTCGACTCCCGAGCCTGGCTAGGTGAAGTCCCTAACTACAAGTTTCTGGTTCTGGAACATAAACTTAGGAATTTTAATTGTTGAAGACAAGAATCACCGGCACAAAGGATACACCTATCCAAACTTGAAACCACGTAAGAAAAGAGAGAAAGAAAAGACCTAAAGCAAAACTCTGTACAGTGAGTGAAAAGAGGACAGTCACATAACACCACAGATTAAAATAAAGAAATGATATGACGCATCTAGCATACACAGAGCAACTAGCTGGAGAAACGAATAAAGACAAATATCAACGTTAATAATAAAGACCGCAAATACTACTATCGTCCAATTGGAGCCTTTGAGAGTTTACATCAAAATGCAAGTCACTAACTGTTAATCACCAATCCCCGTCGACTTCATCAGTTCCTACAGGAAATGTCCAGGTATGTATATAGAAATCTGCATTGCACCTATGATGGATTTGTTCACGAGAGCCAACTAGGGGTGATTCTTTTGTTTTACGCTTAGACAGATAGAGTAACACTTGTTCTGACCTGTTGGCTTCCCTCGGAGATGCACCTATGATGGATTTGTTCACGAGAGCCTACTAGGGGTGATTCTTTTGTTTTACGCTTAGACAGATAGAGTAACACTTGTTCTGACCTGTTGGCTTCCCTCGGAGATTCATCGCCATAACCGCCCACATGTAGATAGTAGTCAGAATCAAGTTCCCACAAAGCAGGCTTTCCTTCTTTAGGCTGAAAATGCCCCAAAAATCTGCAATTTCACAATGAAAGTGTGGAAGATGAGATTAATCCTGAAAGAAATCTTCGCCTTTCAATAACTGACACAGCCATCACATGTCGACCTTCAGTCCACGATCGCTCCGTAGGCAAAGTCCTTATAAACTGCACGAGATGGAAACACCAGATACGTCTGCTGTGAACTAGAAGTACAATATAGTAAAGTTATCAAAGTGGTTCAAGAAACAGTGGACTCGCTCGGATTTATTTTCTGTTCTCTGTTTTTTACTTCCTTTCATCAAATGTGTGTGAAAACGCAGCTATTCTGCTCTCCTTGCCTTCTGTAAGAAAATGAGCATAGGAACTTCGTGTAATCTCAACTAATGTATGAGTAGTATATTGTCTAACAACAGTGGTTGACGAACGATCACCGAGTTCGGAGTTTAATGAGGAAAATGCTTGCTTCGATAAACGAAGATGCCAATTGGATTGAAGACTTTCTTGAACCGCTCTGATGATGTTAATTTAAGCGAACTTAGCGTCAATTAGCTGTCCAAAACGCCTCTTCATGTAAGTGTAGGAAGTGCTCACAAGTTAATGGCATCCTGCTTTTCCCCGTCCGTATATGTATTGCTGTAATACCGTTTTATTGACTTCAAGAACTCCCGTGACTGTGTAGTAGCTCTCCACTTTCCTTGCCTTTCGGGGAACACCTGTGAAAAAAGTCAAACAATTCTCTACTAAATATTGACGACACTGAGTTGAATTCGGTTGGATTCGGTTGCAGTGAATGCTCCAAGAACCATGTTTTGCTTTTTGTATAATCACTATCATTGTCTCTCAAATTCACCACAATGCTTACTCACAGTATTGTGCGCAGCTGAACCACCGTACTGCAGAGCAATTGCATCCCCCATTCTTTTATACATGTCCCCTAATGCTCTGCCAAATAAACCACCTGCATCAAGCTTTAAGGTATCAGTAAGGCCCAAAGCGTAAAGCTGTCGGCCTGCAGCTGCCAGACCACATGCAAATTGCGCAATATTGGTGCGATCAAGGCAATCGATGCAGTTTGTTCTCAGAACACCGCGCTGAAACTGAGGCTCTTTTGATCTCAAGAATTTCTTCTCCCGGCTGCAATCGTTCTCTGAATCTCGCGCACTGGTAGTAGCTCCAGTCATAGAAATGGTCCCAAAATCTCTGCTTGGTTCGGGCACTGCAGGAGGAGAGCCTCGCCCTAGCATGTTTTTTCTGCAAAATACAAATAGAACGTTCGGTGGGTGATGGAGGTGGCTCGATAAAGGAAGAAGTAAAATTAGGGTTACTTCAGTAAGATTTCTCCTCCGAGATCTTTAGGATTAACAAATTCCTCTGTAGGATGAAGACAAAAGAACAAAATATGATAACGGTAACCTCATGCCCTCGGTAGTTTCCTATCAACTCCACGAGCTAGATATACCGTAGTGACGGTTCAACCCTGCAATTGAGTCGTCACTGCAGGGTATACACAGGTTGGATCTTTACAACGGAGATGTAGAAGACCGTTTCAGTCGAGAAGGACGCTTAGCAACAGAAGGTTTCCCACTGTAGTATATGCCCGTCAAATCCAGAGCCTCACCAGCAACAGCACCAAGGACTGGCAAAACATTTGCTGATTTACTGCAACATACAACCGGACATCAATCAGTTGAGTTGCCACTTTTTTTACAAGATCTGAAAAATCTTAAACTCTATATCTGGATAATAAAATTACCTCTTTGCAAACTTGTGAAAGTCCCAGTGTATAAATTTCAAGCGACTCTCTTCAGCAAGTATGTTGTTCAAATACCCGACCGCAGTGGCAAATTCCCGCCTAAGCATCATCTCGCGAGGCCTCTTCTCCACCGTCTGGAAAATCACACATTTACACATTTACGAGGGTTTCTGATTTTGCTGTAGCATCCAATATAAGATTATACAAGGTGAGATTAAATCGACCCTATTGATCATACGAATTATACGAATAACCATATGAACCTTTGTAATGCAAAGTCAAAGAATGCTGCACTTTATTCACGATATCCTACTCTCAAATACCTTAATCAAATTCAAGATAATAATGGGATTGCCGTAACGTTGTTCGAGATCTTCAAAGTGCAGTGCTGTTGCTTTGTAGATAGGATCGATTCTATGCACTGCACATCATTAGTATAAAGTAACATGAGAGGAGAAGCAGGTCAGGGTGGTATTTTATCTGTTTTCTACATTTGACCCTCCACTACATCTCCTTGTTGTTAACTGCAGGATCGTAGACAACTGAAACTAGATTAGCAATCGTCAACTAACCTTAGACACAGATCTCACTACTTTACGAAGACTCTTTCGATGATCATCTACCATCTAAAAAGTGGAGAGTCACGATTCTATTCCACTTGTGACCAGCAAACATCAATATCACACTGCATCAAAGATAGCACCATGAATAAAGCCTTTAGTTAGAATTTACGAACGAATAATGTCTGGTTTGGGGCTGAGGCGAGAGGCTTCTTGAGACCAAAATAGTGGAATAGAACCCCGATTTTGAACCACCGAGCTCATTTGACCCAGAGTTGTTCCAAATCCACATTCCTCGTCAAGTACTATCTGTTCAGTTTCCACGTCATTTGCAACTTTACCCTTATCATTAACACCTCTCTTCAAGTACCTGTCACGGTAGAAAAGCAATATGGAGCCCAGATAAGTGATTGTTCTTATCATTATAAGATGAACAGAGCAGAATCTCTATTGATCATGATTTGTGATTTGTGTTCTATAACACGGACAAACACGATTATTTCTTCAAAGTGTACTCTCGTAACACACAAAATCTACTTAATGACTGTAATATCCCTTTAGATCAAAAAGATTTCTTTCATAACGAATAGAGTTATGTACCTATGTCCCAAAGTGTGAATACACCTTTGCAATGTTTTGAGAACTTCCATGTCAATTCCACCTGGCTATAGTGCAAGAAGCTTTCCAGGTTCCACTGATAACAATGCGCAGTGTGGGCTCACGACAGAGTTTATGCATGTACATGTCCAGGCACCCACTTCCTGAAGTGCTTACCTTGTTCCAGCGAAGTGTCTTGACCTTCTGGAAATGAGCGTGATGACAAATATACGGCCGAATATGGAAAATTTTGCCTGCAAAAGAGGCAGAAAATGAGGCATGAGGGCGATGGTTATACAGCGTTACTGAGACCATGCTCTGTGAAGGGATTAGGTGACTGAAAAGCAAACAGAACATCGGCCAGTCAAGATAGAGTCTTCCACAGAAAGTGATGACATCATGCACAAAATTTCTCACCTGCTCGAAAAATCCATGAACTAGGGCAACAGTCCACCTGGTGTTATTCAGTCTTTCTCGAATGCCTCGCGTCAAGAAGGCATTCCAAACAAACATGTTCTCGTAAGGTAGAGATTCACCATCCTGAACAAGAACATTCCGTTGTAGACTTTGCATGATACGATATGTGTAACTGAAGAAGAAATCTTTCGTAAGGTCCACACCAGACAGGAGCTTTTTGTACCTGTATTTCTCCAGAGTTCCTATATTAGTAATGCTTCTTCGTGATAACTTATCAGGAATCCTAGATAGACTACATCCTACAGTTTTTGACCTTAGAAAACATCCTACACAAAGGTCACAAACAAAAAACATATAGACAAGCTAACCATGCAACAAGCCGCGACCTTCGAGTAGCTCTGATCTATGGACCAAATATAATTATGAAAAGGAGCACACTATCTAAGAGAATAAAAATGGCAAAGGAATGGACGGAGTGTTTAAAACAGGACTTGCTAAAAGTAATATGAAAGTTGGCCCCCACAAAGGCGAATAACTACTAACCAACAGGCCTCCCCTTTAGAGGTCTAAAATGTATGTAGAATAAGAAGATATAATCTTCGTCGCAACACCTTCTCCTCTATGAACTGGTTTCGCAGTTGGAACAGAAATCTTGATGAGCACATGTCTCATTCCTTGGGAGTGTCAAAATTTACAATTTGACTGGTGTGATGGACATCGACTTGATAGCAGAACTTGTGTGATGAATCTCTTTCATCAGTGAATGAGTAAAATATAGCCCTCAAAATGTTCAGTTACAAGACATGGACTAACTAGAGCAAATTGTAGCAAGAAGAAACAGACTGGACTACCTGAGTTCTGTTTTGGAGTTTGCTACGTCCGTTTGGACAGAAGAATGTGGAACCGTGATCATTTGGCTTTCTTCGATTGCATAGATTGCATGTCCACATAACATTCCAATCTGACGATGCTTTGTCACCAAGATCATGTAATATGATTCCAAATACTGTGTAAATCCTGTCAGAATACAACGACTATGATCAACATACTGACATAGACATAACCAGCTCGACATTAATACAGACAGCTTATAAGTTTGACATGGTGCAGATGAGTCTAAAATCCTACACCTACGATGGAGCAATGTACAATAGGGAATTCACGCATAAACTGTGAGTGAGACAACTATCCTACACTCCACATAGAAGACATTACAGCTGATAATTTCATGAAAAAGCTCCTTCTCAGAGTCTCCACTTTGCTCAACAGAAGAAGAGCACTTGGGCGGATATGTTTCACAAACATTGAGACAAGTGTTCGGCTGTTTTATACGCACCCACAATACCGTAGGCTTTGGTAACTTTGGTTAGTCCTCCAGTCGCGAGGTTCCCTTGGGCAACTCTTTGCAAGAGATTGATGCATTCTTCTTGGGTGTAGACGACCGGATCCTCACTGATGTTGAGCTCAGCAGGCTCTGATCGATCAATCTTCAGCACCCTAAAATGTACCTTCGCCTTATCCCTCCCAACCATGTAGAACCTCTGCTCTTTCACAAGTCGGACACTTATCTGTCAATATCAGGCGTGAACCTTGCATGACTTATTAACACACATTGCATTGTGCAGGGTCGATATGAAAATGAATGAAAACTTAGTTATACCAGATTGCAAACTATAAGCATCACAGACATTTTCATTATTTTCCTTCGAATTTGCATTGGAGTTGTCATTTCAAATGCTCTGCATGGCCCTAGTGTTTTGAGAAGTGAAATTTGCTTATAGAGACGCTGCGGCCGTGTTACAGGCTGTGCAAGAATTCTTTTGATGTTGTAACTGAGCTTAAAAAGACGCACACATACCGCTCGTGTTTCATACAACGTGAATTTTTCGAGGAAGTAATTATCTGTGTCAAACTCCACCGTGTTTTTCTCTTTCAGACGAGCCCCGCTGGACTGAGATGGGCTCGCACTGGAGCCTGAAGCCATCTTAAGCTCCCTTCCCATCCAATTCAAGATCAGCGACCCCTTGAATTACGATCCGCTGACCAAAATCCTCGATATCGTTGAACAATCACAAGGATTCCGAAATCTTACTCCGCCCTGATCGGTTTCAGTCTTTCAGACCATGGAACGAAATCTTCCTTCCCAGACACGGAATCCCAAGTTGAATATCGAGTCACATGATTCAATTTACAACACATTTGTAATCATCGCCGGCCCGATACTCCGCTCCTCCTCAGCAATCTCTGCTTCTTCATCTTCCTCTTTTCGAACAAGGAGATGCCTGCCTTCCCACCATCAAATGTGTGTTCATTCAAAACTTTGGTGATTGATGATTTCCATTGTAGCTCGTTCTTTCGTGTCTGCTGCAGCGTTGGGAGATGATGACGTTGAGTTTTGGCACCACCTCCAGTTTCCCGTGCACCGTGACCATTTAATCGATTTCTTGCTGGAGGATTCACGCGAGCTAACTGAGCTCATAGCACCCGGCTTTACGACGCCTTTACTTAATTAACGTGTCGCGCACCTTAAACTCGTGAATTTACTTCTTAATCCTAGATTTTGAGCTGCTGGACTCTGTCTGTATACCAGAAGCCGCTGCTGATTCATCACAATCATTCTTTTGATAGGTAAATCTTGTCATACCAACTTTTTCCTCTTTCTGATTTGTATTGCTTCTTTCTATCCTTCTTCTCTTATAGACCATTGATTTTTGTTAGTTGTTTTTTACCCCATTCAAACCTTGTGTTAGCTATATTAATACATTAACATACATCATTTAGGAAAGCTTTCTCGTTGCGCAACCACATACAAATTACGGCAAGAGGCAATAATTATGGAGAGAAAATGGTAGATGTCGTGGCAGGACATAAGGTGAATTACTTCTCGCCTTCTATTACATGTAAAAACACAAATATCACATCCAGCAAACCATAATATAATAAAGTAATATAATCAAATAAAGTAAAATTCATTCCATAATATTTGTCTATATTAATATATACTTACTACATATACATACAATTGTACAGATGGAGCAACTTGAATAAATATGATTTACTAATTTATTTCCATATCATTTTTTCTGATATTTCACCTTCCAATAACATAACACATGTTTTTAGAAATAGCTTCATTTGCTTTATTTGAAGAGTGATTGATTATCAATGTTAAAACCTTGTTTATTCATTTTAAATTATCAAATACCCTCTTAATTTTTAAAGACATGCCCCAAAAGTAGATGATCATGTGAACATTTTTGGAAAGTAAAATCAAGTTACAATATTATACGTTGGATTTAACGAATAAATCTTCATTTCACACACAAATCCAACGACTTTGACTCCCCTCACTACATACATGAAGATGATATTGAAAGCAGTTTTCTTGCAAATGATATTAACATATACTCCTGCTCCACATTACTTCTGTGAAGATTTGATTTCAGTTCTACAATTACTCATGCAATTTGACTTTGAGAGTATAAACTAGCACAAATTTTTGAAGATACTTCTTGACTTCTCTTAATATATTAACTACACTTCCTTGTCTTCATTAAATAAGTTTTTTTTCAATTTTTTTCAAAGGTCACTATTTACTTTTCCAAATATATATTATTTGGATTTGGTTAAAGATCCAACGGTATATTATATAAAAAAAAATTTACAAGTTTACATTTTGGTATATTTTGCTAATTTGGAATTTTTTAAGGATGTTCAACTATCATTGTCATATTTATTTTTCTAAAAACTCATTATTCATATATAATACAAGAAAACATGTTATTCAAATCGTCAATTTTCTGAAGATTCAACTTATCATTTATTTTTTTATCAATATAACTATATATTCTTATCAATCAAAGCCTAAATTATTATTTTTCAATGTTTCATGTTATATTCTATTTAAATAAAAATTAGTCAAAACAACATCATAAAAAAATATAGTTTTGCAAATATAAAAGATTTAGCCAAACAAACTAAGAATAATTACATTTGATGATGATTTAGATGAATAGAGTCACATCTTCGATAAAAAATTATCAAATTTACAAACATATCAAGAACAAATTTACAAGAAAATTTCATTTTGAAATTTTATATTTTATCAAAATTGAAAAATCAAATCATTGATGAAACAAATCTAATTTGATGAATTCAATCAAAGTCTTAATTGGCTTAAATCATACATAAGAAGAAGTATGAAATTTTGTTGATCTCAATTGCTTTTTTTGAAAAAACAACATATATATATATATTCAAATATTAATCATGTTCTTTTATTACTTTTATTATTATTTTCAAACATGTGACTGTCATATCTTAAACTTTATTTAAGTCTATTGATGTTGTGATTTCATGAACTTTGTTACATTTTTTCTCTCAAAACTATTGATGAATTGTTGATATTGATGGAAATTGCTGGCAATTGCTTCACTTAATTACTCAAACTCTTAATAAATTGTCACAACTGATAAGATTTCTTTCATTTAACCTTTTAGTTGCTTTTTGATAATCATGAATGATGATATTTGCTTCATTTTTTCTCTTTAAAATCATTAAGTTGTGCAATATGACCTTCAACATTATACATTATCATAAAAAATGCATATTTTGTTAATGTCTTTGTAGATTGTTGATATTTTCACAAAGATATCATTTATGTCATCCAATATTTTTGTTAATTTTTGTACATATCTACATCTTTGAACATAACGCTGTATGCATAAGTTTTGCTTTTTGTCAATGTGTCAGGTTTGTAAATATAATTATATCTTAATAAAATTAATCTAATATTAATTTTTGAACTTTTTTCATAAAATAAAAGTCATTGCATGATTTAATTTTCAAACACTTTTAATCATAATTTTATAGTTTTGTTAGAAAAATATTTGATGGTTTTTTATTAGATTTTATAAAAAGCTTAATTTGGTCAATTTGTCAACTAATATATAGTTAACATATTAAAAATATTTATCCATGAAATAAAGTTTATGAATCTAGAAAAAATATATTTACCATTCTCCAACATATTGATTTTTTATATAAAATCTAAATGTAACGGACATTATTGTTTTATAAAATATCCCAGTCTTTGAAAAAGATTTTTATTGATAATAAGCATGAAGAATTTTTGATGATATAATTATACTATGAATTCATATCACGTATCAAATCTTCAAAAACGTTTGTTTAGAATTATATTTATTGCTCAATCTTAACTTTTTTACGAGTAGTTTGACTATTTTTTTTGACAAAACATTATATATTGTTTCAAGAATCATATTTTAAAAATTCATATCAATCAATACGCTGTACTTTTTTGTACACATATTGAGACTTTTTTTAAAATTGAATAAAATTTTATATTTTGTATATTTTTGATACTTTAAAATGTTATGATGATGAGGTTGCATTTACAACCAAATTATGGAAAATAAAAAAAAACACTGTTTGAAATGAAATGTGTTGAATTTTTTGCAATTTAGGATTTTTATATGAAAATATTCGCATAATGAAGCATATGTGATTTTTTTAAATATTTTTTGTTGATGCTTGTAGATTTGAAAATGTAGCAAAGAACAACAAATTGCCAAAGACAGATATCATCAAGTTATTTCCTTTTATCATATGAAGAGGATTATTTGACAAGAATTCATAAACTTGATGAGTTGTTTATTGGATGAAAATAAGATCTAGTGTACTCTAATTATGTTATGAGTTCAGAGAAAATCCGCTTTATTTAATAAGTTAAAGAGTAACAATAATTTGAGATATGCAAATTTTTGAGTAAATTCTTATAGTAAAATATACATCGGTAATAAATATGAAATGTTTGATTTAAATACATTGATTGTATAATTTTTATAAATCAATGTATTAAAATCTAATTTATAACAAAATATTTGAATTAGTGTAAAATATTGATCAATTCAAATATTTATTTCAATGAATATTTGCATCTATTAATTTTTTTAGTATTGAAAAATTAGAAAACTATATTATATTTCAAAAACCGTTATTTGAAAAAAAATTCAAAAAATTAAATATTTTAAGTATTAAAAGAACTTGCATAACATTCTATGAACTAATATTAATCGTAAGCAAATAATAAGCAATGGATTCATCTTGATCTTTTTTATTCACTTATATGCTATCAGAAATTGATTTTTTATATCAATTTTCATAATAACTATGATTTAATTTTTCCTGCTTTATCTGAAACAACTTTTAATATTCTTTATTCTATTTTTGTTTATGCCACATTTCATTGTGATTTAATTCAAAAAAATTAAGTCAAATCAACATATAAATTTTTAAAAATTATTTGATGAATGACTTAAATTTGTTCAGTTGAGCAATTAAAGTTAAATCTAGTAAAAAACAATAATCAAGATTGGTAATGAACAACATTATCTCATCAAAAAATAAAGAATAAGTTCAAACTTATAGAAAAATCTAAATTAATGAAAAAAATATAAATATTTTAAAAATACATGCATAAAAAAATATGCAGAATTTTAACTTATTTTAAAGTAAGTAAATACACAAATATCATTGCCAGTTTTGTAATAGTTGATCTAGATAAATCTATAGCTTTGTATGATATATGTATTTAAATTTTTTTTTCAATAAAAAATGCAAAGCTTATAAAAGATTGTTTTATTAGAATAACTGTTAAAAGTTGCAGGCTCGTTTTATGCATAGTTCAAAAACAAGTATATGTCATTTTTTGAAAATTAAGTTGTGAAATTAAATTTTTTTAATTGATTATACCTAAGAAAAAGCAGTTCAGATAATTTTTTATTGATAAAATATAAAATATAAAATATTTATATCAATTTGATCAATTGATATAAAAAGTACAAAACATCAATCAAAAGGAGTTTCTTCAATAACATATTTAACCTTTGTTAGATGTAATGATATTGTCAAATTTACAAAATAATGATCTTGAAAGTTTTTTGAATAGGAAGTCAATTTTTTATCAATTTATATATAAAAACTTCATTATCTTCACATGATTATTCATAGTTGCCATTAGTGAATATTAATTAATCAACTTTTTACAAGATTTATTCTACTTTGTCTTCACTTGCGATTTCTTAATCAAAGATCAAATTTATTGTGTGTTTTTTGTTGTATTCACAAAGATTATGACCGTGAATCTAATCTATTGAATACATAATATGCCATATTGCATCAATTTTTTGTTGGCCAACACAATGAAATATTTCATGATATTAGATTTCAAGATATTATAATGGTATGATTTGTATGAATTCGTACAACCAAGATAAATTTTATATCTTAGCACTTTATATTTTAGCATTGTTATATATACATCGTTAACATTGTTGACAACAAGATAACAAAAACACCTCTTGATTAGAGATACAAAGTGATGAGATCATTTTAATTTAACTATTAGTAGATAAATTGGAACATACATGAGTTGA